GCAACGTCACCCGCTAACGCTGAGGGCGGTCAGACGAACCGAGTGGACATGTAGTAACTTGAGACACGTAAGTTCTGTGATTTGCTCAGATATAAATGTATAAATAGGATGTTTGATATTGTAGAACATGTCTCATATCTAGTTATGCTTGTGTTCTACTGCTCAATCTTGATGCTCTGTTTTTAGATTCACATAGCGTGGCTGTCAGGTACCGTCTCGTGTTTTAATTTGGGCAATAAATGCCGAGGACAAGTGTACCTAGTAGTTGAAAATCCAGTCGCCATTGTTTGGTATGGATATACTATGGATATTGGGAGGTGAGGTACATGTATGAAAGGAAATAGGGTATTGTATACAAATTTCCCCAGGATGAAACTGATCGCCAGAGAGTCCGTGCCTGAGGTGTCATACATAAGACACCAAGGCAGCAAGGCAGCAAGGCAGCAAAGTACCAGTCATCACATCAGGTGACTCCACAGGCTGCCCTAAATCACATGACCCCCGCACAACCTAAGCGAGTCCACCAATTTCCTTCGTGGATAACCGGAACCTCATCGACGTTCAATCACCAAACGACAACCCGGTCAATTTTCCCACGAACCCCTCCGAACAGTCAACATGTCCGACAACGGGGACGTCGAGGTCGCCGCCTTTTCCGTCCTTCCCAAGGAGGTTTTGGCCGAGCAGGGCAGCATCAAGCTGTTCAACAAGTGGAGCTACGATGATGTCGAGATCCGTGATATCTCCCTGACGTGAGTGCTTCTCTGCGATCCTCTGTGCGCCAGGTGAATTTCTGTTGTGTGCGAGAAGAAGCGATACGAATTTGGAGGATTGTGCAAGATTTTTTGGCTGGAATAAGGGAATCTCGAAATGTCTGAACGCAGGACCACAACACACGCCACAGGACGAATTTTTTTTTCATCGCACATCGCACACAACAGGATCGCATCAGCGCATTGGAGGAATTGCAATTGCATGGATATCAAATTTGCAGAGGTGCTGACCCGCCATCACAGCGACTACATCCAGATCCGCTCCCCTGTCTACCTCTCCCACTCCGCTGGTCGCTATGCTGCCAAGCGTTTCCGCAAGGCTCAGTGCCCCATCATCGAGCGTCTCACCAACTCGCTCATGATGAACGGCCGCAACAACGGAAAGAAGCTCTTGGCTGTCCGCATTGTCGCTCACGCTTTCGAGATCGTACGTGTCGCTTCACCCTAATTGCAAGTCTCCGTCACTAACCTTCTATTCTGCAGATCCACATCATGACCGACCAGAACCCTCTCCAGGTCGCCGTTGACGCCATCGTCAACTGCGGTCCCCGTGAGGACAGCACCCGTATCGGTTCCCAGGGTACCGTCCGTCGCCAGGGTATGTAACAAATTATTTCGCCACTTTTCTCAGTTTACTAACCCTATGTGCAGCCGTCGATGTGTCTCCTCTCCGCCGTGTGAACCAGTCCATCTCTCTGCTCACCATCGGTGCTCGCGAGGCCTCTTTCCGCAACATCAAGAGCATTGCTGAGTGCCTTGCTGAGGAGCTGATCAACGCCGCTAAGGGTTCTTCCAACTCCTACGCCATCAAGAAGAAGGACGAGCTCGAGCGTGTCGCCAAGAGCAACCGGTAAAGGGGTTGTGTTGGATTTGTTCTCCGTTTGGTCCTCTGTTTACGATTACTGGAATGGACGGGGGGTTTTAACCGGGATTCAATGGATTTGCATGCATCTGCAGGACTGTACATATCATACAGTCAAGGAGAAGGCTCGATCTAAAAAGGGAACGAAATCGGATGTCTTTCTTCAGTAGTTGAGATGCGATCATGAAGACCTTTGGTTGTAATGACCAATTTCCTAAGAAAAAAAAATTTCTTGACTTCAATTGGAATCGAGCAATTATATTCTGTAGTCTGTAAACCGTTAAGGCCCAGTCTCAAATGTTGGAGCATTGGACTTGTGTTTGATAAGTTCTAGCCTGACTTTTGATATTGAGATTTTCTGTCGCTTATCGATACGGAGAAAAAAAGTTTCGGACCTGGAGTCGGCCGTCCGCCAAACACATCTTCTCCAACCACCCTTCTTCTCATTCTAATACTGCGAAGATGGTGAAACGCAAGCTTGGAGCCTTGGAAAAGGTCGAGGCTGATCTGTATGTGCTTTTTTCCCGTCGATGCGCCCGTCGATCAGAGCTTTCAGTCCGAGATACTAACGTCGTTGGTTTGCGCTCTGCAGGCCCAATTTGCAACACAAGATTCGCAAGGATCCCAAGTAAGTTGATGAAGAGTTCTCATGCGTTTGATTCATGCTAGATCGGGGCTAATTTTGCTTCGCGCTTCTCAGGTCCTATATTGAAGATTTCCGCGCTCAACACTACCAATATGAATCCCACCGCGAGATCTTCATGGCCTCGCCCTCGTCCGCTACGGATACCGGTGTGATCTCTCTGCGTGATCTTATTGATTTCATCTCCCATGTGGCCGACTGCTATCCCGATATCCTGAAGGACTTCCCCCAACAGCTTATTGACATGCTCATGCAGCACCACCTTGTGTTGGAGACTGAGTTGCGCGAAAAGCTGGTTGGAAGCCTGGTTCTTTTGAAGAAGAAGGATGTCATTGACTCCGCCACGTATGTCGGCTCTCCTACCAATTCCCTACTTTTGTTCTAACAATCTTCAGCCTTCTGCACACTCTCTTCCCCATTCTTGTCGCCACACCCAGCAAGACTCTGCGTGCTTTGTTGTTCCAGAAAATCCTTTCGGAGCTTCGCACTTCGAATTCCAAGACCACCAACCACAAGCTGAACCGGACTATGCAAACCGTTCTCTTCAACTTGGTCACATCTGATCGTACATCGTCTAAAGGTCTCTGGGCCATCAAGATTACTCGAGAGTTATGGAAGCGCCAAATTTGGACTGAGGCCAAGGCCGTTGAGATCATGAAGGAGGCTGCTTTGTCTGAGAACGAAAAGGTTATCATTGGTGGTGTCCGTTTCTTCCTTGGTGGTGACAAGGAGCGTGAGGACATGGAGGATGAAGACAGTGACGAGGAGGCCGTCAGCGTCGGTCAAGTCAAGCACCAACTTACTATCAACAAGAAGACTCGCAAGAAGGCTCGTGCCGCCGAGAAGGCCATCAAGTCAGTCAAGGCCAAGGAGAAGAAGAAGAACCAGCCCCATCCTCTCAACTTCTCCGCTCTTCACTTGCTGCACGATCCTCAAGGATTTTCGGAGTCTATGTTCTACAAGCATCTCCAGAACCAAAAGTCTAAGCTGAACTTGGAACAGAAGCTCCAAGTTCTCCAGTTGGTGTCTCGTCTCGTGGGTCTGCACCAGTTGCACATCATGCCTCTCTACTCCTACTTCCAAAAGTACCTTACTCCCCGTCAACCATCTGTGACTTCATTCTTGGCTTCTCTGGCCCAGGCCTCCCACGACTTGGTTCCTCCTGATGTCCTCGAGCCCCTTATCCAAAAGATTGCCAACGAGTTTGTGTCTGAAGCCTCAGCCGGTGAGGTTGCCACTGCTGGTCTCAACGCTATTCGTGAGATCTGTGTGAGACAGCCTCTGGCCATGGACGAGACATTGCTGCAGGATCTTGTCATGTACAAGAAGAGTAAAGACAAGGGTGTCATGATGGCCTCCAAGGGTCTTCTCAGTCTTTTCCGTGACGTTGGAGCGCAGATGCTCAAGAAGCGTGACCGTGGTAAGGAAGCTTCTATGGGTCTGCGCGCTGGCACCAAGCAAGAAAGACGTTTCGGTGAGCAGCAAGCCGGTGGCATCGAGGGTCTGGAACTCTTGGCCAAGTGGAAGGATGAGGAGCGCCGCAAGAGGAACGTGGAGAAGGGCCTTCCCTCAGACGCTGAAGAAGATGATGAGGAGGCCGACTGGGCCGCCTGGAACGTCGAAGATGATGACGACAGTGATGACTCGGGTGAATGGATCAATGTGGAGGAGGATGTTGAGATCGAAATGAGTGATTCCGAGGATGAAGGAAAGGCGCCACCCTCAAAGAAGGCCAAGGCAGATGCCGAGGCTGAAAAGAAGGACAGTGAAGAGCAGGCTGAGAAGGAGGCCGAGAAGGAAGAGGAAATGGATTTCATGAAACTGGCCACCACCCGCATCCTCACACCCGCTGATCTTGCTAAGCTCGCTGAGCTCCGCACCCAAGCATCTGTCGATGCTCTCCTACCAGGCAACAAGGGCAAGCGTGCTGCTCCTTGGACTTCTCGTCACACCGATGATCCTCTGACTGCTCACGAGATTGAGGGTCTTGCTGCTCTGTCTGCTGCTAAGGCCACACGTGAGGAGAAGATTGCCCACGCCAAGGAAGGTCAGCCCGACCGCTCTGAGCGTAAGTCTAAGGAGGCTAGACGTAAGGAGCGCAAGGAGGAGCAAGGCAAGAGTTCTACCAACAAGGAGAAGGCTCGCCGCAAGAACTTCCTCATGACGTTGGGTAAGGCCCGCAGCAAGAACAAGAGAAGTTTGGTGGAGACTCGGGCCGTACTCAAGGCTCATCATGATCGTGCCAAGCGTGGTGGAAAACGTGGAAATATTGGTCAATGAAAGAGTTGATGTCTTGTCATGTTTCAAAAATAATGATTGTTCGTTATACATTTGCTGTCTCTTCTGACATTGATATGTTCGTCCAAGCATAGGATATATAGTACTATTATCGGCGTATTTATGAATCTACATTGGCTTCTAACATATGATGCTGCATCATATTGTAGAGTAGCAACTGTTGAATAACTTACAATCCCCTCCACCGGATTGGCTATACTTCACTATGTCACGTGCTCGCTATGCCACATTGGGACTAATTGAACGTCTAGTCGCGCGTCCCGCGTCGAGTCGCGTTGCCCAGCGACCATCGCTCATTCTTTTTCTTTCCTCCACCCCTCCCTCACCTACCATACGTCACACCTGCAGCGCAATTAGTTGAACCACGATCGAGCCAGCTCAATATCTCTCGCCTCCCAAAGACAATTTTTCAGTTGTCGTCACAATGCCGTCCCTCGCGGCCTCCAACCCATCGAAGAGTACGCTGTCAAAGAAGCGTCGCTTCCAACCTCCTATCACGGGATACTTCACGGCCGCTTCTCCGCCAGTGCCTACAGAGACACCTGCCGTTTCACACCACCACCATTACTCCGCTGCGACATTTTCTGCCACACCTGTTGTTCCGGCCAAAGTGCAGTCTTCTCTCCTTTCCGTCGGAATGCGGGTCCGCAAGTCTGTTGCAGAAGGATATAGAACCCACATGGCTAAGGCTGAAGAAAAAGTCCCACTTTATGCAGGTGTCGCTCAGACCCCCGCTGCTCAACCTTGCAGCCACGAGCTTACTCCTTTCTCGGGTTCTACCAAACGCCCATTTGACCATGATGAATACCTCGTGAATGATGATGGAGATGCCTTTTCCATTCCACCGAGTAGTCAGGAGTCTACCTCTTCATATCAGGAGACACTGGGTGGTCAAAAAAGAGCTTTGAATTTTGACAGTGACATGCTTGACGAGGAAGATTACTATCCACAATCCCACAATTTCAATGACGAGCCCTGGCAAGATAACTTGTCCGCAGTGGGACAAAGTCGTCGCATTCTTGCTGTGCGTCGCAATATGACCCAGCAGCCTGTTACGGACCTGGATGACTTTGAGGAGGCTTCTTTCCTTCGCCGCAGGGAAGAAGTCGATGCAGATTATTCACGTATGGACTGTGCTTAGGCTTTGGTTCCCCTTGGCACGTTTGTTTCTCTTTAGCCACTGTGTGGCATGCTACAATATCCCTTGCTTCTCTCCAAGTCTGATTGGCTTGATCTACCACGTTGTATTATATACCCTTGCTCCTCTATGTTGTACCATATCATCCATATCATCCTGTATCATTATCCGCCATCTACGTTGTGCGGTTTGAACATGCTCTTCAAAGCCCAAGTTGGCATTATCGTAAGTCCCGTTGTATTTTCGAATAAGCCTCAAAAAACGAAAGTGGCCGTCCATGCAAACTATCCAAATAAACGCCCGATATAGAAAATGTAAACCAACAACCCAGCCCACCCTCAACCAAATAACCATTTTCTCCAACTTTGCCTCCAAGGCTTCCAAGTCCCCCCAAACCGATGATTGATACAAGCATGATGGCTATTGAATCCCTCAGATCCACTATGCCTCTGCCCATTCCCCCAAGCATTCAAAGGGAGAACACACAACCCCCCAAGCATCTTCCCACTGCTCGTCTCACTCTCATCAACACAAAGTGTTTCCTGGAGCTGATGAAATGGCGCCCACGTCACCCGCTGCACAGGAAGCGCTGAAGAAGAAGAGATCAAATCGCCCAATTCTTCATCCGCATCCATGGATTTTTGAATAAGTCGGTGATCGGATGGCAATGTCTCCGACAGAATGTCTAGAACCGTATCGGTGAAAACACCCGGTCCGGTTATCTCCAGTGTGGTCATTTCGTTATATCGTGCGCCCCAGATGTGGCTTTGTGCGATGTGCTGTTTTGTGTGTGAAAGGACACGCACGATCACTTCTCGGAGGATTGGGCTGAATCGCTGTGGTGCGTACATCGTGTATTGTAGGAATCCGTACCTTCGTACCCAGTGCCAGTCGTGCATTTTCTCGGTGGAGGCGAAAGGTTCATCGATTTCTATGCCTACTACCAGGGATATGTTTCTGTTGGTCATGGCCGTGTTGGGGCCCTGGTTGAAGAGTGTGTTTTGCATTGCGGGACAGGTCTTTATGCTTGTTGCTGGGTAGACGTCGATGTCTGCGTAGTAGCCGCCATGGTACCAGAGGATTAGATAGCGGAGAAGATCGCCGCGAAGGACATAACCAGGATAGGATTTGTACAGATACTCCAAGTCTGGGATTGAGGCGAGGGTTTCGGTGATGAATTTGTCTGCCCATTTGGCGTTCACGAGCTAGCTCGGTGTTAGTCTGGGTCCATGATGGATGGTTCATGCTGTGAGTATCTCACTGAATAATTCCACTCTGCGTTCTTCTTCTCAAATTGAAGAGAATCCTCGCCGCGCTTATCGTTGTCCATCAACATAATCTGCCACACTGTATCCGGAGCTCCGATATCTCCGCGGAGTTGGCCCTCAATCTCGAGGTCGTGTAGTGCATTCGAGATTTTGATCTCATATTCATAGTTGGGATTCGTTCGAAATGGCGACTGGTGGAGATACCAAGGTCGGTCCTGGGAACGCTCAAACCGGGCATCCGGTCTGGTGCTTGGCAGTAGAAATTCGAATATCACAAATAGAACCACGACAGCAACCAGCAGGGCTGATCGCTGTCTGTTCAGAGACCCCAGATATGAGCGGTGCCTCATGGTGAGTGGTAAAAAAGATCAAAGCCATGGGAGGGGAGAAAGGTGAAACGCGGAATTGAGCATTTCCCCATTTGGGGAGGTTTAGCCTCGAACATGGCTTGACCGGGTTGGACCCCGTTTGCTCAGTGTGGAGATGGCTGTGGCTTGGCTGCTTGGCGGGTTCAGGGCTCTATTCTTGGGTTTCACGGGACTGTAAAGAATTAGGAGATCTAGTAACGCTATGATTACAGTACTGGACTAGAACTTCTAGCTGATCACTGTACAACTCTTCCATAGATCAGTCAACGTTGCTTGAAACACACAGCCCACGAGGAAGAGTGGTTCTTGGTCACACTAGCCGTGTTAGGCCATCTCCAAGTGGAGAAACACCTTAAGTACAAGAACATAGCAGTCGTTCTTCTTTCTGCCTTATGATTTCTTTCCTGTGGATAAATTCAATAGAGCCAACAGTGAATCTCAGAAGTACTGGCTGTCATCTTTGAATTAATTAATCATATTCCCGTTGTAGACGATAAAACCTAAGATACCCAATAAACATACACAATAAACCCAGCCATATTCAAGTAACAACTTGTAAACAAACCCCCGAAAATGCTTGAATCATCCGAATAAACCCATCACGCCAGGCGCAGAGCCAATGGACTATGCCCCTTCTTATCCTTCTTGCTCCCGTTGTCTGGTTCATCCACATGCCCCTGCCATGCCCGCTCAATAGCCTGCACTTCACCCCAAACCAGCTTTCTCGCTTTATGTCGCTCAACGCCCTCATCAAGAAGCTTGTCATAGTCTGTCTTCACATGTCGAATGTGCGCCTCAACAGCAAGCTGAATACGGTGTTTATCAGATATCTTCGATGTTCTGCCTACCCGGCCTGATCCTTTCAGGAATGCATGGTTGAGAATGCTTTCCAGGCTTGGTTTGGGCATTAGTGGGAATTCTTCCTTGAGTAGCTTGCGGTTTTTGCGGGTTTCATTTGCGTCGCGGACTTTGACTGCATCTGCGCGTGATTCTGCGGTTGCGGCTGCTGATTCCAAGACTGTTGTGTGGATTTCTGATGGCACTCGGATTCCCAGTGTGTGTTTGCCGTTGGGTTTCTGGGATGTAGGTTAGAGTTGATCGGGTAGCTTTGAAATGGCTGGAGCTGCTCTTACGTAGACCAAATAGACTATCTGATTTGATTCTTTAGTCTTGCTGCGGCAGTGTCGTGTGATGTATACGTCGCCTTTTGGGACGAAGAGATACCCTTCGGGCATGGGGACACGCTCGAGAATATTCTGCACACCGTTCATTAGAAAGATGGCCTGTCTACAGAGCTAGACTGAGCTCACCTGTTCAAGTGGATCATCCGAGACAGGAACAACAGCAGCCCGTGGCTTTGCCTTTCGCTTCTTTGGTTTAGTCTCATTGAAGACTTCAGATAGTGGCTGGGCTTGAGCTGCATCTGGGGCCACCGGGCGGGCCTTGCCACCACGGTTCCGAACGCGTCTATTCTTTCCTTTGCGGCGAGCCTTGCGCTTATGAGCTTTGGACTTGGTCACATCTGTCATCTTTGGTGGGATGATTCAAGCAAGGAGCGTCAGGGTGGTGATGTTGACACAGTTTTGGTGAAATCGGAGATGTCAGAGATAACTCAAATTAGACCAAAGGTTGTTCATGACATGTTCTGGGCATTGTTGTCTGAGTCAACATTGAATGATCTTTGATGCTTCAAACCAGGCACCCTGTGGCGCTGTGGCGCTGTGGCTGAGTTTGCGCCTAAGTTGACAGGCCGCTAACCCACTCCAGTTCACTCAGTTAAGCACTTGAAGCTGAATGAATAGTGTACTGTGATGATTGAAATCCCCTGTCGTATTATCTATTATATTATAGAGCTGAATATCGTATGCGATATAACTATTCCACTTCCGACATTTTGGCCTCAATGCACGCTCCCGATGTTTAGCCCTCTTAGGCTTGTCTTACTCTCAGGTTTTCCGAATTCAAATACAGCTAAGATATGCAACATAAGATTGGCAGTACATTGGAAATATATATATATACATGTTTTTATGAATACTATAGCCGCAGCTTCGTCTGATAGAGATACGAAGGAGATCATGGAGCGCCTTGGTGGCCAACTATCGTGGACTGGACGAATGGCCAAGTTCGGACTGTTTTTTGAATCACAGTGTTATTAATATTCAAGCTCAAGTATGTTGACTCAAACCCCTGACTAGATTGACGATCCCCTTATTCCACACTTGCGCGGGTTGTCTCCATTCGTAGTGGTAGATGCAGGCTGTAGTGGTAGGAACACTGTCGCATGTAAACTAGTACAATTTTTATTGTAGCAGGCTTGGAGATGCCTGGGGATAATGAAAAACGCGTGATTTGTGGTGCAGGTTGCTGTTTGGCTAATTCTTTGTGCTAACAACGAGCTACTCCTAATAATGGACCAATACATTTGTTATTACTTTCGACCATTACTTTACTCAGATATCCGAGATAACGCAGCCGTGCAACGGGGAGAAAGCAGATGTATCAGCATTGCAGGCAGTAGATATCGGGGAGAGAGGGTGAAATTTCAGAGCATTTTGTGTGTAAAAGAGTTAATGCGAACAACTGCTTACCACTTTCTCCAGGGCTGCCTGCCTCGGGCATTGGTCTAATAGTATTCAGCACTTTTTTAAATGGGTGAACCATGGACTTCTTCATGCAGAAGCCCTGGTTGAGCCCAAATTATCAAGCGAATGATCGCACCGTTTTTGTGTTCAATAAAAAGCTGCACTTGCAGTAGAAAGTAGAACAGACCTTAATGAAAATATTACCATACATATAATAGGCAGTCTCAATCAACATAAATATCAAAATTTAAAAGCAAATCGCTTCTGATATTTACTGTCATCCTCGAAGCTATTCATTCTAATCTACGATCAGGCATTTTTATCAGGAAAGAACGTTTTGCCTTACCTACAATCTACTCATCTAAGCAGGCTTGCTAAATTGACTTAAAATTACCAGCTTTCAAGGTTTCCATTCCACAAATAGCGCCTATCACTCTCCTAGTCACTTGATTGACTAGGAAATACGTAGCTAGCCATGATTGTTCAATCTCTCTGGTTCTCTTCTTGGACTTATTTTGTTGGTGATTGGTTTTTTTTCGTGTCATAGTATTTATTAACTTTAATATCACATCACAGTATTTCATGATGATAGATCTAGAAATAGATTTATACGTTCAGCAAAAGCGCCGCGTTAAAAGAATTTTAGTAAGAGAAGGGCCATTAATAAACAATCATAGTAGAACTTTGATACCCCGGCCAATCATAGAGTAGAGCATAAGCAAGTTCTTTATATTACTTGATTCAGGTTATCTACAGTAGAAATCACAGAGCCAACCTCTTGGTTTATGTATTTGTGCAGTCTACCATCAGTTTCACCGTTAGACTCAGCCTGGTTCTTCTTCTCTTTGGTTCTTCTCGAACTTCATTTTCATACCAAGTCAGTCTATTTCTAGCAAAGCTATCTTAGACTATCAATTAGGTAAAAATTCTATAGTTGACTTAGGTCAAGGGTCTCTCTTCGACTAATAACACTAGCGCCACTGAGACAGAAAAAAAGAAGAAGAAAAAAGGGAAATTTATTATGATCCGCTCTGTAGCCTTTAAAGTCTAGTACAAATTGTGAAGTGTGAAGAATTGTCTTCACTTAGTCCACTAGTGAGTTGTACACGGAGACAAGAAACAGGCATTGAGTAAAAGTGCTTCTTTGCCTATGTAGTAATCACCTCGAAGACCTGAGATTATGTAGGCCTCTCCCAAACACTTATTAAAACCTGAGTCGAGCATCAAACCCCTTCTAAAAATGACTATACCGACCCTGTGCGTTTTCAAACAATCCCTCGCAATAATCATATTTCCTATGGCTCTTCTAAAGCAACCAAAAGGCGCCTGCCAAAGCGATGGCATTTTTTATGTATCATAATCTATCCTCGAAAAGGCGGTTCTATAATAGCTGGTTATAGGTAGTAGATAATTGACGTTATCGATAAAGTATGTTCCTAAAGGGGTTGTGGTTTTGGTACATAATGGTTGGGATTTTTCGACATCATTATATCTGGTTCCATAACTCAGTTGGTTAGAGTGTGGTGCTAATAACGCCAAAGTCGAGGGTTCGACCCCCTCTGGAACCATGATTTTTTTGCCCTTTGTAAGTAAGTAAGGAAGGAAGGGTGCTGATAGTTTTACTCAATTGGTACGTACTTTATATTTCACGAGGTAGATACTCGGTGCGCATAAATTTCAGACCACGTCCTTGGAATATAGTGGCAAAAGATTGAGATATTTTCATACTCGGTTCCATAACTCAGTTGGTTAGAGTGTGGTGCTAATAACGCCAAAGTCGAGGGTTCGACCCCCTCTGGAACCATCTTATTTTTTTTGTCAATTTTCATCATTCCATGGTAGACTTTGGCCGAGTCACCAAACAGACACCTGCGATAGATGCGGTGTCTAGTGAACGACCGGGGCATATGTTTATACCGCTGTATAATTAAATCAAATAGAAAGACTATATCCAGGGACTGGTAGTGATTATCGTGGGTCTTCTATCTAGTCGAAAATATCTTCTCGTAGAAAGGGTATACTAGAGGATAGATTCTTATATCAGAACAATATCGGGGGTTGGGAGTTGTCAATATTGAGCATCATTCTCAAAATCTATAAAGATAATAAAAGAATAAAAGTATGAAGGAACACATAATAATAACTTGAAAGAAGAAAATTGATCATTGATCAATTTATAAACATAAGTACAATCTAATATCTAAATGTTACGGACGTACCAGGCACCAATCAGTATAGGGCCGCAACTTGTTGATGGGCGGTCATAGACCAGTCGATCAACCGACCCATCAGGATCACGTGACGAATAGTCAGAGAGACGCGATTGGACGAACAAGGCGGGTGCCTTTTTCGGCCCTCGATTTACCAGCACCCAGAATACACCACAACGCTAGGTACCGGTAAAGCCACTTACGGCCCCCTCAGCACAAACACATATTCTCCCCTATAAGAATATCGGAATTACGTCAGCCTAACCACGTGATTATACAAGTAGTAGAACAGTCGACAGTCGTCGAGTAGAACAGTTCTACTGTTCTACTTTCTACTTATCTACAGGAAGGACTCGGGACATATATAGGACCTTATATATCTAGTTTAGTTCTTCGTGTTCGATCATCTATTGTTACTTATATCTACTGTTTAGAAACCTTTATGACTCGTATAACTTAATTATAACTTAACAACACCACGGGAAGGCCTATATCTCGGTATAGACTAACTCGGCGCTCTACTTAGCATCGCTCCTCGATACCCTTAAAAGGACTTAGTCCGTATGAGGCCTACTAGGCAGCGGTACGGTTAAGAGACAGATCGTTGAGGTTGGAAGTCAGCATAACAGGCAAGTATAACCTAGGGACTCTTCTAATATAGCGACGACCCGGAAGCAAGTGCGTAACACTAAACTGTAAGTAAAGTTAAAAACTATAATATATATGAACACTATATAAGAGAATTCTACGAAGACTGTAAACCGAGTAATAATATAAAAATAAATAACCTCGAAGAAAATATAAGACCTAAGAATTCAAAGGAAAAGCTGGGAGCTATAAGAAATCATAAAAGATCACTGAAAACGTCTACGATATATACGAGTACAAAATCGTACGAAAATAGATATAACGGATACGTCTACGAATATAACGAGTATGTCTAAGTATAACGCAATATACTAGATATATTATGAAGAAGAGAATAGAGAAAATGACTTAAATAAAGCTAGATTATCTAGCTAAAAAGATGATCAATTTAAGGAAAAATTTCTTAGATTCTTAATTTATCCTCAATCTCCTGCCTATCAACCTTTGATAGACACTACAAAACCAGGATTTAACAAAGGAACTCAAAAGAAAAAAGATATCTGCTCAAAGTTCCAAACATAAGTACAATCTAATACTAGATCTGCAGACCAAGTTTGATCAGAAAAATAATATATACAAATACCACATAAAAGAATTCTACGAAGCCTTTAAAACATGTCACCATACAAAAAGAAACGACTTCACAGAATATATAGCAGATCCAAGAGTTTAAAAGAAAAGTTAGGTAATCCTGCTCAATTTAAGTTAAATCTCTCTGTTCTTCCTTTTTGATACATTCGGCTTATTTGCTATATTTGGCTTATATTGCTATATCCGTAGGAATCCTAGGGTTGTATTCTTATTGTTATATCTTGAGGTTTTCTTGGATTTCTGGATGCAGTTTTCCTGAATGCGATTGCCATGCATTTTTCTGCGCTCGTAATTCTTCTATATTTTTCTATAGTTCTTTGCTCTTCTTTAGAATCCTTTGATGTTCCATTTTTTCTGTTGTCTTGTTCCTTTTTGTATGTTTACTTGTTTTGGAGTCTTTATGGAATTCTTATGTATAGTGTTTGCATGTATTGTTTTTCTGTTCAGACTTGTGTTGAAGTTCTTATGCCAAGTTGTACTTGTGTTTGGAACTTCAGTACGTCTCTTTTTTCTTGTTTCAAGTTCTCTTTATGAGTTTCTTCATATTCTTATTCTTTTATTGGATCTTGTTTTGTTTCTTGTTTTGTCTAATATTGATACACCGCGCTCGATGTATTAAGTATATATATATTATTTATATCTTCCTGGTCTTATGCTAGAATAAGTATGTATTCAGAGTGTCAACTTTGCTAGCAAGCTAACACGAGGTATTACTAGATATTGTAGTGAGAAATCTCGTGATATGTAGGATTACTGCCTTAGGCCTCCGAATCCTTCATCAAGGATAAAGCTCCTATATACTCGATCAGACTGCCACCACAGCGTCCCCATTTCAATATATGACAATTCATTGATAGAAATAAATTTATTGCGCTAATCACATGACCAGGTTCCATAACTCAGTTGGTTAGAGTGTGGTGCTAATAACGCCAAAGTCGAGGGTTCGACCCCCTCTGGAACCATGATTTTTTTGCCCTTTGTAAGTAAGTAAGTAAGGAAGGAAGGGTGCTGATAGTTTTACTCAATTGGTACGTACTTTATATTTCACGAGGTAGATACTCGGTGCGCATAAATTTCAAACCACGTCCTTGGAATATAGTGGCAAAAAATTGAGATGTTTTCATACTCGGTTCCATAACTCAGTTGGTTAGAGTGTGGTGCTAATAACGCCAAAGTCGAGGGTTCGACCCCCTCTGGAACCACGGATATTATCTTGTATAGATTTATTTTTTGCCTTTTCTAGGCTAATCTTTTTTATAAATTATAAGTGATTGAGTTAGTTCTACATGTCTTTTTAAACACCTGGACAGATAGGATAGGCCTTACAGCAGGTGTGACTTTCTAAGCCTACGAAATCAAGAAGCATCAAAATAGAGTGCATCGATTCAAGCCAATTCAGGTTAGAGAGAGAAGAGAGGAAGTAAGGTACATCTTCTATTAAATGTCTTCATCCGCTCACTCCACTTTTTTGAATTTGTTTTACACCAAACATATTGAAATGGGAACGGCGCAATGGCAATCTGATAAGACAGACAGGTCAATACCGAATATTGGATAACAGACATGGATGGCAATGAAGCCCACTAAAGATAATCCGATCTTGAATTATGTAGCTCAGTGGGACATCAAATTGCTGTGACATTCATGTAATCTAGGACCCTCCCCGAGGTACCTTATGATAGATTCCTCCTTTTACATACACCGGTCATTTGAGTACCCTCTATGTATCTACACCACTATTCAGACTACCAGGAGGTAATGAAACATGATGTATCCTTAATCGGGGCTTAATGATTTCTTGTTCAACATGTCGTATAATACCCCCAATCCTTCCGTACGGCACCTAAACGTCCAATAATACTCTAATTTAGCGTATCTATATTATATTGATCCAACACCACCTATATCTAATGTTATCACGGTCAAAGGCATAATATAATGACAAAACCGAGGATGAAACCCGAGGATAAGAGAGGTAGATGATGATGAGATGGATAATCTTTCTGACTAGGAAGTTGCTCTGTATGTATGTTTTTTGTCAGTTCTAGATGCTTGGGTCCTACTTGCGTAATTTTCTAGCCGCTGTACCCAGTTATTTAATTCATCACTAGGAAATCTGATGATCACAACTCATCATCCTAATCGTATTTCTCGCGTCACATGTTCGTGCTATATTTGATCATCTCATGTTTACCCTCATTTATCATAATATCGCTTTTCATAATATACTTAAGATAAGCATATTCAAGGATTAGTCTCTGATTAGAATAACACTTTTTCTTGCCATTGCCTTCTCTTTAAATATTTCTATACCAACCACCTGGCAGGCTGTCTACCTAGCAATACGATATCACTTCTTACGCAGAGGGAAGGGCAAAGAAGCAATGACTAACCGTGGCCAGGGTTCAAGCAACGCAGCGTACTGGAATATGCGTCGAAGCACTCGCGAATTGCTACCGACTCAAGTTAATAACAACAATGAAAAGTCCTCGGGTCAAGAAATTTTACCTAGCGTTGAGCCTCACATGGTGGATTTTTCGTCGGTTTGCTCCTTATAATGATTTGTCCACCTTGTTCGCATCCACATAAGAAGCCTAAGTGAGAATCTGCTTATACTCATCGAGGAAATTTCGAGGAGCTCCTTGGAAAAGACTCTGTAGATCTTCCAACTATGACTCCCTCGTTCGAATAGTGAATTCAAGTGAATTCAAGTGAAAAGTTCCAATTTTGAACTTGATTTCACCCTTATGCTTTTCGTCATAATCTGAAACTCTGTCGTCACAGAGACGTTTCGACCGTTTCTCTGATGAAAGTTTGAGGATATTCTGCATATAATTCATCTTTTTCTGCATCTATTGACCAGTTTAGAGAAATCCGGCGGTTTCGGTTTGGGGTTCAACGCTACGCAAAACCTTATTGTTCATTCTTTTGTCTATCTATACCTCAACCACTTGACAGGCTGTCTACCTGACAACAGAAAAATCATCTTTTACAGGGATTGCCCGATTTCTCACGATTTTTGACAGTCTCATCCTCTAGGACTTTGGCTTTTGTGACATATAAGGCTTCCTGTTTAACTTACAAGATAGACACGTAGACACAGACACTCTTTCTCTTCTACCAACCACCTCTATGCTCTCCTCTCTTGGATTGTTCTACTTCTTATAGATGGCCTCGTTTGTAGACTGACAGGACCGGGTCAGATAACATGTGAATGACAATATTTTGGCTTACAGCCCAAAATTTTTTGTTTTTTCGCATCAAATAGGGTTCCATAACTCAGTTGGTTAGAGTGTGGTGCTAATAACGCCAAAGTCGAGGGTTCGACCCCCTCTGGAACCACGGTTTATTTTTTGTCCTTTCTTAAAAATATACTACTAGTTTTTGATCTTTATTATTTACATAGGAAGCGAAGTTCTCAACGTGCGGAGGAAAGAAAGAGAGATCTAGAAACAGAGCAGCAGAAATGCAATGACGAATGAAGCGAAATCTACGCGCCCGAACTAATAGTTATGGTCTGGCATATGTTTTCAAAGTTGACTGAAGATATAGTCTAACTGTCAGGACCACCTGCTGACTGGGAGTGTTGGCTGCCTCGGAACCCTGGGGCCTGTTACTCGTTAACAGGGAATGACCCACTTCCCATACACTATCATGTCATGTGAGGACAGCAGTTGAATAGGAGTCCCACGCTGATTCTGGGAATCAGCGTTCAGTTGACTTTTTACAATGTATACCCATTATTAATGTATATGCATTTATCCGGTTCTATCTCGCTTGCCCATCCAAACCCAGAGATTAGCGTAGTCTCACAGATACCCGAGAGCATCAAATTGTTGGCACTTTAATGCGTCAAATAAATCCTCAATCCTGGCCTACACATTTTGGACTTGGTGGGCATTCGGTCCGCATTTTAACTAGGTGGCAGCATAGCGAACTGAGGTATCTCATGTTCGTAGGCTCTGATGTAGAATCAAGAAATGCATTCCAGTTTACATGCAGTTTCATCGCATTTTGTCTTGGACACCTAAGGCACACGGTTTATGTCGCAATTACCTTACGAATACTGCATGAAACCGGATCTATAGATGATCCGTCGACATAGCTTATGTAACTAGAATGGACCCATAAATAGCGAAGAATAGGGGTAATGGAAATACAGAGTCATTGACATCTCCAATTGGCCGGATACAGTACAAATTGTGACAGTTATGAGCCCGGTTCGCACCTATTAGGAATTTATTTGCTATCACTCTTGAAGCTATTCGCAAGCTGAAAGGTTCTGAAAGTATCTCGCCGACTTCCTACCCCTGAATCCCTCCGATCCTTACTATCCAACCATTTCGCAGGATCCTCGCTTCATCGCATTAGAAGCAGCATCTTGAATGGAGACGGCATCAATGCTCTCCGCCTTGAAGGGCGATAAATTGAAAGACTCGTCACAATGGCGAGTATGGTATAAGAGGATAAGGGCATTCGCAATAAATCGGACCGTCTAGGACCTTTGCAACCCTAACAACGATGAAGCCTATCGTCCGAAGGCTCTAAAAGAGCCACGGGAGCCTAAGTATCCGCTAGATACGGATCCGGAGGCTAAAAAGGAGTAGAGAGACCTCTTAGAGGTCTACAAAATTGGAGCTAACCGCTAGGAGAAGCAGCGGAAGGGCCTTAATAAAGTGAATAAGTATATCATCACCTTCGTAGATAGTAGTCTCCGCGACGTAGTCCTCGAATTCGATACCCCGTATAACCGTCTAGTCTATCTAAAGACTAGGTTCGCGCGTACGCCCGCGTTCAAGGAGGAAATTCGGATACAATAGAGAGCTTTCTCGACCGTAAAACCAGCTAGAGATATCGAGAAATAGCTTACTTCTTAGACTAAACTAAGAGAGCAAGCGGTTAGTCTCTAGCTTCCTAAAGCCGAGAGCGCCAATTAGGACTTCCTATAAGTAGTTAAAGAGGTCTTACCGATCTAGTGGTAAGCTAAATATTAAGAGATCGTAATAAATAGAGCCTTATACGATACTTAGAGTCTTATCGAATCATTCAGAGCTCTATATCGGGAAATTGGCTAGTCCGATCTATCACTGTAAGCACTACCGCTAGCGCCAAAGGGGTCTTTCTCCACTTAGTAGGGTTATTAGGAAGCAAAAAATGACTCTAGGAAGCTAAAGGAAGACGTCCCCTTCGAGAAAAGACTATACCCCTACGGTAATAAGCATCCGAAGTATCAACCTACTACCTACTAGGTTGTCAATAAATCAATTCGACCCGACGGATACTAGCCAAGGAAAGAGAATCTCTAGAAAATAGAGAAAGCTCTACTAGCCGACCCGGCATAGAGAAAATAGATCTAAGAAACTATCGAAAAATCGTCAAATATACCGGCAAACGCAGTCCAATTAAACCTAGGAAATATCTCCTTTTCAAGCTAGGAAATTGGGTCACAAACTACTATCTTAGCACTTCGCGACCGATAGATCCTCGATACCGGCTCTAGTGTCTATATCTACAATAAGAGAAGCTGGTTCGTCAACATTATACTAGCTAGGGAGACTCTCGCGACGGGAGACGGAGGTATAGTAGTTATTAGACGTAGGACGGTGAAACTCACCGGCGCCGACCCGATAATAGGGCAAGAGAAGACTATTACCCTAAGTAATACCTACTACGTACCTAGGTTTTATATCAACCTAGTATCGTACGCAAGGTTGCGAGAAAAGGGTAGTAAATGGTCTAAAGCCAAAGGGTATATCTAGGATCACTAGGGTATCCCGATAGTTAGCCTATATCCTCGGAAGCAGCACGGGTTATAGATCTTTAATAAACCTAATAAAGCTATTTAGAACACTACTAATACAGTGTCCTCGGCACTACGGTAGGAGAAGGGTTTAACGGAACTATGGTATCGTCGCCTAGCCTATATATAGCCTACAACCCTTAATCAAATACCAAAGATAGTCGAAGGAGTGACAATCGATATAAAGAAAGTAGTAGCTAAGGTATACGAGATATACAATATAGGAAGGTCGAATCGGCAAGTGTCTAGGAAGCTAATCGGACGAAGCTTTGGCCGATTTAGCAGAGTACACTTCGACCTAATTTAGCTACCTTATACCTATAATAGGCATCGATAGATCTCTCACTTTTACGTCGAAGGAATCCGGTTTCACTAGGTTATAACGTATAAACTCAAACCTAAATATCAGCTAGCTATCACCTAGTTCGTCCAATTAGCCAAAAATTGGTAGAACCTACCGATTAAGGCCTTCCATTATAACAATAAAGCTTCGGCAGGAAGGGTATTAGAGAGGAGCTTAACGTCGGACGGTATAGTGGTCTATCATAGTCTACCAAAGTATCTAGAGATAAATAGATACGCCGAGAGAGTAGGGGGTATTATAATCTTACGTATAAGGATACTAATACTCGAAGGGAAGCTCCCTAAGGAACTATAGCCTAAAGCAGCAATAGTAGCAGTCTAGCTGCTAAATCGGATACCAACCTACTAGCGGGAAGACAACCGCTAGATAGTGCTATAGGACGAAGTCCGTAAGAATTTTGCTACTAGCAAAGCTATTCCGAAGGTTAACCTATCAAATATTAGGTTATACGGAAGTCTTGCTTACTACCGTATTAAGAAGTAAGTGTAATCGGATAAAATAAATCTACGCGCTAAGATTGGTTTCCTCGTTAGTTATCTATTAGCAAATATCTAGAAAATATGGTTTCCTTAGTATAGAAAGGTCAAATTAGTCAGAGATACCGTATTCGATAAATCACGGCGATACTCCACGGATTTTCAACACTTTTAGTAGATTCTACTACCGTTAGAAAAGGAGCCGTAGGAATTAGACTAAGCAGAGACTAAGAGAGCATTCTAGGCATCATTGATAAGTAGAGAGATACCTAAATTGGAAGCTAGGACCGATAGTGAAGACGTCTAGGAAGCACCAGTGAGAAATAAGACTCTAGGAAGAGATAGTTTTTCGGCCGAAAAACCATCTTATACAGCAAGCCGCCAAGGGGTATATGATATACCTAGCAGCCAGCGTTTTGAACCTATATCGGTCCTACTAGGCGTATTCCCGTAGGAAATTCCACTACCTCCGATACCTCCACGTAAATAAGAACCTCCTATAGCTCGTCAAGGGGTAGAGACGCCGGAAATATAGGCCAGGGACCAGCTCTAGGAGGTCTAGCAAGCGACCTAGGAAGCCCAAAAGGTCCAGTAAGAGACCTAGGAAGCTTATGAAAATAGTGAATCGGACGATAAAGCCGAAGTATAGCTATAAGCGGAGCTAGCACCGAGAGAACTAGCTCTAAGGGATATCAACGGCGATCTAGATAAGGCAAATATTATATCTAGACCAAGAAGAAGGTTAGTAAAACGGGACGATACCTTCGCGTACGCCACCATAGAAGAACCCCCAGCTTTCCTCTATACATTCGCAGCGGCCCTATACGCGGAGAAGCCAATAAGACGTTATCGGGACGATCTACCTAATCCCCCGAAGTATTAGAAAGACGTTATAAATCACCTATTTCAACAAGGTTTCCTAGCAGCTATACGGAGAGAGATCGACTCCCTAACGGAAAAAGAGACGTATCAGGTAGTAGATCGTCCGAAGGACCGGGGGAAGTAAGTCCTACCGCTACTATAGGTATTCTTATACAAATTAGACTAGGACGGCTTCCTAGTAAAATTCAAAGCTAGGATCTACGTAAGAGGAGACCTTAAGACTATTATATTAGACGAAAAGAGAGCTACCACGCTAGCAGCAAGGACAGCGAGAATGATCTTTACATTGGTCGCGGTATTCAACCTAAATTTGAGACAGCGGGACGCTATAACGGCATTTCTCAATAGTAGGCTAGAGAAGGAGGTATATACTAGGATACCGGAAGGTTTTAAGATACTAGGAAGGTGTTAGAAGCTTCAAAAAGCGCTATACGGGCTAAGAATCTCACCACGCCTATGGCAGTAGGAAGCGGCGGGAGTTCTTAGCAAGCTAGGTCTAAAGTAGGTACCCGAAGACCTATACGTCTTCACCGGAGACGGTATCCTCGTCTTCTTTTACGTCGATGATATACTGATAGTAAGCCATCGGACGGCGGAGAGAAGGGCTAATCAGCTAGAAAGGGACCTCGAAACGCATTAGGAGCTTACTAACCATGGAGAAGCTGAATGGTTCCTAAATATACGTATTATTCGGGACCGATAGGCGAAGAAAATATGGCTTTGCTAAGACAGCTATCTCACAAGCGTAGCAACTCGCTACAACCTCATAGACCGACCCCCTATGCTAACCCTACTGCCAATCGAAGACCTAAAGCCGTACAAAGGTATCGCAAGTGCGTAAGAAATCCACCTATATCAGCAAAAGGTCGGATCAATAGGATACGCTACTACGATCACCCGGGCCGACGCCGCCAAAGCAACTAGTAAGTTAGCCGAGTTCCTAACGAATCTAGGACCCTAGCACCACCGAGCCGTCGATCGAGCTATCACCTACCTTTACACTACCCGATACCTAGCAATCGAGTATAACGCGGAGGTAGACATAGACTCGGTACAGCTAGCAAGCGATACATCGTACGGTGATCATACAGATAGGAAAAGCTCTACAGGGTATATCTGCCAGGTCTACGGTAGACCTATAGACTAGAAAGCCACTAAGCAGCGGACGGTAACGACTTCAACCACCGAGGCAGAGCTTCTCGGTCTATCTAAAGCCGGCAAGCAACTCCAATAGTAGAGAAGACTGCTTAGCCGAGTGGGTTTCGAGGCATCACACGACTTCACTATCGAGTGCGATAATGAGAGAACTATTACTCTAATCACCGCCGACGATACTAGCTTCGACACGAAGCTTAGGCACGTCGATATTCATCACCTTTGGCTAAGATAGGAAGTGAAGGCGGGACGCGTCGCTGTACGCTAGGTCCCAACAGCAAAAATGGTCGCCGATGGCTTGACGAAGCTGCTCTCCCGACAGAAGCATACCAGCTTCGTCAAGCTACTGAGAATGGTCGAAATTGAACACCTGATCATGAAGGAATGACCTAATTGGAGCAGATTCGTTAGTAAATGGCATTGCCAGCGGCTCAGGATAGGAGACTGAGGCCGCTGAAGGGGTATGTCGCAATTACCTTACGAATACTACATGAAACCGGATCTATAGATAATCCGTCGACATAGCTTATATAACTAGAATGGACCCATAAATAGCGAAGAATAGGGGTAATGGAAATACAGAGTCATTGACATCTCCAATTGGCCGGATACAGTACAAATTGTGACAGTTTAACTAGATATTCCCTAGTAAACCCAGGTACTCTCTGTGTACGTTGACTTCATACCCTCAGTAAAATCATTTTTTTGTGTGCTGCTAGGCGAGTATTGATTATTTATCTGATCCATTAAAATGCCAATAATTTGATGCATTTCACAGGTAAAACATGAGGTAAACTACAGTATAGGGAATGCGCTGATTATGGTGCGCCAAGTTACAGCTTCATATCATTTTTCTAGAACTCGCCCGACGCGCGGCTACACCGCTATTGGGTTGAGAACAATGAGAGGCAGCTCTAGCAGGCTTGGGATGCCAACGAAAGGAGTGCCATTGATAGGATAAAACTCAATCAGGTCGAGAGCAAAGACAAATTATACGTTGTGCTCCAGGCTGCAATTCTCCCGGCAATTCTCCCGGCAATGAACTCGACGAATGGATTCAAAGCTCCGGGAGCCAGGGTGCCATGGAGATAAACACGCTATTCGATGTGCTAGATGATGTCAATCTCACTGGGACTCGCTCGTTTTATCGCCGTTGGGATGTGAGTCGCACGGAAAGAGGAGCACCGCGGAAGACCTACTATACGAACGACTAGCGCTAGTGTCAAAGCAGACAATTAGCAATCACACAAGTGCGATTGACCAAATAGGATGTAGCCGATATAGAAAGCACACAATCATCGGTTGGTCTTTTCATTTTTGATACTTGGCTACGAATTACAATCATACTGTACCGTAATATTTGATCGCCCTAAATGAAAGATATTTCATTTTGTTTACAGATATAATATGCGGGATATTGAAAGTATCCTTATAGCGGAACTAGGTAGCCTGGTGAGGACAATAAGATGTATGTTTACATAGACTTGAACTGTCTTCTTGAATGTCATTCTATCGGTCTTCCAAATATTATGGCATGAAGAGTTATTTAGTAATTCTTGCGCGCATAGAAGCCTTACATCTGTATGGTAGAAAAACAGACTTCGCAAGAATAGCGTAAGGTAATCGGATAGGTAGGCTGTTTTGATAGAGAAAGAGACGTATCCATCATTTTCAAAGTTCAGCTAATCTGAGTCTAGTGTCCTACTATGGTTAGAATCTGACCTAGATACCGGAAATTATGGACTCTGTGGTTGAATACCAAAACGTTTGATCTGTTTTACCACGCTATTTTGCGTTTGGTATACGGAATAGCATAATAAGTCCCTTGTTTTCCGCAAACGCCACTGAAGCCTGCTTTTCTGGAACAAGATGCTCCTCCCCATTTGAGAGGAGTGCTGCAACAAGAGTTGCCGATATGATTCCAGCTCGGATTTGAATAAGAGCTATGTGTTCGCTTGTTCCAGATCAGATGCTTGTTAATTCCTCTTCATTCGGTGAAAGATCATTACTCAAATATGGCAATCTTCATGGCTACGGCTATCTACTTGGTCTTGGCGCTGGGTCTATGGAGCTCAAAAATTCGCTATCCGCGTACAATGGCTCAGTAATGCCGTTGTCTACATGTAATTAGTATGAAATTCACCAAATCCAGGCCCCGAATGTAGACGACAAAGGCACAAAATACCATCAAGCCTACACCAACGTCAATCCTACCCAAAAACCTGGGAAAGCTTTACCCGAATGCATCAATATGACATAGAGTCCACACGGAATCGATTTGGTTGATCTTTTGGAAGGAATAAAAAAGGTATGAATAACTAGGGATTTGAAACAAGCAAAAAGTTAATGGTTCCAGAGGGGGTCGAACCCTCGACTTTGGCGTTATTAGCACCACACTCTAACCAACTGAGTTATGGAACCAAGGATGAGTATACCTGGGAAAATTATGCATTCTCAGCCTGATAAATCAAAAACAAAATCGCATTCCTGAATTCAATGATAAGCCAACCAGCTTCCCGAGATCACCTGGGCAATTCGAATAAAACTACGCCTTTGCAAATGAAAATTCACAACCCAGGCAAACTTCAAGTATGACCAAGAGCCAATCCTACTCACCGGTAAAAGCACTCTGCATCGAACCAGTTGTGTTTAAACCAATTAGTATCCTGCTCAAGGTTCCCAATAAACGAAATCAAAACTCACCTATAAGGACACTGGCTACCTAGCATAATACTTTCACTGCGCATATAGCAGATCTTCGCCTGGTCATACGCAGCAGTAGTACAAGCAAGACTCTTAGCACTCCTCCCCCCATCAATTGCTATGCAATGTGATAACCCGAATATCCCCCTAGCCGTGTGCATAGTGGGGTTAACTCTGTTGAAGGTATGAAAGATACGAAAGCGAGTGAGAGAATAGACTGCTGTGCAGGAGATGATTTAAGTCTGGGGATTCATCAATGTATGATGAACCCCTTAAACACCAGAAATATCTGACTGAAGCTAGTCCTGATTCAATTCCACAGATGATGAATCACAATGGTTGTCGCCATGGCTCATTCATGGCATAAGCTGTGGCCGGCACCCATAATTCTCAACAAACTCCTAGCCAAGGAATATTCACGGAAACAAAGACGCTTCCCTATAGGATTAAGTATTTATATATATTGCTTCACGTCTTTCTTGGTATCACACTCACGTTTTAACCGGTCCAAAATATCTCATCCCATAGAGTTAAACCTCCCGATTCAAAACATTATTTGCGTCTAAAATCTTTAATACAAAGATAGAGCCTAAGTGCGAGGGGAAGTAGGGGCCACTAAGCGAGACAGTCTCTTCCAGAATCACGATTAATGACTATCAGGTGATTTTATACCCCCGCTTATCTATACATTCGAACCATAAATATTAGAATCTCCGACGTCTCGACGCATCCGTCCTCCTTGTTGCTTCCCAAGACTTCATCTAAGGTGAACTCTTCCATAATGGGACATTTTTCCGCAAGCCTTGGAAATTTTCGATATACATTCGATAAGGTAGGTGCTCGTTGTAGAACGCCGACAGTGCTACATGAATAGCGATAATGAATGGGTTATTGCTATAGTGCATGCGTAATTTGCCACTGACACTGGTGTGAACTTCGATAGAGGCCCCACGCTTTATCGTCTACCATGGCCCAGCCTTACACTTGGCCACAAAAAATGTCCCTTGAGCTTTTATCTATGCAACATGAATCTTGTGTAACTATATATCCTTTTGAACGAATTTTTTGCATCTAACTATTCCACCTCTTCCGCTCCTTCATGCACTCAACCATGCTTTATCCTACCCCTCTTGACGGCGGAAAGATCGTGAATGCCGAGGAAATTATCTTGTATTGAGTTACCAGCCGGTATCGAATCCGACAAGCATTATAGCTATTAGATAGTTTCTATTAGGATGGGAACAGGGATCTCGCTCTATTCAGTGATATTATCATCAAGCTCGTTTTTAACAAGGAGGGCCTTTTTCGATATCCGCCGGTACGCGGATAACGTAAGCTTCTTTAAGCTACAATAGATGCCATTTCCAATCCTACTTCACTCGGAATTCGTCGAAAGGAATAACCAATCACCAATGCTAGCCTAGGCTGTCATTACCATGTTAACTGGTAGTCCGGCAAAGATAATACTCCATTCATTAATCGAAAGTTGCAGTGATCTCCTAGGTTCAACTTTCAGTGTTTCTTTAACTAAAGATATAGATAGACCTTGGATAACTGAATGAAATACATTTTTATGTCTGTGATTGCATTTATTTTGTACTTCCTCTCGTTATTTGAGCGTTCTATTCATTTTTTTTAAAGCAGGAACAGTGCCATACACGGGTTATAAGGTTTGGTGATTAGACTTGATTGACACGAGGGAACAAATTGGATTCATGATCGACACTCCCTCCAGAATAGCCGTGTCACGGCTATCTGATATCTACATACCGACCAAAATCAGATTTAGAATACAGAGTAGCAAGAAGCAAAGAGGACAAAAAAAAAGAAGTTGTGGTTCCAGAGGGGGTCGAACCCTCGACTTTGGCGTTATTAGCACCACACTCTAACCAACTGAGTTATGGAACCGAGTATAGATTCCTTCGAAATCTTTGCCTTTATAGCCCAAGAGTAAAACTCGATCACATACCCCTTGACCGTAGTGAAATGTTCCAACACCCCTCAGAATTTTTGAGATTCTGCTGATCAAAACTCCAACGTTTCCAACTCCCTTAAACTTGTTTCTTCATATAACACATGACTTTTGCGATTTGAGTTCAAGTTATCTTCTATAATAAACACCCACTTAAACAGGACGGGTCAAAATGTAAGATATTATAAACCTGCTCTTCAGTTTAGAATAGGCGGTCTAAAAAGTGGTCTGTTTAAGGATGTTGACCCATTTGCTGCGTTGTTCTCCAAGGTGAGTAGAACCCTAAGCACCCTTTCAAAGGACAAAAAAAACATGGTTCCAGAGGGGGTCGAACCCTCGACTTTGGCGTTATTAGCACCACACTCTAACCAACTGAGTTATGGAACCGGGTATTGGTTTTCTGAGAAACTTTTGCCCTCATATTCCAGAGCCTTTCTCCAATCCAGTCACTGATCGAGTGATGACCCAGTGAAGTATGAAATAAGTTACTGAGTGAGTAGAACCCCGAACGCCTTGATCAAGCATCCGGGAAAGTCGCGCCTCACCTTTGGTCACTCTGATCTCCGGATCCAGGCACATACAGGACCGGAATACGGGAATGGTGGAACAGCATAGCGTCATTGGCCGGAAACTAAACCACCAAGAAACAAAGTGACAATCCAGTCCGATCAGTGGCTCGTCTTCAACTGCCCTGGATCTGGGTTCCCTGTGGTCTGGAACAAGGGTACAGTCGGGTCGGGGGCTAAGCTAAGGAGGTAATAGGCGCCTGCAAATGGGATCCCTGCAAATGGTAGGCTGAGCTCTTAGCCTCTCAGCTCCTACAGCACAGTACCTCTGCTTCTCTGCCACTCTTGTCAATATCGGTTCCTGCATAAAGTCCGGAATAGCTGTGGATATCTGTGGAGGTCCAAAGGAAAAAAAAGTCCCCACGTAGAGGGAAAAAAACAGAAAAACATTCCTTCCATCGTTCCATCCCTTGATCAGCAACCTTTTTACCCTTCAATGCTCCCCTCACATTCTGCTCATTAAGGTTGCCAGGGACATTCAATGGTGCGGACATGAGTTGGGATCCTGTTCACAGGTATGCTTTGCGGGGTTCTCTTCTTCTATAGCCACTCATGGATTTCTTCAGCTTCAGTTATTCCGAACCGCAAACGCCGACGAGGACTCCGGCTTCCTTCGACTCCTTCCCGAAACTCGAGTCCAGCTTCTTCGATCCCCGAGTGACCTGGGATACCTCCGACCCGTATGCCTCCAGTCCGGAGCTGCATCGTACACCCCAGAGGTTCGGCCTCAATTCAGCCGGGAAGGGACAGGCAAGTCATGGGGAGAGCCACCGGGGGAGAGAGCAGAGGACGGAGCAGACCGACACCGCGAGGCGGATCAGGGCAGTGAGGTCAAACCAGAATACGAGCGACGACTACCCTCCGATGGGCTCGGCCAAGTCGGCGGCGTCGATGCAAACACCTCCTCCGACCAGTGCGTCAAGGCGAAAGATCCCCGAGTTCGACGAGCTGGATACAGGGGCCATGGGGCATTTGGAAACCCCAAGTCGCCTTCTGGGAGCGTCTCCTCGCCTGTTTGGCAATCTACAGTCCTCCCCCGACTTGTTCCAGCTGGCTGCCTTGGATCCCGCGGGCTCTCCTTTCTTTCCACAGCAACGGTTGTTCTGGGATCACGACCTGGACAACGCCGGAGAAGTTCCTTTGCCCAGCAATGGTGCCTTTGATGCTCGTCAGATGTCCGACTCACACCGCATTCCTCAGCTACCAACCATCGACAGCTCAATCGATCTCCCCGAGTTTAGGAACGGGTATGGGATTTCCGCCGCACCACCCACCGATGCTGCTCTTTTCCCAGCACCCTTTTCGACTTCTCCCCGGGTTCCGGTTACCAAGGCAGAGGATCCAGCTTTATTCCTGAGCTCTCCCGCCCGGCGGTTTGGGGGTCCGCATCTCACGCCGCAGACGAGATCTTTGCGTGGTATTCGGCAGCCGTACCACCACCAGGCGGAAGAGTCGAAACGGGAGGAGCTTCTTCGTGCTCAGGTACCGACCGGACAACGATCTGCATCGTTTGTTGGGTTGAGCGAAAGCGAGGAAGAAGATGACGACTTAACCCCGAGGGGCACACGACCGGTGCTGACCCGCAGTGTAACTCACTCTGCTCTCACTAGCTCCCACCGGCCACTCAGTCAAGCTGGGGGTATGATGGCATCCACAAGCGGGATCCGCAAGAGTCCCTCCAAGGGGCGTTCGTCCCCCGCGAAAGGGATGCGTCCTGCCCGCTTGGCTCGGGCCAACTCGGTTGCCACGGGCTTGCCCACGCGTTCCTCGTCTGTGGTGCTTCGTGTTGGCCGGGATGGTCGTGCAAAGGCGGAGATGGAGCCTGTCGATGAAGGTCCCACTGGTTTGACCGATCCCCTGACTGGAATGGATCTAGACGGGTCTACAACCGAGAGTGAAGTCGATCCGGCTGAGTACTCAGACTACCCAGTCCTGCATCGTGCCCAGTCTTCCTTTTCTATCTTTGACCTCAGTCGACGTCCACTTTCCCGCAGTGATTCCGACTCTCGGCCTCCTTCAAAGGGTTCTTATGCTTCCACTATCGGCTCTTCCCACTCGGGTCGAATGTCACCTTGGGCTGGCTCTTCCAGAGCAGCTGGGCGAGGGAACTGTCGTGGATCTCCTGATATCAAGCGGACCCCTAAGCGACACTCTTCCTTACTTCACTCTGACTCGAGCTATACTCGCGGCAGTGCGGCATCCGACTCGTTTCCCGGAGAGGAAGACGATAGTGGTGATGCCACACATGCACTTCGACAGGTTCTCAAAGACCGTGGCCGGGGACCTCGACCTTCTTTGAATACCTTTAACAATCGGCTCTCCCGATCATCCCACACCTTTACTCACCTCCGATCATCCCCTCCCCGCCTCGGCAGCGACTTCGATATCAACCCCCGACACAATGCCTCTCCTACCACCCTGACCGACCCTGATCTTGCCACACCCAGCACAGATCGTTACAGTAATCCAAGCAATGGTACACGGTGTGTCTGCCGCTCGATGGATAACGGGGGCCATCTCATGATTCAATGGTGAGTTCCCTTTTATATGTCAAGTCTGAGTTTGTACTTATGTTTCACAGTGAATCATGCACCCACTGGCTACACACCAGATGTGTCGGATTAGAGCGAGCTAATCTGCCCTCTGTATACGTCTGCATCTTTTGTGCCCAAACACCATCAAGACAGAACCGTGTTCGAACCTCTTACGTGCCCACGGGAAATGCCCCTCCCTCTCCTTTGGCCCACAAGTCCTACCGTCTCCGGTAAATCATGACCATACTGGATCGGTGAACGGCTGCTTCATTTCTTTTGTCTCATGCTTGCCCGCCCGGGCTCCTTATACCACGCATTAGCCAGGTCACCCTGCCCCTTTTCTAATCCTGTGACCCCTTATGATACCTATGTACTATTCCCTCACAACCTGGACAAACCAGAATAGAGCCATCTCTATGTTTCATTCTCATCACCTCTCGTAGAATAATCTGCAAGATCCCCGCATATCGGCGTGGCGAACCGGTCTCGGGAGAGGGGCCGGCTAGAGAGGTACTCAGGCACAGCCTATTTAGTCCCGAATCTGACCCCCTCTGTCCAGACTAGAATGTTGCTCTTATTAGCTGTCCAGTATTGAAACCCCCTCCTATTTTTAGTCCAGTTCCTCTCCTATGGGTTCGAAGGCGCCCTGAAAAGTTCGAATTAAAGTTTGGGTATAGATCGGATCAGACCGCTGATTGGCCAATCCACACTTTATCGCCTCACCGCCTTTTATTTTATCGAAAAACCACCTCCCCCGCGGAGTCTTAGTCTTCTCTCCCCATACTATCTACACACATTCTTTATTCGGCTTCATTTGTTATGTCGGCCTCTCTCCCTGGCAGCCGGGACCTTCCCGCATCGCAATATAACCTCTCCACCTACTGGGGTCGTGTGCGCCATGCCGTTGACATCGCTGACCCTCGGTAAGTTGTGAATGTGGGTGTTGACGTTGCATACGCACACTAAGTCTCAACTGTAGCACTCTCTTTGTCTCAGGCGCCGGTCTAGAGAACGCTAAGAACCTCATCGCTTCCTACAAGCAGAACCGTATCCCGGTGATGACCCCCGAGCTGTGGTCCGCCAAGAAGGTCGTCGATGCGACTTTGCACCCTGGTATGGTACCCGCATTGGTATATACTGGGCAATTGGCTAATCACCAGTAGATACCGGCACCCCCGTTCTCCTCCCATTCCGCATGTCTGCCTACGTCTTCTCGAACCTGGTCGTCACTGCGGGCATGTTGACTCCAGGACTCGGCGTAAGTTTTTCCTTATGCCCAATTCTGCAAACCGATCGCATACCTAACAATGGCTCAATAGACATCTGGAACCCTCCTCTGGCAAATCGGCAACCAATCCCTCAACGTCGCTATAAACAACGCCAACGCGAACAAATCGACTCCCCTCTCCACATCCCAGATCGCCCAGTCATACTTCCTGGCCGTCTCAGCATCCTGCTCCACAGCCCTCGGTCTGAAGGCCCTTGTGCCCCGTCTCAAGAGCATCTCCCCCAACACTCGTCTCATCCTCTCCCGTCTCGTCCCCTTCGCGGCTGTTGCCAGCGCCAGCGCCCTGAACGTTTTCCTCATGCGCGGTGAGGAAATCCGCCAGGGTATCGATGTCTACCCCGTTCTTTCGGCCGAAGAGCGTGCCAAGCGTGAGGCCCTCGAAGATGCTGAGCCTGTCCAGAGTCTCGGTAAGAGTAAGAAGGCTGCTACACTGGCTGTCGGTGAAACTGCCATCTCGCGTGTTCTGAATGCCACCCCGATCATGGTGCTGCCGCCTCTTATCTTGGTCAAGCTTGAGAAGACCGATTGGCTACGTGCCCGCCCTCGCATGGTTATGCCTGTTAACCTTGCGCTTATTTTGGGTACTTCGCTCTTTGCTTTGCCTCTTGCACTTGCTGCTTTCCCATCTCGCCAAGCCATCAGTGCTTCCAGCCTTGAAGAGGAATTCCAAGGTCGTGGTGGTGACCAGGGCATGGTTGAGTTCAACCGCGGAATGTAAATATTGGGTTTCGGCGTTGAACAGCGTGCTTCTGCATTATATTGGGTGACGGATACCTGTTGCTTTTGGTTGTATATTTCGGCTTGCATTTTACATTTTGATGCTGTTTGTTTTATACAAATGAGCCTACATAGAACATGAATGTCCATTTTGATATGGTCACTTGCGTTTATCGAACTTTTAGAATACCTACTAACATTTGGCGCCGCCAATATAGCAAGCATAAATACTTAATGCAATTTTATAACATAGATAGGTGTATTATTTAGATCTCCAGATCTTCCTGTCGAGACCATAATGGGCTACTTACTCTATTTACGTACTTTCCTTTTATCAAAAAAGCCGATGGTACCATCAGCTGTGCTATCAAGGGATGCTAAAGCTGAAAAGACACTTATGAACCAGGCCACGTAAAATTTTATAGTTTTTCTAGATAATCGCATCTCAAAAAAAGAAGTCAATAACTATTCGGAGTTTCATGAGTATAGAAAAAAAGAAAAGCAAAAAAGTAGTACTCGCGCCCGGGATCGAACCGGGAACCTTCTGAGAATTGTGAGATTCAAATTGTGAATCAGACGTCATGACCATTAGACCACGCAAGTGCTAGATAAAATTTCCGGCATCTTTAGTATACACGACCAAAAAGAATAGGTTTCCATTCTGTGACGTTGATAATCCTATTCAACCGGCTGGTTTTAAGTAGTATAACCGGAAGCCTTCCCTCTATACATAAGCTTCTTCTACTCCCTAAGAGAAATTGCAAGGTACTGACTTCCCATCCATATATTATAAAGAATGTATACTATAGCGATTAAAATGGCATCCCTTCTATTTCAATCCTGTGAAAAGACACAATAATACCAAATGATAAACTGATTCGACCAAGAAGACAGCTCTCTCAGATTAAAAAAAACATCCTACTCATTTCCAAACTGTACGGAATAACCAAGATGCCCCGTCAAAAAAGCAAAAAGCAAGTACTCGCGCCCGGGATCGAACCGGGAACCTTCTGAGAATTGTGAGATTCAAATTGTGAATCAGACGTCATGACCATTAGACCACGCAAGTATTCGATGATTACTCATGCAACTTTGTGTATTATGGACGAAGGCATAATTAGACAAAATAGGCACTTGGCTATTTGCAGCTATACATATCTCTAACGTGGGAGAAACACTGGATCTCATAAACCATATAAAGGCTATACAGGAAGTTACTATAAAGCCCATTTCCCTTCTTAATCTACTCTTTCAAGTTAACCACAACTTGAAGTAGATTTACAACTGCGCTGTGTATACCCTTATTGCCCGCTTTCTGGCAACCATAACACCTTCATTAACAGCCGAAACCTTCCACCTCTAATCATGTCATGACAGGTGCTATTCTAGCCTCCAAGATTCCTTCAACCCGCTCTGCAAGATCAAGCAAGTCATCCTCTCCCCACCTCCGTCCCATAAGCTCCAATCCAACCGGTACACCAAGAACAGCAGACTCGGAGCTAGGGCTCCTTCCAGCTTGATCATATAATATATTAGTCTACCCAGTCTATGCATTTGTGGGTAGTCAGGGACTAGAGAAACATACCAGGTAGACAAATAGCAGGTCTCCCCGTCAGAGCTGCCAAAACGCCATTTCGACCAGGCTGTGTCGTGGCCCCGATTTTCACGGGCAGTTGTCGTTGATGTGGGTAAGCTAATGCATCGAGATCATAGAAATCAAAGCATTTAGATAAAGATTGTTTCAAGGAGTCGATGAACTTCAGTCGTTCTTTATGGGCTGGACTACCGGGCGAATAAGTTTCTAGGTCTTCGAATGCAGCCGTCAAAACATGTGTTGAAGCTCTGGGGTCATAATCTCCACTTTGGACTATTGATTCGAGGTTTCGGTGTGGCGTCGAGATTATATAAGGTGATTGGAGGAATTCGTCTAGATAGTGCTTGAATTCGAAGGCTTGTGTATCGGCTTTTGCGAGGAGGGTTGTGATGCTCCAGTCTGGGTGGCTGGAGTGGGTGATTGGGACTAGGGTTATATCTTCATCCTTGGAGGCAAGAGATGATAGACTTGTTCGGATAATATCTTGTATGATGTCGTTCTCGGAGAGGACTTCCGGCTCCGAGCATGAGCCCTCGATTGGGAAGTATGCTTCCAGGACTCCGATTCGAACCTGGCGGCCCGGTCTGCGAGTGATCATTGAAGGATACGCAAATCCATTCTGATCTTTGTCTCCCTCAACATCTTTCATAATGCCATACAACGTCCTTACATCACAAACGCGCCTCCCCATGGGACCAGCAACATCTTGGGTCTCGGAAACCGGTACAAGACCCCCACAAGATACCCTCCCCGTGGATGGTCGGAATCCTACAATCCCACATGCCGAGGCGGGTGAGCGCAGCGAGTTCATCGTATCTGTGCCACAGCCTACGAGTCCAAAGTTGCATGCCAGGGCGGCGGCTGTGCCACCGGAGGAACCGCCCGGTGTACGACCTGCATCATATGGATTGAGGGTTTGGCCGCCGAGGGAAGAAGTTGATGTTCCCTGTAATGCGAATTCATGGAGATTGGCCTTGGCGAGAATTATTGCGCCTGCTTCTAGGAGGCGGGTCACTACTTCACTGTTGGTGGTGTAGAGATCTTTGAGGGCCGAGACTCCTGCGCTAGTGGGGAGATTGCTGGTGCCATAGTTGTCTTTGAGTATGATTGGCACACTGTGTAGTTCTGGGTAAGATGTGTTGCTCTTGTTGAATGTTTCTGTTTCCCTGGCCTTTCGTTCGGCGGTTTGGAGAGCTTCTGGGTTAATTGTTATAAGAGTCTGAAGCGTGCTGTCATATTTCTTGATTGCCTCCAGGTAGTAAGTTACCAGCGCTGGGCCATTTGAAGGGTCCATCTGCAGTGATTTATGGAAATTGGAGATGGTGATGTCGTGCATGTCGGGAGTTGATGAGGGGAAGTTGGAGATGTGTAGATCCGAAAGAAAGAGATCGTCATGCAAGGAACAATTGATCAACCGGTCCAATTGGGCGATTTGCGCTCTGTACTCGGGGGTGTCCCTATTTCTTTACAGTCTCTCTCTGATATTCCCCTACGCTATATGCTCGGGTTATTCCGCCCCGAACCCAACGAGCCAAACGAGCCAGATATCACAGATCTCCCAAAAGTATGAAGCTGAGAGCCAGAACTCCCTAAATTGTACCTATGTGCACCCCATACGGTTAAGCCATTGGACGCCAAAATCAAAATGGTATAATCATCCAAACTTAGCCTATCCTTCCAGGCCTGCCGGATTCCACGAAAGCGAAAGAAGAAACAAGAAACAAGAAAGAAAGAAAGAAAGAAAGAAAGAAAGAAAGAAAGAAAGAAAGAAAGAAAGAAAGAAAGAAAGAAAGAAAAGAAAGCAGTTAACATATAACCGACGCCTTTTAAGGCATAATAGATAAACAAATAAGGTTAGGATATGAGTTGCACCCAGGAGAGACACGCTGTGAGGACTTGACTGCCATGCCATGCCACGAACCGGGCGGGATACAGCAAAGTCTGAGATCCTGCGACTCAGGGTCGAAGAAATAAAAAAACATCGTGATCATGATTTTGCCAGTGAAAAACACCTTTCCATCCCATCCGCCATAGAAACAAAGATTACCCTCGAGATATGAAGCTGTCTATCCAGTAATTGGATCCTTTCACGCCGGTGAATTCCCTTCCCATGCTGACAAGGCCAAATGTGGCCGCTATACCTGTAAATCGAAGAAGCTCAAACACGCTGTTGTTGTTGTTGTTGTTGTTGCTGCTGTTGCTGCTGCTGCTGCTGTTGCTGCTGACGAGCGAGTCCCTGGCCAATGCGGAAGGCCTCGGTGCCATCATCAACAAGTGTTTCCTTGAACCAGGGGTGCTTGAGTGCCGCCTTGGCAGTAATCCGATTTTTGGGATCATAAACGAAGATCTTCTGTAGCAGGTCCAGGAATGAACGGTTGAAAGGTGTGTTGGTGGGAATGAACTCCTAAATGATCGGGTCAGCGAATGAGCTAGTATAAAACTACAAGTAAACATACCGTCAAACCCTTCATGGCGCGCACATACTTGCGCGAAGCCCGAGTGGTGTCGTTGTTAGGATAATCAAGCTTGCTTCGGGCAAAATATCTAGGTCAAGTCAGCGACTGGTAGGGTGACTTTAGGGGAGGGGGACAAATTTACTTCGAGGCAGAGTTGCTACCACCTGTTTTCCCACCCGCCATGACCTTCTTCACCAACGCTTGGTCAATGCGGCCGCCAATGACAGCCTCCATCATTGCGAGGTGTTCGAGGTTGTCGTGGGTCTGAAAGAGGGCATCTCCGGTGAAGAATTCCACCAGAATACACCCAATACTCCAGATGTCACACGGGAAACTCCAGCCCAGATTCAAAATGATTTCGGGGGCCCGGTAGTGGCGAGTGGAGACAACAGAGGAGTGGTATTCATCATCGAAAGTGGCCGAGCCAAAGTCGATGAGGCGGATCTCCCCATCGAGAAGTACTCGGCGTTGTCGTGCGTTGCGACCTGAGGCGTGAGAAGAGGTGGGGACGGAGCGATTATAGGTAAATGTCTGGTAGGCATTGCTAACCAAAAGAATGTTTTCGGGTTTGAGGTCGGTATGGATGAGGTTGAGGTCATGAAGGACTGGATTTGGTCAGTTGGAACATTGGACGAGAAGGAGCGCGAAGCTTACAAGCAACACTAGTGAACAGTTGCCGGGCGAACAGTTGGATCTGGCTGCTCGGGAAAGGCACAAAGCCATTGGCCTTGAGAAAGTCGAACACACTCTGTCCAAGCAAATCCGTGACAATGCAAATGTGATTCCTGAAGTCGAAAGTATCCCGCAAATGGATGCACTTGTTGCGGTTGGTCTTGTCGTTTGACGACAACGTTGACAAGACTCGCAGCTCAATTCGTGAGGCATCGCGGTACTTTTGGATTGACCGGATGATTTTGACTGCACAGCGAGATTTGCGGTGCTTGTCGTATGCCTCCACCACCTTGCCAAAGGTACCTTGGCCCAGGAGCCTGATCACGGAGTCTACAAAGTCAGTCTAATCATCAAATCCAAGGTGAGATGGACTTACATCGATCGGTCAATGGGGTGTCGGGAGTGACGATATAGTGACCGTCGTCATCGTCGAACTTCTTGTTCTGAGCGCTGGTGTTCTAGAAAAGTCAAGTCAGTCCGTCATCGCATCAAAAACAGGTCGACATCACTTACATCGCGAACCACCGGCACATGGACATCCTTGGCCTTGATGGGTGGCTTCGGAGGCGGTACGTAGCTCAGGAAAGCATCGCCCACCGTCTCCAACTCTAGTCTTTTCTGTTCATCGCGAATCGATTTTCGCGTGGCGACGCGCTTTCGTTTTTGACCCACAGTTGCATCCTCATAGTATACCCCATTCGCGGCACCAGTACTGCCTTGCGACCCGAGCGATGTAGGCGCGGTTGTGTGTAGGGACGTTGTGCGATCTGTGGACAAGGAATTCGACGAGTTGTCGCCATATTGCTGCGGATTGATGGAAAACGCGGGACGATCGTAGTGACTTAAATCATATGCGGTTTCCACCCCTGTTCGTCGTCTCTTCCCGGCGGGTTGGGGAACCACCGGAGGTGCTCTGGCAGCAGACGGATTGGCAGTAGACGTCACTCCGTTGGACTCTGGACCGGGGCTGTCATCGATCACAATGACCTCCTTGGGGAGACCATTCTTGTAAAATTCCGTCCAGTCTGGCTTCTTTTTCCGGCCTCCCACCGAGGGGGCCACGCTGGAGCCGCTCTCATGGGTCATAGCCGAAGGGGTCGACGTTGCCGGCGGCATTCTCGGGGGTTGTGTGTAAGGGATATTATTTGTGGCCGACGAGGCGGAGTAAGCGTAGGAGTTTGCAAGGCGACCTCCCGTAGTGGGCGCTGGGTAAGCGGTGTTCGGTTGGTAGGGGTGGTGAGGATATCCGTAGGCCTGGTGGTGAGAAGGATGGGTTGCAGTGGCCGTAGAGGGAGTGGACATGTTGCAGAAAGTCCGATTCCGTCCCACGAACGCCAGAGGAAGAAGGAATTAGCGGAAGATACGGCCGATGGGCCGATGATCGTTGTGCGCGACTCTCTCTCGAGAGGGACGGGGGTTGGGAGTGCAGAGATATGCGAGAACCGAGAAGAGGAATCAGAGAAGAAAGACTGAGCAACTGAACAACGGTCAGACGATCAGTCAGGCAGTCAGATAGTCAGACGGCAAAGACTCAAAAGGATCAAAAGGGCCTTTTTTTCCCTCAGAGGAACGCTGAGATCATTGAAGGCGACATTGGAGGGGGGGGAAAGAAGGCGAAGAGAGAGAGAGAGAGTTGGGGCCGATCTACGCGGTCATCTCGCCTGGCACCTTTTTCTTCCCCTTCTTCTTCGCTTTCTCTCGTTTATTCCTACGCCTGGATATTCACTGGTTCTGGACACGTTATGAACACTCTTTAGCTGATTCCTCTAACTTTGGTCGAGCCCTGGACCTCCGGGTTTGGGGCTTAGGCTTGCTGTTCTACAGTCTACCGTACTCAGTCCACACAGTCCCGTTCACAGCAGGGGGAGGCAAGGATCAGCGGGATATGATGGCTTCATTCCAGTCCCAATCACTCATCTGGAATGAAATCCGAAGTTCTAGGGCCTCGGGGTCCAGTACGTCCAAGCCCTGGCTTTAGCCGAACCCTCCAGTCCAGGCCAATCCACACAGTCCCCGCAACTGAGAACCTCAGCACCTCCATGGAGGTTACAAAACCGATGTACGTCCCCAGGACTTGGAGATGCACCCAACCCAGCGTGGGGGGGCTGGTGTGGCTCCCCGTAGACTCTGCGCATCATCCCCCTGACATTCCAGCGGCAAGTGAAAGCAGAAACGGACAACCCCATGCACTGCCATGGAATTCTCCAGGATCCTAACCCCAGGACTGTACCAGATAGATAGATTTCACATAGCTAGAGGGGATATTTCACTAGGAAGATCAACTCGGGGCAACGGGGGAATGAGGGAATGAGGGAATGAGGGAAGGAGGGAAGGAGGGAACTATATATCTTCAGCTTCACCGGTCAGGTTCACCGCTTCTTCCCTCAGGTTTTGTTCTGAAACCCAGTGTAGGAGGCAGATGTTGATCCAGAGGAATCTTGGACTTTGCCCTTGACCGTAGATAAAATTATGCTGTTCAGCCCGGTTCTAGAAAACCTGCCTCGGGGGTTATGCCCGAAAGCCACCATGTGCCGGAAGAGAACAGGTAAAAAAAAGATCAAAATGAGAAACTAAGATACCTGTTTCAAGCCCATGCCAAACCTCACACGGCAGACTAGATCCTCAACACCCGGTCGCAGACCTGGCGCTGCGGCTGTGAGTGTGGAAGGCAATTGGCCCGAGACATGACGCGCACTCTACACAAGACGGACATTTCAGGTAGCTGGTCATTTCAAGTACGTGGAATTCGAGAGTGGACATATCAAAGGGCGACAAGACATAATAAACGAGGCATCAGATTTCCTCTATCGTCACGAACGATGTATGCTCAACTGGTAGAGCACTCAAGAAACATCTCCCGTCACCCTCACAACCAACGCCACCCAGAACACGCAGATAATGCAGAAACTCCTGGTCGAAGCCATAGGGAAGATAGCCGCGACGAGCGTAGGAAAAAAAAAAAAAAAAAACAACTAGAGACACAAAAAATAAGATTACAAACGTTATGACCGGAACTAGTTTCCACGGTCTCGATCCTCTTTGGGATCCTTCAGATATCCCTTTTGAATGTGTTTGGTACCCCGTCCATCTGCCTCCAGCATGAACAACACATCTCGGACTTGGATCCCCGCTCCTCGCTCTTGGTCTTCACGCCATGTTCCGAGACGACGATGGGTCTGACTAGGTGCGGATTCCCCGGATATGGATTTTTCGGGACCTGCAGTGGGCGTAGATGGAGCGGGACGGGAAGGGGAGGAGAAGCCACTATTGGCAGGACCTCCGGACTTCAGCCACGAGTAGGATTTTTTGGCACCAAACATGCGACCAGATAGCGCCATACGCGCCGTTTCCACGGATTGCTGATGCTGTTGAGCCTCGCTGGCCTTCGAGTCGACCATTTTTCTGGCTTCCTTTTTCGTGACGGACTTCTTGTCAAAGCTGGGGGTCTTATCACCGATAGGGGTCGAAGGTGCGGACCCGTTGATATCAACGGACTCGGCTCGACCGGCTTCGCCAAGAATAGCATTACTATTACGTTTGGCACGCTTGGCTGCCCGTCTTTCTTCTTGCAAAGCTTCCCTCTGGATTAGTGCGCGGAACCGCTCTGGGTTGGGTTTTGGACCAGATGAATCGACGGCAGAATGGGGACCTATGATGAATGTCAGTACGATGGATGATGAACGAAAGCCAGCAAATTATATGCCATGAAGGGTAGCATACGCTTCACAGGTGTTTGCACGTTCCCTGCAGTCGGCCCAAGAGGGCTCGCAATGTCTCTCCATTCCGCGGGAACTGTGCCATGAGAATGTGCCCGCCGACTTCGAGCGAGAGATGAGGAATAGTCAATGACACCTCGTAGTCTTTCTTCGCAAGAGATTGATAAAATGTTCAGGATGTCGACGAGAGGAGCTCCATCCTGGTTGAGAATTGTCTGACCAGTGCGCACAACAGAAGACCCATCTGGACCAGTAACTTCAATAGGCTGAGGACGACCAGGAACAGGATGAAAAAGACCCTCAGCTGGAATTCGAACACCAAGATCAAATCCGCGCTTCTGAAGCTTCTGCTCAAGAAGTTTTGTCAGCAAGAACGGCTCTTGAATGTGATATTGTGCCCGTCTTGCGGCCACCGTATCCTCGCGGGTCGGTTCGTTCGGATCTTTAAATGGAGCAGGTGCTTGCGAGGACGGATCAGAAGTGAAAGAATCATTTGCTATCGCGGGTTTAATCTGCGGCAATTCACCAAAGCTGTTGGAAGCTGATAGCGTTCCTGGAGTAGACACTTGAGAATTGAAAGAGGTATTGATGGGTGGCGGGTGAGACATCTGGAGACCTCGCTGGGGTGGCTGCGCCTGCGCATTCTGCCCTGAAAAGCTCCGCGTGAGAAATGCTTCTTCTTCTCTCACATCAATGCCAGATGAAGCCAAGACATCAGTCAGTTCAGCTGCATCCGTTGTCTTGTCTACCGGGCGAGAAGGAGGTCCCATAGTACCGGGAGGTGCCGGGGGAGGGGGTGCGGGCGAAGTCATATTGACATTCATATTCATGTTAACCGGTGCTCCGTTCATTTGAGCATGGTTTGGTGGAAGTTGCATTGCGCCAAAGCTCGGAGATCCATAAGGAGACTGTGTCTGAGAAGGCGGAAGAGGCGATAAGCGAGGTCTTTTTGATGGAGGGGGAGCAACAGCTCCATTCACAGGGGAGGCAGCAGAGTTGGGAGATGGCGAGGAGACAGGCGGGGAGAAGGACTGAGTAGAGAACGGCGGAGGGGGTTGTTGCTGCTGGGGATGCCGAGCTTGCGCCATTATGACAAGATAGTGAGATTATGATCGTTTCAAAGATGAGACTGGTCGCTACTGCGGTAATCCGTGGCGGTCTTCAATGCGAAGGGGCGTCCACGCGTGGCCGTTGAAATGAGCAGATTGCTCGCACCACCAGCTTCCAATAGCTGCAACCATCTCAATAAGTGTACTGGGCCATAGAGGCGACGCGCGAATTAAACAACAGTTGAGTATAGCGCGAAAGTGACGACGTCTGAAGGAGGAGGAGGGTTGATGGGGTAAGGGAGCTTTTACTGCGTGGCCGAGTTTGCTCCGCGGATCGCGACCAGCACGTGACCTGGTATTGACTAAGCGCCAAAACCTCCAGGCTCCTTGCTCTTTCAAGCATCCATCCAGCCGTCTAACATCGTTTCATTGACATCTTTCTTTCAATTGCCACATTGTATCTTTCCTTGCTGCGTTGCGCAAGTTCTTGGTTGTTGCGCTCTGCGCATTGTGAAATCTAGCGCCTCGAACCTCCGCGGGCCCCAGTGCCCAACCTGTTGCTTTACGGACTGAACCAGGTCATACTGCTCCACAGCTTTCACCCATTCGACCTGCTCACGGCAAGATGGCCACCAAACGCAAAGCCTCAGCTATGGGGACGACAGTAGACGACGAGCCTGTTGACCCATCAGACGAACTTGCATTCTATTGTCTCGGCGGAGGAAATGAAGTCGGCCGAAGTTGCCATATTCTGGAGTACAAGGGCAAGACAGTGATGGTCAGTCGACATCACTTATATTGGCAATTCGAATAACTAATCTTTGTTTTTTTTAAGCTTGATGCGGGCATGCACCCGGCAAAAGAAGGCTTCTCTGCGCTTCCGTTCTTCGACGAATTTGACTTGAGCACAGTGGATGTTCTTTTAATCAGTCAGTACGTGTTTCCTTTCTTATTTGCTTTGCGCGAATTACAGACGCTGGGAATGTGTGGGACACTGTGTGCAGGCTTTCATACCACCCGGTGTGAAGCTTGGCTTAACCTGGGAGTCAACTGCCGGGACATGTCTCGGCGCAAACACATTTTTTTCTCGCTGGATATATATGAGAACCCAAATACAATTGATTGCCATGATTTTATTTCTTGTATTCCTGTATCCTTCGATTTGCTGAATTCGAATGCCCGTGCTATTCCCCCAATCATCACGGTGGCTAACAGTCTGCTCTCCATAGTTTCCACGTTGACCACTCCTCAGCCCTTCCATATGTTCTCAGCAAAACCAACTTCAAAGGCCGAGTCTTTATGACTCCTGCCACTCGTGCAATCTACAAATGGCTCATTCAAGACAACGTTCGAGTCAGCAACACATCCTCTTCTTCCGATCAACGCACGACGCTATACAACGAGCGCGATCACCTATCGACACTTCCCTTGATTGAAACCATCGATTTTTACACTACACATACGATTAATGGTATCCGGATTACCCCGTACCCTGCTGGTCACGTCCTTGGTGCAGCCATGTTCAAGATTGATATTGCTGGACTTGTGACCCTGTTTACCGGAGGTAATCGTTTTCCAAGAGCGGCGTCACCTATCAGTTGGCTAATACATTTTAGATTATTCTCGTGAGGAGGACAGGCATTTGATTCCTGCTGCGGTGCCCAAAGGCACAAAAATTGATGTCCTTATCACAGAATCGACATTCGGAATTTCCTCAAACCCACCACGCTTAGAACGCGAGGCTGCACTGATGAAGTCAATCACGGCTGTCTTGAACCGTGGTGGTCGAGTTCTCATGCCGGTGTTCGCCCTTGGTCGTGCGCAAGAGCTACTTCTCATTCTCGATGAATATTGGGAGAGACATCCTGAGCTCCAGAAATTCCCCATCTACTATATTGGAAACATGGCACGTCGATGTATGGTTGTTTACCAAACCTACATTGGTGCTATGAATGATAACATCAAACGTCTTTTCCGGCAACGCATGGCCGAGGCCGAAGCCAGCGGTGACAAGAGTGTCAGTGTCGGACCGTGGGACTTCCGATTTGTCCGTAGTCTTCGCAGCTTGGAGCGTTTTGACGATGTTGGAGGATGTGTCATGCTGGCTTCTCCCGGTATGCTTCAGACCGGAACAAGTCGTGAGCTGCTTGAAAGATGGGCACCGAGCGATCGTAATGGTATTGTCATGACCGGTTACAGTGTAGAAGGAACCATGGCCAAGCAATTGCTCAACGAGCCAGATCAGATTCCTGCTGTTATGTCCAAGGTATCTACTGGACATGGACGAGGCCGTGTCCCTGGAGCGAACGACGAGGACCAGAAGGTGATGATTCCTCGCCGATGCACTGTTGACGAGGTCAGCTTTGCGGCTCACGTTGATGGAGTTGAAAACCGTACCTTCATCGAGGAGGTCGCTGCGCCAGTTGTGATTCTTGTCCATGGCGAGAAACACCAGATGATGAGACTGAAGTCGAAGCTTCTTAGTCTCAACGCTGACAAAGTAGTCAAAGTCAAAGTCTACACCCCAGCAAACTGCGACGAAGTTCGCATTCCGTTCAAAAAGGATAAGATTGCCAAGGTCGTCGGCAAGCTAGCAGAGCTTGCACCACCTTCAGAGGAGGCTGATGCCCAGTTAATGGCTGGTGTATTGGTTCAAAATGGGTTCAACCTATCGCTGATGGCTCCCGACGACTTGCAAGAGTATGCCGGTTTGACGACCACAACTATTTCCTGCAAACAACACATCACTCTCAGCTCTGCCAGCATGGATTTGATCAGATGGGCACTGGAGGGCACATTCGGAGCCATTGAAGAAGTCGGCACCGCCAAGAAATCGCAGAGCAGTGCCCAGAATGACGACGACACCGACGAGACCATGAAGCTAGAGGAAGCTGATGAAGAAATTCCATCAGACGAGACGCAAACATTCCTTGTTATGGGATGTGTATCTCTTCATTACCATTCCCGGAGTCGCGAGGTCGAGTTGGAATGGGAAGGAAACATGATGAACGATGGTGTTGCGGATGCGGTGATGGCTGTTCTCCTCACAGTCGAGAGTAGCCCTGCGTCTGTGAAGCGTAAGATTCAATCGACCCTTCTCACGAGTAGTTTGCTAACCATAATTTTTTGATATCAGAATCTGCTAAGAACAAGCACCACCACCATCATCACGACGATGAAATGGACATGCCTTCACTTCCTAACCCTCACGCCCAATCTGGGCCCCAGGAAAAGCTTGCCCGTATGTTAATGATGCTGGAGGCCCAGTTTGGTGGTGACAACATTGGCCCCATTGAACGTCCTCGCGTCCCAGCCGACCTTGCACTCGGCCCAGAAGGTGAAGCCGATGAGGCGAACGAGGAACGGGTTTCCGATATCGAGGCTGTGGAAATGGACCGTCTTATTGCCATGGGTATTCCAGTCCCTGGAATCGAGATCAAGGTGGACAAGCACGTTGCCCGTGTCTGGTTAGAAGACCTAGAAGTTGAGTGCGGTAATGCTGTTCTGCGTGATCGAATTCGCGTTGTCGTTGAGCGAGCTGTTGAGACTGTTGCTGGCCTCTGGGCAGAAAGCTCCATGCCTCGTGAGAATGCTGCCAATGGGAAACTTGAGATCGAAGCTGCTGCGAAGAAGACCGCTGCTATTGAGGCTTAAGAATGATCTATGATCTAATCTTTCACATACGTATGTTTGGTTTACATGTATAATAACGAAATTCCACCAAATGATTTGACCTGAGTTTCTCTAATTCAGTAGCTACTTGACTCTAGATCGATGAAATTGTAATTCATGCATGTTTCTTCTCAAGCCCTCATTGTTCTCCTATGTATATCAAAGGCTATTTCTGTAGTGTCGCAAACACTTCCTCTAGAACCTTTTCGAGGGTGTCCACGATAATATCGATCTCCCCCTTGGACACAACGTAAGCTGGCGCAAGAATCAAATGATCTCCTTTGATCCCATCCACGGTGCCGGAACTACCATACAGTGATACGCTGTGCTCTGACTGAAGTCCTTTTTCCTGGATAAGGAAAGCCAGGCGGTCCTTGGGATCAAAGGGCTCCTTGGTAGCCTTGTCTTTGACGAATTCCAGCTTTAAATCCGGTCAGCAGCAAGCCCAAGCAACATAAGCAATGAAGAATATGAAATAGAATGACTTACACCCCAGAACAGACCCTTTCCTCGAATATCTCCCACGTAAGGATGTTTCTCGAATCGCTGTCTCAGTTGCTTTTCGAGATAATCTCCCATTTCCTGGACATTAGAAAGAAGATTCTCCTGTTTGATAGTTTTCTGCACAGCGAGTGCAGCAGCACATGATATCGGATGGCCCTGGTACGTCTGTCCATGGCGGAACATTCCACTGCCTTTGTCCATAATTTGGACAATATGATCATTTATCAAGAGGCCTGAGACCGGGGCGTAACCACCGCCCAAACCCTTTCCAATAGTCTGAATATCGGGAACGACATCTTCCTGTTCCCAGGCATGCAATGTTCCACAGCGGCCCATTCCACTCATAATTTCGTCGAGGATAAAGAGTGCACCGTACTTTTCGCAGACGGCTTTCATTGCTGGGAAGTATCCTGGTACTGCTGGAACACAGCCAAGAGCCTATGCTTATATATCAGAGGAGTATTCTACAACATGTTGAGAATTTCTTACCGCTCCAACGACAGGCTCTGCCATGAATGCACATACGGTCTCCGGGCCGACACGCTGAAATTCGGCGTCTAGTTCAGCAGCAAGTCGGGCAACATATTCTGCGTCCGATTCTCCGTCAATCTTGTTACGATAGGCATAGCAGGGAGAAACGTGAGATACGTTCTTGGAAAGGAGAGGTTCAAAAGGTTGCCGACGCTGGACGTGCCCGCCAACAGAGAGGGCACCCAAAGTTGTGCCATGGTAAGAAGGCAGCCGTGCAATAAATTTTGTACGCTCTGGCTGAGGTGTAGAAAGTTCCAAGAAATATTGACGTGCCAACTTGAGTGCAGCCTCGACAGCCTCAGAGCCTTCAAGATATCAGTCATCTTCTGTGTGATATAAGTCATTGGATCTGACTGACCTGAGCTGACAACAAATAGCTTGGAAAGCTTTCCACCTGTGGAGTCAACTAATAGGTGGGCAAGTTCCTCAGCTACCTCGGTACCAAAGAAGGCCGAGTGACAGTAGGACAACTGGTCCATTTGATCCTTGATCAGCTGGGTGACTCCTCCATGACCGTGTCCCAGACATGACACCGCTGCGCCACCAGTCGAATCGAGGAACTTGGTTCCATCTTCCAAGAAGATGTAGCTGCCCTTACCACCAACGGCCTTCTTGGGAATGAAACGTGTATCCCGGTGGAGAACAGCGCTAGTCTTGGTTTCTGGTAATATGTCAGAATGAAATCGAACTCGAGTGGGGAATGCATACCGGTCATGATGAGAGATGTGAAGGGGAGAAACAGAATAGGAAATCGAGACCCTTATGTAGCCCTGGATACCCGAGGCAAAGCAGCTGCGGGTCTGATATCGGCATGCCGAGAAGAAGCCGAGCCCTAGATTGGTCAAGAGAGAAACACACGGACTCCTACTGTGGGGGGGTTTCTCCTCCGACTTGCCTAATTCTGCTTAGCGAAGAGTCCGAGAGTTGATCGGTTTGATAGGCATAAAAGAGCCGCCGGAGAATTTAGTCTTATTTGTTACAAGCTATAAGGATTCATGCTTCAGTGCACCTGATTCAACATATATTGATACATGAGAATACAAGCAGAATCATAAAAGTTACAATGTGCAAGGAAAGTAATGATGACAACTGAGCTGTACAAGCAAGGAATAGGAATATTGGAGAAGAAATCGAGTCAAGTCTGGAGATTCACCGATTCATGACGAATCTCTTATATACTGGAACAATCTGCTTACAAGCTAGTCCTAAAAAAGGGGCCCGTTTCTTGATTACTGTTTCTTCCTCTCTTCCTTTGTAGACTATGTTTCCTAGTACTGATTTCAATGGCAAAGTAACATCGGTGAATCCTATTTCTATCATTCTTTCGGTCCCTAGAAAGACACAACCACATGTGAAACACCATGTTTCCTAAACTGAAGTGCAACTGTACCAGTCTGTATTTATCTTTATCGATAAATATCTAAATCTTCTGAATGTTACGCTCATAAGAACCTGGAACTGAAAATTCTCAAGGATATAGGTTGTTTGATGCTCTTTTTGTGTGTTGCTGCGGCGGGCATTTCGTGTCGGACGGTTCATTCACATGGTGAAAAGGGAAAACCCTCCCCTAGATAACAGCAAGCCAAAGAATATTGAATAAGAGATTCAGTGCTGTATTGCCTACGAGCTCCGGGTCTCAAAGCTCATCGCTCAGCCTCCAGCATATTTCGTTCATGTTGCTTTAGCTCGACAGAATGTATGGCCTGCAATACCGAATAGTGGTAGGTCGGAATGACTAGGCATGGACCGGGGGAATAATCGTGATCATGAATGTCTGGACGGTAGCAGGTCCGGAACGGTAAAGGCTGCCCCGGGAATCTTTCATTAAACCAGTCCTTAATCACACCGCTCTGCGTTAGTTTTAGTGGCTGCTTTTTCGGCAGAGCAGTGGGATGGAAAGTATTGAATGTGATGTTTTTGCCGTTTGGTATTAGTTTCACAATGTCGACGATCCGGTGGACACACTCCCACAGCTCCAACTCTTGGCTGGGCGGCAACCAAAAAAAGTGGTCGACGTGAATCCATGGCCCACATTTTTGGAATCTCCAGCTTGGGAATTCTTGGATAAGTCGAAGGACATAATCAAGGCGGTTAAACTCCTTGTATTTGACCCCTTTTAGTTTTCTCGTACCCTTTGCCGCCTTTACGATAGCGTTGAATTCCAGTGTTCCTTCATACGAGCAACGAACCGCGACAGTAAGAGTGAGGACACGATGTTCGTATAATACACGAGACGTCTCCTCGTTGAGGCTTCGATTGCAGGAAAGGATGGATAGAGCACGGGGTGCGAGGTCCATGTTCTGGAAGAAATTGTCGAAGAGACAGTTCCAGATTTGGAAGCGTAGCTCTGGTGGTAGCTTTGAAAATTCGCCGAGTTGGGCGAAAGGGGGTTTGGACTCCTCTTGGGAGCGATCTTGGTTCATCTTGCTAGTTGGTAATAGGGTGATGACTTGAAATATGGTGAAGAAGATAGAAGCAAAGAGAGACGAGACTTATGGATACAGTAAGTTCCGTTGTCTACTCTCAGGCTGTGTCATACCATGGTTTAAGTTTCTCACGTAGTATGATGTCAGTTAAACCTTGTGAGGAGGGATGTTGGAATTCCATGAGGCTAATATCGTCCAGATCGCCAAGTGAATATGGGCAAAAGAATGTATGTTTGGCCTGAGTGCGGCCTGATTATTGAATCACCAGGTGCACCGCCTATATCATGAAATGAAGCTGTTCCCTCACAAAGCCCTCGATCCCTATATAACCATATAAACAGGTGTTGAGCTTCCCAGTCAAGTTTTTGCTTTTCAAATTATGCGTTAGGCTCGGTGGCTTTCAAGGTTCGTGCCAACGTAGAGATGAGTGAGTCACCCAGGCTGAACACCCCATGCGGGAGTTTGTTAGAGCGCAGTGACTGCCGGATAATTAGAAGATCGAGATATTTGAGGAACCCTATAGTCTTGTCTCTTATAGCTCAGGATTGATCCAACTATAGTGGTTGCAGTCTTTAACACGGCACAGACACTTACTGGTAAGGTTCACCCGATTATATATACAAAAATCTATCCATACATTCATATTTGATTTCCATTCAGTTGCCCTCAAGTCGAACAACTCCTTTACTCAGCTCGGCCTTGAATTGGTGATTGGACAAGCTGAATCCACCGATTGACCCGGAGTGTGACACGACTGGGAAATAGTATGGCAGATAGTAAGATCTTCAAAGTGCAAAATTGCAACGACAATATTGCTACTAAATATGCTGGTGCAGTTCTTGAAAAGCACTGTTCAATGCTAATTGACAGGATAGGATTGCAGTATAGTCTTATGGGCAGTTTCTTTTGTCCTTTTTACTCAGCATAGGTATTCCCTAGTGTATTCTCCGTGTATTCCCCAGTGATAGCCCAGATGTGTTTATCAACATTCAAACAACACAGACGAAGTAAGTGGTGATGTTGACAGAGAACAAGTCAAAGTGATATGCCCCAAGGCGGTCACTCGCCCCCCCTCCGCACACAACCTTCCGATTCTGCCACTGGCCACGATCTTCCCCAGACATCAAACATCCCCATATCATTCAATACTTCAACATGTCGCACGCTCGCGTTGAGGAAGTCTCAGACTCGGATCCGGAGGAGATTGCCCCCGATTATGACAGCGACGAAGACCTCCCCGCCAATGCTATCATCTCGCCCGCAAACATCCCCAACCGGGCTCCAGCACCCCAACCGCAAGCTCAGCCCCAGATGCAAATGCCTCAAATGCAAGCTCCTGAGCCACAGCGCGAGATCCCTCGACACTTCTCATGCCTGTACCCCGTTTATTTTGACAAGACCCGGTCGCGCGCCGAGGGCCGCAAGGTGGGCGCCGAGCTTGCGGTGGAAAATCCTCTTGCTCGGGATATTGTCGATGCTGTGCAGATGCTTGGTTTGAATGCTGGCTTGGAGCCGGAGAAGTTGCATCCCAAGGATTGGGCGAACCCCGGCCGTGTGCGTGTGCAGGTCAAGAATGAAGATGGCAAGCTGGCCAACCCCAAGATCAAGAACAGTACGTGGCCAGATCATTGATACATGTTGGATATGTTTTCTGCGTGAGGAGAGATACTGACTTTGTTCGTCCAGAGCACCACCTTTACATTCTCGTTGCACAGTACCTCAAGGCCCACCCGACCAACGAGCAGTCCCCCTACCGGTTACGCATCCGTGGCCTGCCTATGCCCGAGAAGCTCCCTGCTGCCCCGGCTGCCCCGCGGGGTTGGAAGATTGGAAAGATCTTGCCGATTCACTCCCCCGCCTACAGCGGTGGTGGTGTCAGCGATAACCCTCTCAAGGACGCGATGGCGGAGATGCAGAACATGCAGGGAATGCCTGGTATGCCTTCTATGCCTGGAATGCCAGATCTGAGCATGCTCGGTCTGGGTGGTGGCGAGCCTGCAGGCCCAAGTGGTGCTGGCGGCGCCGAAAAGAAAAAGAAGGAAAAGAAGAAGGGCAAAGCGTGATTCGGCATTCTGTCCCTTTTCTGTCTTCCACTTGCATTGTACGGCGATGGGCGTTGCTTTCTTCTCTTTTATATCTTAAGCACCCAAGGATATTAATTCCTTGATACCACAGATCATGCGATCTGACCCTTGGGGTTCTACATGCTCCGCTGGTGTACATCAGACCCGTTCTTGTACAGTTATAAATGTATGCTCCAAGTTTGTTTTCTTTGTAAATCAAGGCAGCACATCAACACTAGGGCTTCCTATGTCACGAGATGTGCGTTGTCTGCCCAACCTCCCGTGATACGGGCTTTCCAACCGCAGACCAGTAGAATGCTATTGACTGCAAGGGGGTGTAGATTATATCTACCAACACGTCGCGTCCCTGTTATCACATTCACTTAACATCTTCTCAAGTGATCATGAGCCAACTACTGACTCCCAGACAAGCCGGCGAACTGTAAGATTTCTATCAATATCATCAGCACTGGTTAACCCTCGGTAGTCACAAAGCCATTATCGCATATTTATCATCCATCAACGTGAAAAGTGTGAATACATTACAAGATGAGCTCTTCATTGATGGAACTTTCGATGTTCCCACTCGGAAGAAGTATGAGGGACTCTTAGAGCGGAAATGGACATCAACAATGCGCTTAACTAGGCGGGTGCGACAACAATCCATATATTTGACCAACAATGCATACTGATGTGAATATAGCTACAAGAGCTGGAAGCCACAAATGCAAAGCTAGAGACTCAACTCCAGTCTGCTGTGACTGTCAGGTCTCATCAGGATTTTACCAACTGGTTGCCGGATGCTCAGCCAAGACATACACTCCAATCTCACCGAGAAGGTATTACATGCATGGCTTTCCACCCAGTGTATTCATCTCTAGCATCTGGATCTGAAGACTGTACTATCAAGATCTGGGACTGGGAGTGTGGTCAGCTGGAGCGGACGCTTAAGGGCCACAGGCGACCTGTCTTGGGACTAGACTATGGAGGCCCCAAAGATCACATGCGACTTGCATCTTGCTCGAGTGATCTCACTATCAAGTTATGGGATCCGAGCAATGATTATGCTAATGTTCGCACGCTGTGTGGCCATGACCATTCTGTTTCCGCTGTGCGGTTTTTGACAACAGATGGGAACTTGTTGGTTTCTGTTAGTCGGGATACGTCGATTCGCATTTGGGATACCTTGACTGGGTACTGCGTCAGGACGATAGACTCTCAGGGTGAGTGGATACGAGACATTGCAACGTCGTTGGATGGACGCTATGTTGTCTCCGCTGGCAATGATCGAGCGGCTACTATTTGGGAAATCTCATCTGGGGATGCCGTGGCACGATTATTGGGCCATGAGAACAAGATTGAGTGTTGTGTTGTTGCACCTACTGCAAGTCACGAGTATCTTGCTGCTCTGGAGCCGAGTAAACCGCAAGAAAGAGGGCTCTTTGTTGCAACTGGATCGAGGGACAGCACTATTAAATTGTGGAATGAGCGAGGACAGCTTATAAAAACACTGACAGGACATGATACTTGGATTCGAGGATTGGCCTTCCATCCTGGCGGAAAATATCTGATTAGCGTCAGTGATGATAGAACCATTCGATACTGGGATCTGTCTCAAGATGGGCGATTGACGAAGACGGTCAAAGGGGCTTCTTCGCACTTCTTGAGCTGTATTCGCTGGGGGCCTAGTTTGAAACAGTCCGGAGGAACTTCACATATCCTTGCCATTGGAAGTGCAGACTCTAGTGTGCGACTTTGGATGTAAAAAGGCTGGAAGTTTGAGATATGAAACTCCAGGAAGAGCGTCAATATGTATTTTTACCGAACGATGACACCGATATTCGTCAATCAGTGTTTCTGCGTACATGAAGTTCAGGCGATCTTCCATTTCTGTATTGCCAAAGACGGCTGAAGTCTTTGACTCGAAGTATCCCATCTCCGACCTTGGTTTGCGTTTGCTGGCTCAATGCCGTGAGGAAATCCTTGTCTCGGGCTATAGGTCGATACTTGACTCTTTGTGAAGAACTCAGATATGAGGTTATACCAGAGGCACATGGCTCGACCTCCAAGTCCATGAATTGGTTGGACTCAAGAACCTTTTTATCGGAACCCAGAGTGAACATGTTGTCTAGGTAATGCTGATTCAGTAGATGACCCGAGCTTGGTCGAACAAACAAGCGACCCAGGTATCGATTTGGAATATCCACAAAGTGAAGTACACCTCCCAGGGCCACAATATCAGCTGCGTTAGCGTAGTGCTCAATGTAGCCAATTGAATTTCCATGTTGATGCACTAGATCGGTCGCTGAGACAATGTCAGGGCTTGCCAGCTTCGCCCACCGGGGCGCGTTGAAATGATTCGCAGCAGACCCGAATGTGAATATCTCTAATTTGGAGAGAATATCGTGGGGTATTTCATCCAAAAGCCAATCCATGACGAGTCCGCCTTCGATGCCACCTTGACTGTGGAGGAGCAGGACCACCTTGTCACATTCTGGATCCAACAGCGCTTTTTTGACGCAGGCATAAGAGTCTCTGATATCACCGGTAGCATAAGAAAAGTCCCGTTGAATAAGGCATTCAATTAAATCAAAGACAATACCGGCGCTAGATTTCGTTAACATCTGCTCCTTCTCCCAAATCGAATCTCACTTACGTGCGGTTGTGGATGCCGATTACCCTTCGCCCGAAGGTGCTGGACAGCTGATCAACATTCATCTGAACCCATCGACTCCTGTATTGAAGTGAGCTAATGAGAATGGGAACGGACATAAAGATTGTCTTACCCAGCTGCAATCCCATTGATGTAAAACCAAGACTCGCGGTCATGACCCGGCCGTTCGGTCACAGGCACTTGGGAGATGAGAATTCGCCGAAATCCATTTAATCCAAACATAACAACCACGTAATTGAGCAGTAGAGCACTGGTTAAATAGACTAGAATCCAAAGAGCGGGTACCATAAAGATTACCATGACTGGCAGCGAAAACAGGAGCGCAACCTGGTAAGCCATCAGAAACATGTGTAGCACCACAATGAATGCATTGTTCAATGACGGATAGAACTCATCCCATGGCCCGGTGCGACTTAGATTCAGGGGCAGAAAGATTCCTGGTAGCGCCCAGATCTTATTGACGAAGAGGACCAAGTCGCTCCACAGTAGTTGCACCGGTGATGCGGTATACGGCAACGGTGTACCCTCTTCACCTGGACAAATCATCGTGAAACGTTGCCAGGGGACTGTGACACTGAAGAGAGACAGTGAGATGGTGAGATCATTCCAAGGCAGCCTAGTTGTCTGTCATGTGATTGCACTTTGGCATGTGACCGACCATTCTATACTTCGAGTATATCAACTCTCTTTTACTCCTGCATAGGTTGGCTTCTCTCCTTCTGTGAGGATATCTACACTTTTCACCCGAATAAGCATCTGGGGGCTGTGAGATACGCTTACTATAGGCCTAGATTCCAGCCATAGCTCGGTCCGCCGCTATGGTCTCGTCATCTTGGACAACAACAATAGCCCTTAGCATGTTTCTTTGTTCTCGGATATTTTTGTTCGCGCCATTTGCACCAGAAACTTCTACCTGTTGACTGTATAACAAAGAATGAATGTCTAAGAAAGTAAAGAGACCCATGTAAGAACTCATAGCTTTGTCCATATTAACTTGGACGATCAACACCAGAAAGAATACCCCTTGTTTCCTGAGATCCAAGAAATATCTGCATACTGCTAAACATATACCAGAGTAGAAAGGTGGAGATATAGGAACAACCTCTTTGTCGTAACTGAAATGGATAGATAAATAGCAGGCCCATGCCCGACACCTCTTTCTTCCTCGGGCAGAAATAACTAAGTTCTAATACAATTCAAGGTTTGCCAGCCAATTTAGATCAAAACAAATCAACCGAAAACTCAAGTCGAATGCCTATAATTCAGGTCCCAGACTATTTCATGGGTAAGGCCAATGCAACCCTTCCACCAATCCCTGAAGATGGAGTCAAAAAAGGTAAGGAACGCCATCAAAGCCACTCAGTTCGCGGTCATGGCCCCTCTGGAGATAGACACCCGAAGTATGTTACTGATCTGTCGAAAGACGAATTGAGAAAACTGATCGATATACTTCACATAGATACGACCAGGACGATGAAGTACGATGAATCCATCAAGAAGCAAATTGTTGAGCTGCCGAAGCGAATGCGCCGTGAACGGCTTGGGAGTTCGAATCAACATATGTGCAACCTGCACTATGGTGTTAATGCGGATGTTGTGTGCGACGTGATGGAACTGATCATAAGAGAGGTTGAATATCATACGCGTTGGTTCAAGATGTTCCCTCACTTGACCAAGCCACTTGATCAACTTATCTTGAGCAAGATGGGTGCCATTAGCGGCATGTGGATGAAGCGGCCTAACATGCCTATCAACCCTGATCTCTGGCCCTACCAAGAGAACAAATGCTATGCCTGCATGGTGGCTCGTGTGGCGAGTGATCAGAATGCATTGCGCAACCTGCGTGTGTCTTTGCTCTCTCGAACTCCAACCCGCAAGCATCACCAGCCGTGCAGACTTATGAAATTTGTGGATATGAGCATTGACCAATTCCCCAAGCATATTGATGAGCTATATGGCACATCTAGCCAGTTTGCATACATCTTGAAAGATACTCGCAAGAAGTGCATCAAGGCCTGGTACAACGATCCTGCCAACAAAGGCAAGAGAAACAGACGACACAGGCACGGATGTGGTCACACCAAGAGGCCGGGTAGCAAGTATGATCCAAGGAAGAACCGTGCACAAGCACCGCCAGAAATTGTATCGCGTCACCTTTCTCAGCAGTCCGAGTCAGGAGGACCGCCGTCATGGATTCTCCGGGCTGCATCAGTTCATGCAAAGCACAGCATGCACCGAGAAAGCTTGATCCGGGTAAATGATACCGGTTCTCCCCGTCGGAGGCAAGACTCTTTTGTTCCCAGGCAAGACTCACGCTCGCACCATGGCACTAAAAGCACAGAGGTGGACCATAATAGTTCTCGATCTCAAGGGCATAGCATCAAGGGACGTACGCATAGCAAGAGGGAGCACCGCCGAAATCGTGAGCCCTCCCCACCACCGAGCTCTGCCATTGGACCTCCCGATGAAGTAGATAAGCTCATTGATATGTATCGAAACATGGCAATGAATCCTTACGAAAGAAGGGCGGAGCCTATGGAAACAAAACGAGATGACCCTCAAGCTTTCAGTTCGGTTGAAGTGCCACTGACTCATCGCTACACCGCATCGGAGTATACTCCCTCCTTGTATTCTGTTGAAAGCGAGTGGATTGACGAGGAGGCTGTGGACTGGAACGCGCATGAAAGACATATGTCAAAGGCCCAGTCAGAGGCAATGACGGTTTGGTCCATGATATACGACGAGGCGAATGGGAGATGATTTTGGGTACTCTTAGTATTTCTTTTCTTTTGCATCTATCACGATCATTCAGGTGGAGGAATTTGTCGTTCTTCGTTCTTTTAGCTCTCTATGCAAGTTAGTTCTTATCTTTTCCTCTTCCTCACTTCTGCCAAGACTGCTGCAGGCTGATTGATCTCACACAACAACCCAAAAAAAAATTGTAGATGGCAAATGAATAAACATTATTGACAGTAGCTCATAAAGCAAACCATGTACAAAGCATTGACTGGCACATTCTGAAGTATTAATACATTAGGATCCAGCGCCCGTTATACAAAAAATGACATAAAGCCCCATAGTCTGGCGGAGACGACCAGCAGCTCCAGGAACGGAATCGGGGATGCATAAAAAATTGACATGAGCTTCATTTCAGGACGGCTTTAGTTGTGGAGAACACTTCCGGGGACTCCGTGGCTTGGGCCCTTGAGACTGTCGACAGTCTTCCGACGCAGACGAGTGCGAGTCGCGGGTCCCTCCAGCGAGACTATCACGCGCTCGTGTTCGCGCTCCTCTGTGACCGTTACGGTAGGAGTTTTTTCAGTTGCCTGGGCAGTATCAAAGTCCACTTGCTTCTGGGCATTCTCACGCGCTCTCTCATAGCGCTGCTTGACATCGCCAGTCCACTGGGTGCCAAGAAGGCGGTCCCAGAAGATGAAAAAAGGCTGAGAGAAGTTGGTCTTGATACCCCAGCTTTGGTGGTGAATGTCATGGTAGGCGGCATTGTTGGAGGTGAAGTGTTGCAATGGATCCCAGGGGAATTCATAACCACAGTGATCATCAACAGTCTTGATAGTTGACATTGTGAAGAACCACATGGCCTGGCGGGTGTTCATGCCGGAAATCAAGAATCCGATTCCAGTACCAGCAGTGTCCAGGAGAAATCCTTCAACTGGATGATTGTAGAGAGCGCCAAAGGCATATGGAACATAGAGGCGGTGATGACGGGAGTGAAAGGTCACTGCAGCGGTTAGATTAAGGATAAATAATGTTTTTTTTTGGGGGAGGCATTGAACTCACCATACAACCACCGGTTCAAGTGCATTGCGCGGTGGAGGAAATACTGCCAAGTATCCACAATAGAGATAGCGAGCATAAATTGCAGAGTTGGGACGAAGTACCAATAGACGAAGCTGGCAACTGTAAGTTCCCAACCCATGAAAGCGGGGACGAGAACTTCAGCGCCGTTCTCGAGAATTTGCGATTGTGTCACACCCGGATAAATGCCACCGGCCAAAGCTCCGGCAAGGATCGTATGGCCGCTCTGGGACATGGACTTGGAGAGACCAACCGCATCCACCCCAACTAGAGTCAACAATGATGGGATGGCCTTCTGGATAATCCGCAATCGCTGCGCCCACACGGCCACATCGTACTCCTCCCGTCCAACGGTTTCCTCTGCATCAAAATATACGAACGCCAGACCGGCCACAGTCTGGATTATTTGCTGCAACACGACATCGCGGACAACTTCCCAGCGGGTCACGCGATTCCGCTTCAGGACCTCTGCGGGGGTGTGGAGTCGGTATTCAACAAAGTAATCATTAACATCCAGATAGTGATAAACCATGGATAGGGCCCAGTAGGCGACGATGGGCAAAAGGAGCGCAAGAACGTTATCGGGAATGGGATCAAGTAGGTTCTCTCGCGGTTTGAGTGTATAGGTCGGCAAAGGAGGGAGGTCGAACGCGACAGAAGCGTTTACAGCCATGCTGGCAGGGTGTGCCATAGGGCTACTGAAGTCGAGATCGAAGTCGAGTGAGGCAGATGAAGAATGTACGAGGTGGAGTCAAAGAAAGCAAAGAGAGTGGATGTCAGCAGCTTCCGCGGAAGTCCGGGGGGCTGACGGGAGCAGCAAGCGCGACGCAAAGATCCTCAATACGAGGATGAAGGAGACCAGCTGTATAAGTGTAAGACAATAAGAATAAAGGAAAGACAAGGAAAAGGCAAGTGATAAAGATAAAAGAATCGTGAGATCGATCAGGAGACGGAAACGGGGTGGCGCCAGTCGGAAACGGACAAGGGTAACCGTACCGGACGGTTATCGAAGAATCTCAAGTTGGAGAGGGGAAATAATACGGTATGGTATGGTTATTGATTGATTGCTGACTCAGATCTATAGTTCTCCCGGGGGTCCGCAGATTGTCGACGGTCGAAATTGCCCAATATTCCATGGAAAAAACACCTGAGAACCAAGAGAACAAGAGACAGAATGAAATTGAGCCTAATACTCTCCCTTTCTCTCTCTCTTTAATCTTCGGCCAAGCACGAAAACCCCGAAACAGTAATCAGGCGCTAAGGCGGTGGCCAGACCCCAATTGGGACAGAAGCAAACAAGCCAAATTCCCCCACTCCGCCACTAAAAAAAACTTCTTCCCCTCCTTTATTTTCCTTTCTTCTTTTCTCAGCGCCCATTTCTTTTCACTATCTAATTCTTTTTTTTTGAGACGTCTCTTTTACCGCCAAAATGCTTATCTACAAGGTATGATCATTTGCAAACATACTCTGGGTCGATTTTATCTAACAATGCCTACAGGACATTGTCTCCGGTGACGAGCTCATCTCCGATACCTTCAACCTTGTTCCCTGCGCGGACTGCGATATCCTGTGGGAGGCTGACTGCCGCAAGTACTTGAAGAAGAAGAACGAGGACTTCGCTCTTGAGGGTGCCAACCCCTCCGCTGAGGATGCCGAGGAGGAGGGTGGTGAGGGTGAGGCCGTCATGGTCCACGACATTGAGGACCAGTTCCGTCTCGTCTGGCTCAAGCCCGAGGACGGCCTCAAGCCTTCCAAGGAGAACTACAAGTCTTACCTCAAGGGTATGTGAACTTTTTGTTCCACCACACATGCAAATGGCTAATGTACCCCCCTTTTACAGGTTACATCAAGAAGCTCAACAAGCGTGTCGCTGAGACCAAGTCCGCTGAGGAGCTCAAGGCCTGGCAGGAGAAGGTCAAGGTTGCCATGAAGAAGGTCACCGCCAACTACGACAACTACGATCTCCTCATGGGTGAGTCCATGAACGGTGACGCCATGTACGTCCTCATCGACTTCCGTGAGGATGGTGTCACCCCCTTCGCTACCGTCTGGGCCGATGGTCTCAAGGAGGAGAAGGTCTAGATAGTTGTGGATCTAATGCAGGCGGCAATAAAAAGAAATGCATCTCACGAACAAATACCCTGCAGGGAAGAGTGAGACTTCCAGACCAGACGCAAAGCCATTACATACCCATCGTGGGTCTGTGTCTGCTCTTTAATGCTCTCATGTTCTTTATTATCCTGATTGAGTGATCCATTGGGTCAAGAGTTACGCCTCATGAATTCATCATCTACTTACGTTCTCATTTTGGAACTTTTCTGTGCACATATTGTAACTTTATATATCTAATCCTCGCCATTTGGGCTCTTAGAGTGGGGATAGCCTGCCAATCCCAAAGTGGCCAAGTGGAACCCAACAGGCGCATGGACCAGAGAGTCACCCACGTGTATAGTACAGTATGGTTGTATATCACGATCATCATACTGCATCTGTCTTATGAATGTGCGATGCATACATGGTTGAAAAATGCTACCAGGACCTGCATATCTTGACCTTGAGAAATGAATTGAACTTATGTCGTAACACTATAAACATGCCAATATAACTTCGGGGTGCAAAGAGCCCTGTTATTCATATCCCGACCAACCATTTGAATTCTCCGTACTGCCAGAGCTATTGCCATTCCAGGATGAGGGGAAGTTCATATCATCCGACGAGGCCACAGCAGGTGGCAGACCATTATGATAGATATCGGCCATATTCCCGCTGGAAGCATTGTGGTCATTTAAAGCGTTCCCCAGATTGGCAAAGTCAAGTCCCGCAACGGGGTCTAGTTCCATGAGGTCATCTGCTACAGGGAGATGCTGTCCGAATACTGCGTCCCATTGATCCCAGTCGAAGTTGATGTTGGGGTCGACCATGGAAGGCAGGGTAGAATCATCTATGGGTATGGTGTTAAGGGATGGTTCCATGAAAGGTATAGCAGGTGAAGGGGCGAGATTTGAAAGTGGCCGTTGGCCTTGTTGTAGGATGGTAGTCGAAGCGGAAGGCGGTTGTGCCTGACTCAGAGAAGATAGGCCTTGGTATGAAGCCAGCTCCAGCGAGGATAAAGAATTATATGGATCAGTGCCAGGAGGTAGCATCGGGCTGGAGGTAGAGTTTGGATTATTTTGTGAAGGTGTGTTGAAGGAAGGCAAGGGTTGTTCCTGGGGTTTCTGTGAATACCGCAAGGGGCTGGGCCGGGGAGAAGTTGAGGCGATGCTCGATAAATTGTGCGAGCGAGTGATGTTGTAGAATGTCTTGTTAAAATCATTGACATTGGGATCATGTGGTGGGACCCGGGAAGCCGTGACTGACGCCTCTGGGGAACCAGAATGGGATTTGTAGAGTGAGTCATTAAAATCAGCTGGCGTGGAGACACCGGCTTGAATTTGATCCTGCTCAGTCCAGAGCATTGAAGGATTGAGACCTGCCTTTTGCCAGGCCTTTTGACGAAGCCGGCGGATCATGTCCCAAGCCTCACGACCTCCATCCTTCAAGGGTCTTTGAGTTGACACACCATCCTCGCCACCGACGACTCCTCCATCTGGACCAGATAGAGCAAGTATTCGATCGATGAAGGCGCGTGATCTAGATGCCTCAGGGCTATGGGGTCGTTCGTACAAATCAATAAGCATGATCCTATAAATCGTCAGCATGATGAGCGACATAGCGGCAAGAGATTAATCATACATAGTGGCATGCATCGGTTGATGGTTGCTTTGCATATATTAGCGCAAGTATTGGCTGGGATCACGATGAGGAGAACTTACCCAGGCCAGCTCCACTGGAAGGGCTGGAAATCAGGATCAGTTGCGAGTTGAATGAACTTTCTCATGAACCCATGGCAATGCCGAAGTGCACTGTAACAGTCAGAAAGTCGGAATTCAAGCCATCCGAAGCGACATCTCAACGAACCTTTGACGTGCAGCAGGCCAAATGCGGCTGCGAGCGTTCTTGAGAAAAGGTTGATAGGCAACACAAAATGCCTGGAGTAGATTAGCAAGATTAATCAACAAGAACAACACTAAAGGGTTCTAGTAGACTTACTTTGTCAATATATAAAGACAAAATAATTTTAGCCCACTTATGGAAACAAACGAGCACCGGAGAGTGGTACTGTTCTGGGCATCCTGTCGGTCCCTCTCCTGGAAGTTCTGTATCAGAGGAGCGGCCATCCACAGGGGACTTGGACATGGATAGAGCCCGACCAGAGGTTGAAGAATGATCAAGATCTTTGCCCTCTGGAATTCGCTGTATTATCGAGTTCAGCTTCAGTTGTAATCCTAATAATACAGATCGAAGTTCTTCCATGTCCTGTCTGAGAAGAGGCTTGGTTCCAAGCTGGATCTTAAGTATGCGCCGCACAGCACCTGAAAAATTGATTAACTGCTGTACGTCTGAAAAAGAAACAAAACTCACGAGCCATAGCGTATTTCCCCCTTGCGGTAAGGTAATACACATTAACCATAGATGGCCCACCACAAAGGTTGGGATCGTCCGGATTGTCAGGTTGCCGTCCATGAGATGCGACTGATATCTCATACTGCTCAGCTGCTGGCGTGCCCAACAGTGTGTCTTTGATTTCGCTTGTCTCGCATACGTCCCAGTAGTTTTCATCACTGACAAGGGGAGGCAAACCACTTGACATGGCAACAACCCCATCCATGTGCATGATATGCCACCATAACCGGCGACGGTATTCTGCCTCAGACGGTTCGATGCCGAACTTGGCGGGATCTCTATGTAAACCCATTGTCTGTGCCACCCTCATCGCCAGACTGACAAACAGACTGCTCGTCAAAGGCTCCTCTTCCTTTGATACAATGGTTTGTACAATGAGATAGGCAGCAAGCCCTTGCAGAGACGGACTGCGCGGAAATGATATTTTTGTCAACCAGCGCGTCACCTCTTCACTGTACATAGTTGAAAGCGCAGAACGGGAAGACACGTTGAATTCGGCCTTGATTGCCCGAATTGAAATAGTGACTGAGCCACCATACCAGATTGCATACAACAGTGGTATGAATGATGGACTGGGGCAGGGGTCACCTGAATAGCTGCTGTAGTCGTACCAGTCCCAGAAGGAGCTATAGAGCTTTAAAATTGTAGGAGGATGAAGAACCGGACTGATGGCATGTATGCCGGACATGAATCCTTTGTATAAAATGTGACTTTGTCGTTTGGTTGGAATCCGATCCAGCATTTCTGGCTCCACTGCCTTCTCATTCGTTGAAGGTGAATCACCAGAAGGAAATATTATAGATTGTTGGAACAGCCGGGAGCGCGGGGTCATTGAAGATGTTGAGCTATCTAGTGACTCCCTCCATGACTGCCGAGAATCGGTAGCTGGGTCTGGCGTTTGTGTGTTCCTTTCTGGAGCTGGCTGATCATGCGAGCGATTTTGATCTCGTAGCAATTGATTAAGCTCATTGATCTGTGAAATATTTAGACAAGAAAGACATCCAATACATGGAAGTAGCTCATGACATACCTCGTCCGAAATGTAGGCCCAATACGTGGTGCCAACATATCTGTCTTTAATCAGGAGATGGTAATTGTTTCAGATTGAAGCTCACTCACCTAGATCTTCCACCATCTTCTAGGCTTAGATGGCCCAAGTTTAGACTACCAACCGGGTCGACTAAATCAGTAGCTCGGCCCGACGGTATCGGAAACTCGTCACCACTCGACTCGGCCGCAATGCGCCGCGGACTGGCAGGTTGCGATAATGTCACATTTCCATTTGAGGGACCCAGTCGCGACTCATGTAACGGCTTAGTTTCTCCCTTGGTTTCAGGAATCGTCTCATTCTCGGCAACAGCTTCCAGGGCTTGGTTTGTTCCGCCAAGGCGCTCAATCATCGACATGAGTTTGTCCAATCGTGACTCAATTGCGCGGGGGTCAGATTTGTCGCTCTTTGATGCCTCGGCCTGCCTCAAGTCCCCATAGATCGATTGCAGCTCACCCACTCCCTCCTCCAATGTCTGCGCATTCTCTCTCCTCCGCTTGACTCCGTGTGCATGCTGAGAGGTGTCACGCGCATCTTCATTCTTTTGCGCTGAAGCATCGTATATGCACTCGGTATTATTCTTCACACAGTTGCCACATATCGGATGTACCTAATAAGGGAGAGCAATTAGCTATACTGCATCTTAGTTTATGGTAAAATCGCAGACTTGCTTTGTCACACTTGACCTTGCGACGACGGCATGTCCTGCAGCTGTAACTCGCACGGTTCCGAGTGATTTGGCGACTTAACCGTAGCCGTGATTCAGGAGGGCTAGAGCCCGACAGGGGGAAAGACAAGGGGTTCATAATCCCCCGGGCATTTGGTTGTGAACGACATGTGGGGAGTGCCGATCTAATCAGTGACCCTCGGGATCAGTGATGCCACTGGATTAGTCAGCACCCAATCACATGGAGGCAAAATCATATCCTCTAAGTTGAGCCCTAAAGCGCGTGGAATGGGTGGTTGACGAGGTTTATCAGGGTCATTGAAGCCTGTAATGTTTCATAAGATCCTCATGGGAGCCTTCAGCATCTAACAGCATATCCACAAAAGTATTTCTAGCATTACAGAATATCTGAGTGAGTGCATCAGAAACGGTGGTTAGTCAATATATAACGCGATATAAATTCACTTAAAGCAGATGGCCAAATATTGGATTCTAATACTAGTTCTTACTTGCCGTTTCTATGCATGACGATGGGAAGTCATCACAAAAGTCCTCCACCCCTGCAGCTTGAAAAAGCAACGAATAGTAAGACTTCATGGCCAAATTCTTCGGGCAAAAATATATCGCAATGCCGGTTTCAATCGGAGTTGCTTCGGCGAAAAGCCGTCAACCCCGCCTGCAGATCAATTGTCTTTTTACCCGGGACCAGGTCAACGTTGTCGTATGTCGAACATCTTCGTACTATGCAACGTGCGGGGAAACTTCGACGCTATGGACTGTGAGATATTTATCAAAGGCCAAGTTGAAGTGAAATACACTTAATCAAATAATGCGATATGCCCTCTGACCGTCAGAATGTTCAAATTTACACTTTCAGCACTATTCGTGTGTATATCCATCACGAAAGCGGTGATATTTAAGCCACAGAATGAATATAAGAGCTTGTTCCCAAGTAATAGTTCGGTATCTATTGACCTAAGTCTCCACTTCAACAATCGGGCATTTGGACTAAAGCCAAATGATTCCAATTTTGATGGCGCTGGGAGTGAGTAGCTTGAATGTATTCACCTGCAGTGGATTGACTGTCGACAGATTCCTATCCAGCAGATCAAATGCCACCGGACCAGTTTACATACGGAGGCATCAACTATCGGTTCTCTAAATTCAATGCTTCTGGGTGCGACAATATGCTGGTCCAAGGACAGGAGATCCGGGTTCCACGATCAAAATACTTCAGCTACCATATGCTGGCGGCCTCTGAGTCAGGCATGGCTTCTGCTTCCATTGAAGCGAGGTATAGTGATGGCAGCACGACTTCTGGACCTCTCTTAGTTCCAGCTTGGTGGAGCTGGCCGTATCCTGCTGGTGCTGACCTCTCGTTCGGACATTACTTGACAGAAAACACGACAAATTTCAATCGGTCGAACATCTTCCAGACTGTCAATTGGGTTGACTCCTCGAAGGAGATTGTGTCTCTTTCGCTCCCTAACTCCTCGACTGGAGCCTCCACAGAACCCGGAGGAGTCTCAGTGAACACGAATTTACACATCTTTGCGATTTCTTTTCTGGCCGTACCCGAATCGCAATCCAATACTCCAAGACTCGCTGTTCAATATGCTCGCTCGACTCAAAAGTGGGTCGATGGATCTGACAAAGTTCAGATCATTGAAGTCCTGGTCAACAACGTTGGATCTTCATTCATTACACCAAGCAATAGTGTGCGCATCCAAGTTCAGTCGCCCGGTCTTGACACCATCATGGAGGGCACTATCAAGCGACTCGGCCCTGGAGATCAAGCCACAATCGAGATCGGAGTTCAGAAGAAGAAGGAAGTGTTTGTCAGCAGTGGTCCAGCAACAGTCATTATCAGTGGACATGATGTGGTTTCGGCGCCATACTCCTTCAATGCAACATATGGAATCCGCCCATTCGAGGCCACCTACGAGTCAATCTACAGCCATGAATCCCCGAACTGGTACAACAATGCCAAGTTTGGTATATTTATTCATTGGGGTGTTTACTCCGTGCCAGGCTGGGGAAATTCTGGATCTAAAGAAAACTATGCCGAATGGTGAGTCCATCATGCTCAACTAAATATGTTCATCTCTCACCACGTCAAGGTACTGGTGGTCTTTAAACACTGAAAATGACCCTACAAATACTTATGATTATCATTTGGAAACTTATGGACCGAAGGTCGTTTACGATAATTTTATCCAGCATTTCACGGTAGAAGCTTTCTCTCCCCAAAGAGTGGGTTGATCTATTTGCAGAGTCCGGCGCCAGATATTTTGTGCAAGTGAGCAAGCATCACGATGGCTATGCCCTTTTTGATCTGCCCGCAAATGTTTCTACGCGGACATCTGTGGCCCTCACCCCACATCGAAACTTGGTCAAGGTATGAAAGAACTGTGTTTTCTGTGATATGTAGCTTATTCCTTCAGGAACTGTTCGATACAGCCAAGAAATACCAGCCTCATCTGCACCGGTCCGTATATTACTCACTGCCCGAATGGTTTCACCCAGACTATGAGAAATACGGATTTGGCCAATGGCCAGGGGGTGAGATGCATACACCCCTTTTGCTTTGTCAATTTTTTGACGTCCTTAGGAAATGCCACAAATCCGTTCACGAATGAGACCTTGCCCTATACTGGTTATGTGCCACTGGCAGACTTCATCGATGACAAGATTCTGCCCGAGATGAACATCTTAGCGGACATGGGGACTGAGATTATGTGGTGTGACATCGGTGGCCCTAACAAGACATTGGAATTCGCGTCCGCCTGGTTCAATTCCGCTGCCGAACACAACCGGTCAGTGGTGATGAACTCTAGATGCGGACTACCTGGAGATTTTGATACTCCAGAATATGCCCAATACAAAGGTGTGCAACGCCGGAAATGGGAAAGCAGTGCTGGCATGGATCCATATAGTTATGGATTCAATCGTGCCACCCCTCAGGCTAGCTACATGAACGCATCGGCCATCGTTACTACCCTGGTTGATATCGTGTCGAAGAATGGGAACTTTCTTCTCGACATTGGACCTATGGCAAATGGGACCATTCTAGACATTGAACAGCAACATCTGCGGGAGGCTGGCAAATGGATCAAGAGCCACGCAGAAGCCATCTATGATACGTCTTATTGGTTTGTAGCCCCCGAAGAAGGAGAGCATATCCGATTCACCACTTCACCCGATGCTTTCTATATCCATTGTTTGACCAGACCGAATGCCACACTCACCTTGTCCAGTCCAATCCCCTGGATGGAAGGTGACAACATGTCCGTTGTTGGCGGCCACCAACATGGGGTTGAAATTCCTTCGATGAAGACCGAGGATGGGAGTGTAGTGCTGTCTGTGAGCAGGGAAATTGCAATGGCGGATCAATATGTATGGGTTTTTAAGATTAGTTACTGAGTCTGTAATGGGCTTCACATCCTGGGAACATAGAACTATCAATCATCAACAGTGCTGACGTCACTTAACTTACTTCACTTTTGCCCAAAAGGGAAGTGCAGTGGACCGGCAGAATGTATTTATCCGGGGCAAAAGGACGTGGTGGTTTGCCGCATATCCGCCCTCACCTGCAAAATATGCACATCTGCTGCTTCAGGCTGAATTGAAATGGGGACAGCCTTTGAAATATCCCTACTTTCCTTACTCCCCCTATTTCCAAGCCTTCCAAGCCTTCCAAGCCTTCCAAGCCTCCCAAGGATTTGATGGCTTGACGGTTGGCTGGGGGTGGCGCCGAGCAGGACCGAGCGCGGATATGCAGAGCAGTTCAGGCTGAACAGCTGGGAACTCGTCTCCAGGCTAAACCTCGGCCGAGGGGATGTGGGGTTCCAGTATATCCGGCGTCTTTATAAGGAGCTGCTGTCAGAGAGCTTGTTGACCAGAAACCGACATCTCCTGTGATCATGAAGTCAGTGCTCTCATTACTGGCCTTCGCGCCCACCGCATTGGCTCAGGCTCAAACCAGCGATGTCAATTATAATGTCGAGCCGCAACCGAATTTGTCTGCGCAGTCCGTGTCTACCATTGATCTCTCTTTCCCCGACTGTTCCAATGGTCCGTTGAGCAAGACTCTGGTCTGCGACGCATCTGCCAGGCCTCATGACCGAGCGGTCGCTCTCGTTGGCCTGTTTACCTTGGAAGAAGTCATTGCATCGACAGGCAATGTGATCCCACCCATTAAGAGGCTGGGTCTGCCACCTTATCAAGTGTGGAGCGAAGCGTTACACGGCCTTGATAGAGCGAATTTCACAGACTCTGGGGAGTACAGCTGGGCAACTTCATTCCCATCTCCCATCCTCAGCATGGCTGCTTTGAACCGGACTTTGATCAATCAAATTGGGGACATCATCTCTACCCAAGGTCGAGCCCTGAACAATGTCGGACGATATGGATTGGATGTCTATTCGCCCAATATCAACACCTTCCGTCATCCGGTTTGGGGCCGTGGCCAAGAGACCCCCGGCGAAGACGTTCTACTTGCCTCTGCATATGCCTACGAATACATCACGGGAATTCAGGGAGGCGTGGACCCCGAGAACCTCAAGCTGGTCGCCACCGCGAAGCATTATGCGGGTTATGATATTGAGAATTGGTCGGGCCACTCTCGCCTTGGGAATGACATGAACATTACCCAACAGGATCTGGCGGAATACTACACTCCCCAATTCGTCACTGCTGTCCGAGACGCCCGGGTGCACAGCGTCATGTCTTCATACAATGCCGTCAATGGTGTTCCTAGCTCAGCCAACTCCTTCTTGCTTCAGACCCTTCTCCGTGACAGCTGGGACTTTGTTGCAGACGGATATGTGAGCAGTGACTGCGACGCCGTCTACAACGTATTCAATCCTCATGAGTACGCCGGCAATGTATCTAGTGCCGCAGCTGATTCGATTCGTGCGGGAACCGATATTGATTGTGGAACGTCATATCAATACTACCTCAATGAATCTATCGCACAGGGCGAGATCTCTCGCAGCGAAATTGAGCGAGGTGTTATCCGTCTTTATTCCAACCTGGCTAGCTTGGGATACTTTGACGGCAAGAACAGCAAATATAGAAATCTTGATTGGTCCAACGTTGTCAAAACCGATGCACTGAATGTCTCATATGAGGCCGCAGTGGAGGGAATTGTTCTTCTTAAGAATGACGGCACTCTACCACTGTCCAAGAATACCAGCAAGGTTGCTCTAATTGGACCGTGGGCAAACTTCACTCAGGGACTTGTTGGCAACTACTTTGATGCTGCAAACGCGCCATACCTGACTACACCACTTGCTGCCCTGCAAAAGTCGAGTCTCGATGTCCAATACGCCTTTGGTACCAACATCTCCTCGAAGACAACAGATGGCTTTGAGGCTGCAATTGCTGCTGCCAAAAAGTCAGATGTCATTGTTTTTGCTGGTGGAATTGACAATACCGTTGAAGCTGAGGGCTTAGACCGCATGAACATTACTTGGCCTGGTAACCAACTTGACCTCATCCAACAACTGAGCCAGCTAGGTAAACCCCTGATTGTTTTGCAGATGGGTGGTGGCCAAGTTGACTCGTCATCTCTGGAGGCCAACAAAAATGTTAATGCCCTCATATGGGGTGGTTACCCTGGACAGTCTGGTGGACTTGCATTGTTGGACATCATCACCGGAAAACGCGCACCCACTGGTCGCCTGACAGTGACTCAATATCCCGCTGAGTATGCCATGCAGTTCCCGGCAACCAATATGGACCTGCGGCCTGATGGTGATAACCCCGGCCAGACCTACAAATGGTATACAGGAAAGCCAGTCTATGAGTTCGGACACGGACTTTTCTACACGAAGTTCAAGGCGTCTCTTGCACGCTCTCGATCCGCTAGCAACGGAACCTCCTTCGACATTGTCAAGCTTCTGTCGCGATCCCACGCTGGCTACAATGTAGCCGAGCAGCTTCCATTCATGAACTATACAGTGGGGGTCACTAACGCGGGTGGTGTGCTTTCGGATTATACCGCTATGGCTTTCGTGAACACAACGGCTGGTCCAAGCCCGTACCCCAACAAATGGCTCGTTGGATTTGACCGTCTTGGCTCGATCAAACCTCACAGTTCTCAGACCATGTCGATCCCAATTTCGCTGGACAATATTGCCAGAACAGATGAATTCGGCAACCGTATTGTTTACCCTGGGAGATATGAACTTGCGCTGAACAATGAGCGCTCCGCTGTGATGTCCTTCACTTTGACGGGCAAAGCAACAACTGTTGCTACTTGGCCCAAGGAAGAGCAGCAGATTTCCCCTGCATAAGCTATTAATTTTGGTACGGTCACCAAGATTTTGGAATTAGAATAAACCACTTCCTTTTCAATGCAGATTATAGAGCCATGCTGAAGTTTGACTTATTATATTCAGGTATAAATTCCAGTTTTGAATTATATAATTATACTAGTCCAGCGGCTTTAGTTAACTTAGTTGGCATAAATGACATTGTATTATTATGCTCACAATGTACAACGTTTCAGAAAGTATTAAAATGGGCATTAGAATGACTAGTTCAAACATGCGATGATAAATATATGGTGGTTTAGCTGGGATTGGACGTTGTATATTATGTAGTGTGTAAGTTTGGATTAGGATAGCTATGTACAAAGAGTCCCCAGCCCTTGAAAATAATTTAAGTAAGATGCCGAAATCGAGGGCGAAGTGAACAAGCAAGCTGCAAGACATCGTGACACGGGGTAAGAGAATGGAGAGAAATAGGTGACACAGTGGTCTCATTGTCAATCATGCGGTCTCATCGAAAGCCGCGAGAAGTGTTGGATTCACGGGACTTGGGCGCAGGTGGCTTCTTTGGCCAACTCCGGGCGATATCAATATTGGCACGGGGAAACCACATTTCCAGGAAAACATAGATCAAGAAGTCAATCACAACGCAGAGGCAGAAAAGCTTTCCAGCCCATACGCCGCAGCCGTAATATCGCTTCAACCGATCAATGAGAGCGAAACTGCGAACGCGATCGCCGCTTGCTTCCCAGCCCTGGCCAGGATAGTATCCGTAGAATTCCTCAGGTCTGATATCACCAATGATTCCTTCGTAAACGCGCTCAGTACGCTCTGCCACGTCCCGCCAGGAGTACATCATTTTCACCTGATCGTGAAATCTGTCAGTCCGCACTCGATTCGAGCGTAACGCGGAAATGGCTTTGCTAGTTGCAAGTACAATATCATCTTCCTCTGGCTTGGCAAATGTCGTCATGTGCTGAGGCAAAACCTCAGGGATGCCGCCGACCCGAGTGCACACTACGTAAAGACCGCAACTTGCAGCTTCAACGATGACTGTTCCGAATGCTTCTGTCAAACTCGGATGGAGGTAGATGTCCCCTCGAACCATCACGTCTCGGACCTCCTCGTGTCGTACCGAGCCTAATAACTCGACTTTGTCTTGCAGCACGTTGCGTTCAAGCATTTGTTCCAAGTCGATTGCTTTGGGGCCTGATCCCGCAATGATGAAACGAGTGTTGGGATTAGAAGCAAGAATTCGGGGAATAGCGGCGATCAGCAGATCTGTGCCCTTGTTGTAAAAGAGGCGAGAAATAACCACAATTGTGATTGGGTCATCCGGCCCAATTGGCCGCGGGGACAGGGGAGGATCCGAGGGTGAGCTCAGGGTTTGATCCGATGGACGGTTGGTGTGCGATAATGGACAGAAGTTCTCTGCCACAACAGCATTTGGAATAACTGATACCATCAACGGGTCCAGGGACGCCCGAAGTACTGTGTTTTCCTTACTGCGATTTGTGAGTAGAATATCACAGCAAATTCAGGGGACAACTTACCAGGTATGGCTCACACAGATCGCATGATCAACATCACTCAATGTGAACTTGAGTAGTTTGTTGGTAAGAATCGATGCTGCGTCGGCGAATCCAAACAGGGAATGATCAGTGAAAACGGTACGCAGGCCCATGGTGCGCGCATGAAGGATAGCTTCTCCGCAGAAGCTACTCAAGCTGGCATGTCCATGAACAATATCAATTTCCTCTCGAATGACGATATTTCGGAATATGGGGAAGAATGAGAAGACGGTTGGGAATGTTGTTTCGCGGTAGATGACGAAGAACGGAACGTGGTAAATCTTCAGTCCATTGGTAAGGTAGCGGACTCCGGTGCGCCCTTTATATGCATGTGTAATGACAATGACTTTGTGTCCTCGGTCGATCAATTTCTTAGTAGTTGTCAGAATAAGGATAGATGTGAATTCGAATTCGGCCAGGTCAAGCGCTTACGGACGACAATTGGTAAATGTGACTTTCAATTCCACCTATCAAAGTTAATACTTGGTCCTAAAGCATCAAAATAATAATTGTACATACCCGACTGTGGAAAGAAGAAGTCGCTGACCATACTATAGTCACCAGGAGCAAGGTTAACAAGGCATTCCGATTGAACGGGGGGAGTACTCACGCAATGTTATACGGCATCGTGATTGCGGTTCTCGGGTTGAGAACTCCGAGATATCAGTTTGCGTTTTTTGAGCAGCTTCCTTTCCATGGCTAACAGGTGTCACTGCTGCTCAAGGTCGCATTCACTGCATGTTGTCGCCAACGGAGAAGCTGTTGTTGATTGCCGATAAGCACAGCGGTAAACATGGCGGTGGTGATCTTTTGTTTTCTGCCGGCATAAAAGATTCAGAGAAAAGGAATTTGTTCCCCACGCATTCGACTGCAGCCGTCGCAGACTTCTGGAATCATGGCCGGCCACAAGATGAAGGAACCCTCCAAAGGCGATGTGACTCCAGTCTCAGCCAAAACTCACAAGCGCAAAAGAGATCAGAATCTCCCCCAGGCTGCCGCCACTCCCACACCGACCAAACAGCACAAGAAGCGCGAAAGCTTGTCAGCCGAACAGCCAACCCAGCACGATGATGATAGCACTAGGAAGCGCAAGCGAGTCAAGGATGCCCTCCAGCGTGAGGATTCCCCACAAACGCCCAAGAAAGAAAGTGCTGTCCCGGACCGCAGCAAAGAGAGCACTACAGACTCGCGTCGCGACGTCGGTGAAACAGGCAAAAAGTCAAAGAGCAGCAAGAGAAAGAGCATTGGCAAGAACGACACAATGGATGATGAGTCTGCACCTGTAATTGCAGGTAGCGATGATGAGATAGAAGCCGAACCCAAAACATCCAAGAACAAGCATGCGGGTATCTTGTCGAAGTTTGAGCGCACCAAAACTGTCGCCAGCTCCAAGGCCAAGCATACAGAGCCTGAAATCATCCAGGATGAAACGACTGCTGTGGAACCCGTCTTTGCAAAGGGCCTTGAGCCTTTGCCGCAGCCCGAGAATCCGCCTGAGCTTGAACAACTCCCAACTTATTCCTCTCTCCCCCCTTGGCTGGCAAACCCTCTACGAAAGTCCTCTGACGACAAATCCGACTTTTCCCAATTGGGAATTAAACCAGATCTTCTTAAAATCCTCCAAGAAAACGATTACAAGGAAGCATTCGCTGTACAGTCTACGGTTATTCCTCTGCTTCTTCAGGGTGAGCAGAATCACCCTGGAGATCTCTGCATTTCCGCCGCTACTGGTTCTGGAAAAACACTCTCCTACGTCCTTCCACTGGTCACCGCTCTACCGTCGAGACCTGCCTCGAGACTAAGAGGTTTGATTGTGGTTCCCACCCGAGAACTGGTGAAGCAAGCCCGCGAAGCTTGTGAACTTTGCGCTACTGGCTCACGACTTCATATCGGAAGCGCAGTGGGAAATGTGGCCATCAAAGATGAACAGAAGCAATTGATGCGAGTTGACCAGGTTTACAACCCGGCCATCCAGCAGCAACAACGAGATGGACTGATAGGAAATGACTGGATGAACCTGAACCTCGAGAACTGCGTCGGTGAAGCTGTCGATTCCAGTGGCTCTCTTCCCGGCCACATTCAAAGATCAGAGCCCAACGTTGACGTTCTCATATGTACCCCTGGTCGCCTGGTTGACCATATTCGTTATACGAAAGGATTCACATTAGAACATCTTGAGTGGCTCATCATTGATGAGGCGGATCGTCTTTTGAACGAAAGTTTCCAAGAATGGGTTGATGTTATCATGCACTCGTTGGATAGTCGACAGGCACCAGAAACCTTTGGTCCTGGCGGCAAACTTCTATCAAAGCTTGGGCTTCCTATTGAAGCCAAGCCGCCTAGAAAGGTGGTTTTGAGTGCAACCATGACTCGCGATATCTCAAAGCTCAATTCTTTGCGCCTTGCCAACCCGAAGATGGTCATCATCGGATCTGAAAATGCTTCAAACGATGATGATCCATCCGCCACTCATCCTGATGCCCACTTTGCTTTGCCACCAACCTTGTCCGAGCATATCGTTCAAGTCGGCGATGGATCCCTCAAGCCACTTTATCTGCTACGTCTTCTTCTGTCCCACATCGAGCCTAGTGGAGACCATGCTCCCAGCGTTTCTGATTCATCCGACTCTGATAGCACCAGCTCCGATGAATCTAGCGACGATGACACTAGCTCGGATGAATCTTCCGACGATGACACCTCGTCTTCTGGATCTGACTCGGACTCTGATTCTGATTCCGATTCTGATTCCGATTCTTCGTCTGATTCGTCGTCGGACTCTGATTCTTCAGATGAGTCTGAGTCCGAAGACTCAGAATCAGATGCTATGGACCTTGTGCCTGAACCAGGGCGCAAGACTGTTTTGATCTTCACAAAATCATCCGAGTCTGCCTCACGACTCTCACGCCTCATCTCGCTCTTGCATCCACCACTGGCCAAGCGTGTAGGGACCATCATCAAGTCTAATAAGTCTTCTGCATCTCGCAAGACCCTCACGGCTTTCCGTCAAGGCCGGATCTCGGTCATTGTGGCCACCGACCGTGCTTCTCGTGGTCTTGATCTTCACTCTCTCACTCATGTTGTCAATTACGATATCCCAACAAGCATTACTACATATGTTCATCGTGTGGGTCGTACCGCACGTGCTGGTCGCGGGGGTTCAGCGTGGTCTTTAGTTGCTCATCGCGAAGGTCGCTGGTTTGCCAACGAGATTGCGGCTAGTGTCAATGGCCGCATTACACGTACCTCGAACATTGATCGTGTCCAGATCAAGCCAGATTCTCTCAGCTCGCTTAAGCCCCAGTACGCGAAGGCCTTGGACAAGCTGGAGAAGGAGGTTAAGCGTGGTTAGTCAACCACGGCGACACATGATAGAAATCGGGGTTGTATTTTAGGATTCATTACAGTAGTGATCTGCATTTCAAGCGGTCTGTCTTTGTACAACAATATTGAATATCAAATGCTTCGCACGCTCATTGAATCACGTATGAGCCTCGTCTTTGTTCTTGTTGCTATTGGGGGAGTCAAGAGGGCTTAACCCCTCCACTATACTTTTATCGCAGTAAACGAATGTATCAATCAGCTATGACACAGCCACTCGGTCATGGACTTTTCTAGATACAGTAATCCAAAGTAACAGGGATCTCACACTCGAGAACAAGATCAAGAAAGTGAGCGGGATGAGTTTCAGCCAACCAGAAGCTATAGTCACCGAGGTCTTGGCATGAATCCACATATTTGATGTCACGGCCCATTGATAACCCTAACATCGATCTCATTGATTTCACTGACTTCATCTCGAAACAGGTCTACTTATGCACATGATCTCCAGAGTAGCTTGCATATTGATCATACTGCATATGGCCACTGAGACCACGCAGTATAGGGATGAGATCAGGGCTTGACGTCACTCCTCTTCCAGGATAGAGGTAGGATAGAAAGGATATAAGAAGGTGATCTTGAGACCCTTGTATTCAACTATTCAGTCAAATCTATCATTAAAATCATTCCCTCTACCATATACATTTCATCACCTTTTACATCATTGACAATGAGCACTCTTCGAAACGTCGATTCCGTCTCCAACCCCAAGCAGGGCAGCTTCAAGCCTGCTGTCGCACCAGAAGGCCCTCTTACCACCAAGGGTGTATGTTTATCTCGATTATTGTTTAAAAAAAGATTTGAAACTGATATCAAAACAGCACCAACCTGGTCGCAAGGTCAATGAAGCCGACCAGCGTCCCGAGTTCCACATGGAAGCTCATCCACGAGGCACCGCGCCCGCAGGCAGCTCCTACACCCCAAACTCCATCTCTGAAGTCAGCCCGGATGTGAATGGTGGAGCCAAAAAGGAACCTACATACACCTCCGCATCGGACACTCTCATGGGCTCGACCTCAGCAGATGTCCACCAAGGATTCGGCAAGCCCCTACAAGGCCAAACCAATGTTGAGCTTAAGCACGATGGCCAACACGGTCGCAAAAAACAGGCAGCCGGTTTAGAGGGCATGGGCGCCTCTAATCAAGATCGAGGCATTGAGCGCCAGTTTCCCGACCAGCGTGGTCTTGAGCGGGAAGAGGCTGGTGTGAGTGGCACCAGAGGTAATAAAATTGCTCGTGCTACAGCTGAGGAGATTGAGCCTGAGTCTGCTGAGACTTTGAGCAAGGAGTGGAAGTATGAGTCTAGTACCAAGCGTGACAAAGGACAGCAGAGCAAGCACTAAGCGATGTTTCAATGATGCGGAAGCTGGATTTCCCATCAAAGTCATAGTGCAGTGCAATGTATCTCTATATATTCTTCAATAAGTAGCAGTGTCAATTCTGAAATTTATTCTTGAGCGCAATGCTACATTGTCTTATACTGTCAATTTTTAATCTATCGGCCAACAAGCTCGAGAAAGATTTCATTGACTAGAATATATTTTTGTTTTCCATGGAACAGTCTCATATCATGCCGCAGAAGTATAAGACTCCTGTGTCCCCTGTATCTCTATGGGCTACAATGGTAGGCATAGTTTTTTTTGGCGTTTGGTACAAAATCAGTATTCTAACGCCGTAGAAGGGCGTGCCGAGGTAACGAGGACTAGATGGGCAAAGCGAGCCTGCCAATCAACAAAAGTTCGGGCCCATTGGTAATTGCTAGGCACATGAACATCCGGTTTGGTCAAGATCCGCTTGAAAAAAAAAGTACTATTCACAATAAGCAAAGGCACCTGCGATGCCGTTTTGGTTGGCTTCTATCGTGTCAGCTGGATTGGAAGATGTTGGAGAAGACTCTGGAGAGGTTAGAATGAAGCAGTGAAAAGTAAATTGAAGGTACAGCCGCATATAATATGTGCTTTTAGACAATATATGAGATAGGAAAAACCAATTCAAATAACAACAACAACATAATGCTCACAAAAGCGGACAAACGAGACGCGACAAAGGGACGATTGTAGTAGGGCAAGAGAGATACAACATATCGTAGGAAAATGCCGGATTTCTCAAGGCTACTCAAGTTCATGGACGCCACATAGCTATGGCTATTCTATCATAGACATGGCGGTGGTTTGTCCGCTGTCAGTCCTCATACGAAGTTTAGCGATGAAAAGTGTGAATTTAGATTATTTTTACGCAAAATTCTCGTAGTTGGTATTTCTTAATATTGAACAAATTTCCTTGGTATATTAACAGAAGATGTAATCATTACAAAACGCCATAATGCATTGTAATATGCCGCGCTCGACATAAATTCGCAGGAATAGGGGCCTCACGCCCGTAGTCAACGCATCACCGGAGGCCGACCCTCCTTATTCCATTTGACACGACTTTGCACCCATTCAACAGCGGCCTGGACTCCTGATCCCAGTAACGCGCTGACCGGCAGCACGCGACTGTCCCGAACGCCGCCTCCTGTCTCTCCCTCAAACACCTTCCGAACCAGCCCTTCTTTAATTCGAACCACTTCCACACAGTCCTCACGATCTTGTTTGTTGGCAAGCACCAGGATGGGAACGCCCGCGACGTCTGCGTTTTGCAGGACTGATTCGAGGACCTGCCGGCATTCATCTAGGCGGCCGAACTCGCTACTGGCCGCATTAATTCCGACATTCTGTTCTGAAAAGGCTTCTGCACTTGTGCTTCCTCGTGTATTATTGCGCGTCGGCCCGGCCACCGAGCTTGCGCGCCGAGATGATGACAACAGTCGTGTGATATCGGGATCCTGGCCAAGGTCGGAGCTGTCGACCACGAAGATGATCGCATGACAGCTACTGTAATAGCTCTGCCATAGACCACGCATTGAGATCTGGCCACCGACATCCCAAATCTTCAAGTTCATATCGTGCAAGGGAATGGTTGAAACATTTTGGCCGACGGTGGGGACTGTCTTTCCGGGGTTAGGCGCGGGGGTGCCATCAGCACGCGGTTGATAGAGCGATTTGATCTGCGACAGCAGAGTTGTTTTGCCAGCATTATCTAGGCCAAGCAGTAGGACCGAGTATTCTGTTCAAGTTGAGAGGTCAGTCGTGAGCCTTGACCATTGGGAGGGATGGTAGCAGGTCCTACCCTCTTTGCTGGTGGCGTATAAGTATAGCGACTTGGCCAAATGGTACATGGTCGCGGTCCCCAGAGCTCACAAGCAGCAGCACAAGATCAAAGAACACCGCAGATCATGACAGTCGCAACTTGAAGCTGCGAGGCTCACCCGCGTTCCAGCCTCATCCGGATTGGGAAAATAGGGCTTAGGGCTTGGACCGGGCAATTCAGGCAGTTCGGGCGAGGTCAACGAAGCTTCAACTCCGACCAGCTGTGTATTGGAGGTTGTTCAGAGCTCCAACAAGTTCGCCAAAGGTCTGTGGACTGTTCCGCTGTCGATGATCCTGCTCTGATGGCCCGGAGACCATCCCCTTGAGCCCCATCGCAAGAGGCGTCCATTCCCGGCGAATGGAGAATGAGAGTCCTCTCTCTCCCCCACTCGTGTTTTGTCAGCTTGATTATTGATCGGGGGAGATTGGAGATCGGGGACTCCCTACCATCTTCTTCACCTTTTTCTCTCTCTCTAATGGCAGGTTCTTCATGGCCTTGCCGTTCCTACGTTTCCCCGGCGTGACAATCCTGTGCTTTTGAAGCTTCGGAATCACTTCCCTCGCATGTCTGACCCAGTATGCCCCGCGCCGGATCGATTGTCTGATACAAAGGCGCCAATGGAGACTGATACTGTCATTGTCGGTATGCGATATCCTTTTCTCCCTATTTCTATTTGCTTTTTTTTCTGTCTCTCCCCGTTACCCCGCGGCATCGGAGGTCTGCTTTCCGAGCTCGTATTGACACCTGAATAGGCAATGGGCCGTCTGCCATGATCCTTTCATACATTCTTCATGGTCATATTCCTTACTACTCGTCCGAACCTCCACATCCCGATCATCTATTGGACGCCAAATTAAAAGCTGCGCCGGAACTTTTAAATGCCGATGTCAATTCTCTTACTGCGCATTTTGACGCCTCGCGCCTCTCATATTCAACACAGGCGCTCCCCATCAATGTTTTATTGGACACACTGGTACGACCAAGCGTAGATGTGGACGAACCAGGCTGCATTTCAAATGTGGAGTGGCGCTCTCAGCCCGAAAAGGCCGTGCCACACCTTGTTTTTGGGAATTCGTCTAGCCCGGGTGGACAATGGACAGAAGACCCATTAGGCGCCAGTTGGGATATTCAAACCTTGAGTTATGCGGCCATGCTGTCCCTGCCCGGCTACTCCTTTGCCGATTTTCATAGGAAGATAACGGGCCAGGAACTGCCTGCATATACGAGGCCCACAAGGCGCGAGATTGCGGAGTACTTTGCGGCCTATCCACAGGCGGCCCTGATTGATGATTCTTTCCGCTGTGGGGAAGAGCTGAAGGATATCTCCCGCACCGCAGATGGATTTTACATTCGATCCCACAATATCAGGTGCAAACGACTTGTCCTGGCAAGTGGCATATTTTCAGAAGTTCTTCCACCGGAGCCATTACTGCGATCTATTTTACCGACCATCTCGACACCCTCCCTCCCGCTCCTTGTTATTGGATCGGGCTTCTCCGCTGCGGATTCGATCATATCCGCTTCCTCGAACCAACATCTTTTGCACATATTTCGGTGGTCTCCCGATGATCGTCCCTCCCCTCTTCGAGGATGCCACCAGCAAGCATACCCAGAATACGCTGGTGTCTACCGCCTGATGAAAAGAGCTGCACTTGCAGCCGAGGCCCCCGGGAAAGACCAGCGACCCAAATACCGGCGCGCTACTTCGACCTCGTTCCTTGAAAGTCGGAACTGGGAAGAGCTATACGAGGGTGTCCCCAACGTTGAAATTACGGATGTGGACATTCAGGATGACCTGGCTAGGGTCACTTTCCGCCGCCGGGATGGATCTATCTTCTTTCGATCTGTACGTGGCCTCGTTTACGCCGCCGGTCGTCGAGGCACGCTAGATTATCTTGATTCCAAGCTCCTCTGTGAAGTGCTGGGGCACACGGATGAAGATTCAGCAATTACTGGTCAAACTCTCCGTGCCAAGGCCATTGAGGACCTCGAAGTTACGCCCGGTGTTTATATCATCGGGAGCCTCACCGGAGATTCTCTAGTGCGCTTCTCTTACGGTGGCTGTGTTTACGCTGCGGGACAACTTATCGAGGGCGAGCGAGACACACGCAGCGTCTGTAGCAGTCTTGTCTCTACAGCCAAACTACACGGCTCCTCACTGTCCGTCATGAACGGCATGGATGGCCACCTTGTCTATCCCAGCGCAGATGACTTGGATCTGACCCGCGAGGACACCATCAGTAAAATGACACCGCTCGCGGATCCGCCCGCCATCCCTGGCTGGTGGCAAACTCTCACTCGTATGTGGAATGACATTTCCCGATAAATGATGAAGTTATGTATATATATATGTGGCTGTATATACCAGATTTTAGGCCGTGGTCGCGACTTGCCCGATTAGTATGGTGCCGCTTTCTCCCAGCGTCATACTCACTGAGCATTTCTCAACACAGGGTGAGTGCTGATCACTCGGTTACTGGATACGTTACCTTTATCTTGATATTATTCTCTAAAAAAACATTGTTCTCAAAATGTAGAACAAGTGGCAGTGGCAGCAGATGGGTCAACCAACCTCCCCAGGGTTGGGCGATTGAATGAGATTACGTACAGTTGGACAGTTGGACAACCCAATTAGCTGTATTCTAATAAGATGAAGTGATTTTTCACTGTTTCCTCATGTCAACTGACTGAGAATTTCCTTCCACTTTGGCTCGTCACAAACACAGCGGCGGCCCTTGGGTCTTTTGTGGTCGATCCACCGAGAAAACACGAAGATCAATACTGAACCCCATAAGTTGAGGGCCAAAAGCCACACTTTTACCCTTGCATCAACAAGAAGATTTCACTCATCAGGCTCATCGTCATTTCAAGTGATAAATCAAGACTTGTTCTGGACGGAATGCGCCATGCCGTATACAGGCGACGAGGGTTGGTAGTTTGAACTCGCTTCTGGACTTACATGCAACGAGTTGGTACTGTTGGAGTGCGGATTTGATGTACTGTAAGATTTCCTTTAGGTACGGAAAGGTTATAGAAAAGAGTTATAGGGTCATCGTCAATTCGCAGATAGATATCGGCTTAACCAGTATTAAAGACTCCCACCTACGTACTAGGATAAATAATGTAGTCAAAAGGCTGCGAGAGGAGTCTAATAAGAGCTCACTAGAAGCGAACTTTTAGAGGGTCGTTATCCTTCTACTATATCACTTCATCGACATCCATATCTCCCAGTCCCTCGTATATATGGCCCAAAGTGACTTTATATAGAGATTTATATTCTTTAATATAGGTAGCCACGCGATATAATGATTCGGATGATTCGTTTCGAATATTATAGATAAAATTAGTTAGCTCCAGGCCGTTTAATTACTAGCCGCGGGGTTTTAGGATCAAGTGTCGCCGCACTAGGAGTGGCTTTCTCTTAGGCAGCTATACGCGGTGAGCGCCGCGGGGAACGACCGCGAGTTTCCATGCTCTTTAACCCTTCTTCTAGTTCTTAATCTAGGCTTAGTGTATTATAATGGTTTTCGGAACGGATCGATTAGGAACTACGTCGAAGTTTTAGATCCATATAGAGCTCTTCAATGTTTCTAGAAACATGGTCCTTAACGGTCTAGCGAAGAACATAATTTAAGTTGATTTCCGACCCAATACTATACCGGCGGATATTTTCGCCTATTTTTTCAACGTATCCAGGGAAGTGAATAAGTTGTCTTCTATAAGCGAAGAATCCATCAGCAACCGCCATATTTCCTCTTGTTCGCTGGCATAAGAGTCCCACACACTAAGTCTACAAGGGCGGAGCTTGTTGGTCGCATTTGTGGGATTGCCACGCGTCGACTGTGTTTTATTCGTCTGCACCGCAAGGTTGAGAAAAAGATGTTTGTGTAGGCCATCAAGAAACGCAGGGAGGTTGGTTTTGGAGGATTGCTGTTGAGAAGCAGAAAGCTGCTGCTCGAGCCCACACGTGACTGTCACGTGATCCAACCCTGCTGGAGTGGCTGGAACACACCCTGCGCCACTCCCCAAACGGGCGACTGCTGACGTCAGCGCTTGGATCTCACCTCCGCGGAATTACCAAACGCCCGGGGCGCCATTCTGCATTTCCAAGCATACTTCCAAAGCCCGAAACCTGTCGCTGATTTGCCAGTTTGGTCAGGCAACCCTTTCCCGGCCATTGAAACTGAGTCCGGGTGGTCTTTTCGTAGAATTCCCATGGTTGTTCTATAGTTCTTGGGGTCAATGCTGACCAAGCTCGAACTATGGCTTGCTCCAAATTGAAAGACATGAGCCCGAAATGGAAAGTGGACTTCTATGAAATGCGAGTATAAATATTCGGACGTGCAGACTGGCATAGAATCTCTCATCTTGCCTACTCATTCTCCCTACTCATCACCACTGATAAAAATGTGTCCCACGGACTCAATCTCAACCTACGGCTTGACCGCCGTGCCATCATCGGCTACGACACTTCTCGCAACGGACCCTCCAAAGATCCCAGCATCTTTCATCCCAGTCTCTCAGAGCCCAATTCCAACTACGCCCCTCGCTCAACGGATTGATGCGTATGCAAAGGCGCATCTCCCGGAGCCAACTTACAACCACTCCCGTCGAGTCTATCACTATGGAATCGCAATCAAGCAATATCGATTCCCAGAATGGACTGTCTCCGATGAGACGTACTTCCTAGCATGTTTACTTCATGATATCGGAACCACCAAGAAAAATATCACAGCTACCAAGATGAGCTTCGAGTTCTATGGCGGCTTCATTACCTTGGACGTGTTGCAAAATTTGGAAGCTTCCACTACGAGTGCTTCCGCCGCCGTCGCCCCGAGAGATCAAGCAGAGAGTGTGGCCGAGGCCGTCATCCGGCATCAGGACTTTGGTGAAAAGGGGAACCTCACAGCGCTCGGGCAACTCCTGCAGTTGGCAACAATGTTTGGTATGTTTAGTCTCCAGTCTCCAGTTTGCAGAGGAACAGCGGTTAATCGGGGTCGTTACAGATAATATCGGGGCCTGGGCAGATCTAGTTCACTTGTCCACCATTGCCGATGTTTGCAAGCATTTCCCTCGTTTGAAATGGAGTAACTGCTTCGCTAGTACAATTCTCGAGGAAACTGGTCTGAAGCCTTGGTCTCATACGACAGTCTTGGGAGACGCTCCCTCTAGGGTTCTGGGCAACACACTCATGGCGCCGTATGAATGAGCTTGTGAAGCCGAGAGTAATTATTTGTGCACTTTTCCAGATACAAAAAGACAGAAAGAGACAATTGATGTGCCAATGACCTAATGAAGAAAAAAAAAGCAAGTGAGCTTGCATCGTGTAGTAGAAGACGAGTAGAAAAGTAGAAAACGCGCCTCTCCCACAGCCGAACACAACCTCCTTTCCCCCAAACCGACATGTTGGCCTTTCTCAGCATATTGTGTCTCCTAATCCCCCTATATTGCATCTACAAGCCACCCCAGATCATCATCCGCTACCTCCAACGTCGGTGGCCCGACGTGCTCTTCCACGTCCCAACAGAAGAAAAGGTGGTCGCGCTCACTGTTGACGACGCCCCTTCGCCACACACAGCAGAAATCCTTCGCCTGTTGCAGTTGCACAATGCAGCAGCGACTTTTTTCTTGATTGGATCCCAGATCTCGGCTCACGAAGATATCCTGGTCGATCTCGTTCGAGCTGGCAATGAACTCGCGAACCATGCGATGTATGACGAGCCGTCGCGTGCACTGAGTGACGAGGCACTGAGAGACCAAATCCGCACTGTGCATGCCCAAATTGAAGTAGCATATGCGGCGGCTGGGACTCAAACACAGCCAGAGAATTGGCTCTTTCGTCCTGGGTCGGGGTTCTTTAGCTCACGAATGAGACTGGTGGTCAAGGATTTGGGTTATCGCTTGGTCCTTGGGGATGTTTATCCGCATGATCCCCAGGTTCCCTACTGGACACTCAATGCCCGTCATATTCTCAGCATGGTCAAACCGGGGAGCATCATTATCTGCCATGACCGCCGAGAGTGGACGGTGCCAATGCTTCAGAAGGTGCTGCCGGAACTCAGTCGCAGGGGTTACCGCGTTGTGACGGTCTCCAGCTTGTTGAGCAATTCATAACGTGGCCAAAATCCCCGTTGGATTAAGGGTTTAGAGTTGAACGACGTACAGACTACGCGCTTCAGCTTCAGATAGAATGGCTGACTAGAAAGGGTACATTCTTCGTCTTCAAACGCTATGGGTATAATTATACAAGACACGATTTCGACACTACCCCATCACCTGCAACTGGTCTTCAGGGGGCCAGCGTACTTGCGCGAAGCTCAGGCAACGCTTGATGCTTTGCAAGTACTTGCGTGTAATCTCATCACTCAGAATGTGGGCTTGTTGATCGCTCTGGTGCAGCTTCTCTCGAGCAGAGCGCTCGTGAATACCAACCATGGTCACACCAATGGGCCACGCGCTATAGTTGAGTTAGCAGATATTCCAATAGTGCAGAAAATGCGATGGACTTACGCCTTTCCAATACTGACTCGCAAGTATGCATCGTTGGCATCGACATATCGTCGCTGCTGTGCCTTGTGCACTATCTCAACGATCGGTTCCAACAATCCATCTTCAAGATCTGATTTCTCAAAGAGGCGGAACAACGGCGTCATATTCTCACGGGATTGAGTCATGGCATTGTAGGCCTGTTTTCCTTGGAAACTCTGCCGCACGGAAACATCGCGCTTTGCCAAAGCCAACTCCCATTCTGACAAAACCATGTTGAAATATGAGCCCAACTGCCGGAAAAGAAAGAGTCGACTCTCTTGGTCCTTGGGGATCTTTGCCGGAATGATCATTTGTCCACCAGACACTGGCTCCAATGTCGTAGGAATCGGCCCATCCGTAATCTTCTGCTTGGGCATTGCTGCCCGTTGAACCAGGCGGCGGTATCGTCGAAGTCGAGCTTTGTAGTCCTCTCCAAATAACCGTGCAGGTGCATCCATTGCCCGCAATCTCTCAATGAGCTCGTCCTCCTCAATGTCTTCCTCGGGAGCATCTTCCGGCTTGTCTTCAGGCAAGTCGGGAAGACCGAGCCTCCGCCGCCGTTCACGTTCTTTGGCCAGCTCTTCCTCCTCCCTCCTTGCCTTCGATTCCTCGGCTAATCGGCGCTTCTTGTCCTCTCGTTCGCGATTTCGGTCTGCTTCTTCCTCGTCAAGCTTGCGCTTGGTCGTTATGCGCTCTTCTCGCTCGCGTGCCGCGCGTTCCTGCTCTTGGTTGTAGGCCTCAACACGCGCGGCTTCGACATCTCCCCGGCGCATATACTTCTTCGGTGGTTGTGTTGAGCTTTTGTCGGCCTCTTTCCCGGATGACTTGGTCTCGGGGCTCTTGGCCTTGGAGATCTCTTTCGACATGAGCGCGGCAAAATCCATGGTGGCGGAGGCACACAATATTTCTTCTTCAAGTTGTGACTCAAACTCGAGGATGGCGAGGTCTGTTCAAGGACAACAGGCGATCGTCGAGGTGTAGTTGCGATGGAGTGGAGTGGAGGAAAAAGAATGTCGAACGTCAGAACTCGAGCTCCGACGCATTTGTGCTTCCTCCGTCTTCCCCCAACTTGCTCCTCCACTGGCTCCTCAACCTTCTCCTCCAACCTTCGCTTGTGTTTCAATTCGAACCTCTGATATCTTTCTCGCTTGTCTCTCACTTCTCCAAGTTATATTTCGCACTCTCGCATCATGTCTGGCCCATCGCGCGAGGCCGTCAAAACCTCTATCGATCGCGAAACCACCACACCCTTTCATCTCAAGCTTTTCTATCGCGTCAACACATTTCACTCACTCGCTGACTTCAGCATTCCCTCACCCCATCGCCGGGGAGGCCCAGGCAGTGGTCCCAATGCTATTCGGGGAATGTCACCACCAGCTGCAGCACCGCTTCCACCTCATCTCGAAATCTACACATGGCACTCATGCACACTACGTGAGCTTTCGCTGTGTCTCACATCGGCTCTTCCTTCCCTTCTTCCTGATCCACCTGTCGGCACCCGACTTTGTTTCCGCCTGATTTACCCCGACGCGCGCGGCGCAGCTATCATGGGCCCGGATGCGCGGGGACGATACTTGAGTAGGGATCTTGGAAGTGTGGTTGTCGCACCCAGGGATAGCTCTTTCCGCACCGAGGGTGACGAGGAAGACAAACAAGAGACACGGCCCCGCGGTCCGCTTCGCTTCCAGGGCTCAGAAGCCGACAAGCCTCTACATGATGCTCGTTTTATTGTCGGGGACTACGTGGAATGCGCCATTCTTCCACCGCTCGAGGATGGATCTGTCGCGCCGACAATTCGCGGCGCATCGGGACCGCCTCCGGCCGGTGGAGGTATGCGCGCATTCCGTGACAATGGGTTCAGCGGGCGTGGCCGTGGTGGTCCTCGCGGTCCTCGTGGTGATCGTGGTGATCGTGGGCCTCCCAACATGCCGCACGGGGACTGGAACCGCGGAGAGCGATTGCCAGATGGTGGTCGAGGTGGAGGTCGTCGTGGCTGGGCCCCTTATTAGGAAACATCGGTAATTGAAGAACAGGAAAGGTCAAAAGAGAAGTATCCGAGGGCGGAAATACCCATATGAAATGTATGATTAGGCAGTATAGGACGAATGGAACCAAGAGGTTTACGATTTGTCAGTTGTGTACCACTACGGTTTACGACAGATCTCGCGACAAGGAGCTCCTACGTACGCATTGAGCCAAAGGTCAAATGTGTTCCTGTCGTGGCACACGTGGGTTGGTAGATTGGCACTCTTAGTCCCGAGTCTATTCGGCCCATCAACAAAACGGCCTCAATTGACCGATGACGAAAATCAACAAAACAAAGAAATTCATGCGGTATACGCTTGGAGTATAATACACGCCCCGCAGACAGGCCCCGGCACAATGACGAGTCGATTGAATCAGTACAAAATGTCCAGTTCCTGTCTGCCACACCCTATCACTTCGTGTCGCGCGGTACATTTCGGGGAGCGGATTAAGAAAGAAACAATGATTCAAGTTTTCGACTGATCGCTAGCTGTTTACCATTCTTGGATGGTGTCACCCTTGCGCTTGCCACGGAATTCATATTTGCCCTATATGTTGTCAGTGTGTTCCACCCCAGCCGTGGGACAACAATTGCAGTCTCGGCCAATCGATGCAAATCATACCTCAGTCTTGTAGGCAACGTAGGTGAGAACGCCGGGGATCAAACCCATGTAGACGAAGGAGAGCCAGGCGTGGCGCGGGGTCCATTTCCAGTACTTGTAGCGGTTGGCGTTGAGTTCTGTGAAGAGTCAGTCACAGGGCCATAGTCGGGGTCTCGGGTTCAATCAATGCGGGATAATTGCAGTCAACCGACACCGCATGTTCTCGGGGAGAGTGTCATGCGCAGTGTCCATCGGGATAGATCTGGGGGAGATGGGGTTGGGGATGTACCGTAGTATTTCTGGAGGGCCGGGTCGAGGACCAGAGCTGGACAATGGGTGAGCCACTGAGTCAATCATTTGGGGACTCCACTTACACTTGCTAGGACCGGCCATGGTTGTGTGAAGCTTTCGATCGTAGACACAGAATCGGCAAGTTGAGCATCGCCGGAGTTGAAGTTGGAGGTCACATGATGTCAATGCTGATGTAATCGCGTATTTCATCCATCGCAGGTTTACAGAGCACAAGTACGAGGTTATGGAATTCTTGTGTTTTGTATTATCCGTGGAATTGGTGTGGTCAATCTCAGTTCTTCTAGGTTGAATGTAATATCATGTCATTATATTTGCCGTTGCGGCTCTGTTGCATATCCGACTCCATCCAACCATATTTCGTGCCCATCGCATCAATTGGGTATTACAAGTGCGAGCAATTTACAGTCCGTTGCCTTACATGGAGGCAGAGAACTTTCCATCAATCTCCTCAATCTTCTTGACGGCACACTTGTACCCGTCAGCCTCTTCCAGTCGCTTGGCGTACGCAGCGAACAGAGGGTACTTGTCGCGGTTCTTCTGCTCCTTCAACATTCGACCACTGACTGCAATGACCGCGAAGCTCATTAGAATATCAGCAGCAGTGAGTTCCTTTCCACAGATAAAAGGACCTCCTTCAGGAGCAGTACGCAATTGATCCTCGATAAATGCTAGGTTGCCCTCAACATTGCGGGTGAGGAATTGGCTTTCCACTTGTGAGGCAACCATACTAGTGATCGGGCGAACAAAGAAGGGAGGGGAATTTCGAATAGCTGTTTAGGAGTGTCAGTCCATGTTATGGAGTTCCTGGCGCGGCGGTTAGCGGGAAGCGAGAGCCACTCACAGTCATTCACCAAAGTCATCACCAAGAAAGGCATGAGACTGCCCTCAACGTAGTGCATGAAATAGCGATAGCGCATCCACTCCTCAGTCTCTCCACCCACCTGGCCTTCACGGCCGGCCAAGTACCGTTGGGGAACTAGCGTCGGTCGCGCGGCACCGAAATGGTCGACAAGATATTCCACAATCGCGCCAGACTCGGCCAGTACCAGAGGCTTCGTGGCTCCTGGCGCCTCGATGGTGATCAAAGGTGATTTACCAAGAGGATGAATCTCCTTCAGCTCTTTCGGGGCGAGCTTGTCGGCGCGACGCTTGTACGTCTTGAGCTCATATTTCAGCTGCAGCTCTTCCAGAAGCCAGAGAATGCGGTGGCTTCGAGATTGCTCGAGCCTAAAGGTGTTAATAACCATTTGACCAGGTTAGAAGAGTCACCTACCAGTACAAAGTAATCTTACAGCCTTGGTTGTTATCCGCCATGATGTGTTGAGGTGAAAATAACCTTGCGAAGAACGGGGCCACTCTCTTTATAAGCACATGATATGATGTCAACGCCGAGGTACGATCTCAGGCAAATCGATCTGCGGTCCATGTGACCTTTGTTGGGATTCAAGTTTTTGGAGGGTTTAATTCGCATTCAAACTAAAAATGTGCTTATACGGTATTCACACAGTCCGCACAATCCGGTTATCAGGACTCTGAAGCTTCATGTCTTGGAAGCGGCCTCGGTCGATTTTTCCGTCGGCTCTGCAGCAACACCTTCCAACAGGATTTGCTTCGCGGCGATTAACTTGTGATCTGAAATAGAACAAAGACAACTTACTGGGCCAATAAACGACTTTCGTTTCCCGCTATACCAGAGCACTACAACGGCCAGGAAAATGCCGAAAATCACCACGCTCACATAGTTCATACTTCCGGTCGTGATGGGAACTGACGTTGGGAAACAAAAAATCACCGAAATAAAAGCCACCCAAAGAGTAGAGAATGCATTGCAAAAGATTCCCACATAATGCCCTAAGCGAAAGTGTCGCTCAGGGAGAACAGCCATGCGGCCTCGGTAGAGCACGATAGCTTGGGGGGCAACATAGGTGATGTTCAAAGATAAGATCGACATCGATATAAAACTGTTAAATGCCGTGGTTGATCCAATATAGATCAAGCCATAAAGAACAATGCAGACAAAACAGGCCAAAGTGGCATTCACGGGCACCTTATGATGCGGATGGATACGACTGAAGAAGGAGGAAAAGGGCAGACCACCATCTCGACCAAATGCATAGGTCAGTCGGCCTGTTGTCACCATGCAAGATACTAAAGCGCCGGAATAGACAAACAAGATCCAAGTGGTGAAGACCGTAGCTGCTGTCTGGGAATTGGTAGCTTGGAGGTAGACAGTGTGGATTGGAATAGCGGAAGATGCGACGGCACTGTTAGCAGTGGTCGTGAAAAGAAATGCTAACGTCCAAGGGAGCACAGTTATTATGCCCACAAGCATGGTCATTCCCATCGCCTTTGGGACATTACGACCTGGCACTGGTACTTCTTCTGCAATGTGGGTGGCACCATCGATGGCAAGATAGGCATACATGGAAGTCCCAAGCCCTATGATAAACGCAGTCGGGTCATTCCATCCAGATAGATTGTCATAGTGTGTGAAGACCTCCGTGGCCGTTTGTCGATGTTTTTGAGTCGTGAGCACTGTGACAAAACTAGCTAGAAACCCAATAAAGCTGCACCCAAATAGAACAACTTCTCCCCGTGGGATAGTATTGGGGCAGAAGCAGACAATCGATGTTGCCAGGGTCATGATCAAGAAATAGATGAGATATGTCTGCCAAGCTTCGACTGTATATCCTGGGTTGTATATGGTGGCAAGACTGCTTGCCATTTGAGCTAGAACTTCATCAGCTGTGTTAAGAGGGAGCCATGAGAGGTTTCGTACCACAAACGATAGCAGTAGAGGCACTTGTCAGACACCATGCCGCGATACTCAGCCATCCGATCACGAATCCAACCAATGCACGAGAGCGAGGCGACGCAACCATATAAGCGAAATGATATTGCCCTCCGCTTGAAGGAAAAGCGGATGCAAGCTCAGCCAGTCCCATTGCTGTCTCGAGTCAACTTCTTATTTTATCCCAAGCATGCAATACTCACTGATTATACAACATGCGATGGAAGCAGCAACGAGGCCGAAGAAGACCGTCGGGCTGCCTCCTAGCAGAAGGGGAGTGATGAATGTCGCAGAATACCCCAGCCAGGAGTTTGTCATGCTAAATCCCAGAGCTAACGTCGAGAATAAAGAGAAACGCTTGACCAGTTGGGGGTCATGGGACGGCTTGTCGTGCTCTGCATTGTCGAGGTCATGGAACACATCCGTCATGATGAATTGTCTTTGGAATACAAATCAAAAATCATGTCGGGCATTGTTCATTTATGTTGTTTGATGATAGCAAACATACATCATCGGACTAGTAGCCATGAATCACTTCCACGAATCGACGCACTGATAGTCACATTTGATCACTCGGCAGCTGTGCCCAATCAGATCTCAGGGAATACCATTGATCTAGCCTGTTGATAGCCAGAAGCTGAAGTTGAGATATCTCCCGGTTGACCAGGCTCATATAGTTACCCGAACGGGAATGGTCTCGCCAGCGTAAACTAGCATATCCTCGCAGATAACGACTAGGTTTTCAGTGCTGATGAAGAAGATTGATTGAGTTTTGGGCCACAATCTTTTTATAAAATGGACAGCATCCACCTATTTACTCATTCAAACACTTTCCTATCACACTATTGCTCCTCACTCCAGATAAAATGCCAACCGCCGTGACTGGATACGACTATCCAGGATATGAGGAGTTAGGAAACATCTTCAACATCTCGGCCGCCGTTTCCATTCCATCCGATGCTCGCATTGTTGCAACCTCGGGGCAAATCGCCGATAATCATAACCCTCTTTGGGGAAGCCATGCCGAACAATTTGAAAAGTCAATGAAGAATGTTGAGAAAGCTTTGGCATCTGCCTCACCTCATATAACAGACCCAAGGCAGCTCTGGGGAGGAGTGTTCTACGTTACTTCCTTCCATGTTGGTGCTCTAACCAGAGAGGAGCAACTCCAAATTGCCGAAATTGCGAGGAGGACTTTTGGGAGCAACAAGCCAGCATGGGCAGCTATTTGTGTGAATGCTTTGTTCCCACCCGAAGCTCTTGTTGAGATTCAAGTTCAAGCGGCATATCGGGACGAGCAGAGAGATTAACCCAGTACATACTCTCCAAGTTGATCAAGTGGGCAGCTGGGTAAACTTACAGGGGTTTGAGAAGTTTGATACCCTCTCATATGTAGAACCATTTTATTAGTTACAGAACTGGCAACGTTCTTCCTTTGCTCACTGTGATGGCTACGGGACGATTATGTCTAGAGTCTTGCACGCGAAAATCAAATCAAGGGTTCGATCTATTAAAGCACTGATTTGTATCTGCCATTGGCCTGGTATTGGGCAGCTCCCCAAGCGTAAACTAAAGATCACTAACCACGAGCCACATTGATACCAGGTATCACTTCGGCCCCCCGGATTCTTCCAGCCTTGAACTCCTCCACCATCTGCTCAAAAGTACACCATTCCACTCCCTCGTGGGAGTTCACATACTCAATAAACCTCTCATGCAACAAGATGACTTGAGGCTTTCCACTCACCTGAGGATGAATTGAAATAGGAAACACGAATGTGTCATACTCGCGATACAGAAAGTCGAATTGATCTTTCCAGAGCCGTTCGATGACATACGGGTCAACATATCCGTGAGACGGACCATCTTCTAGCTGGAATGGGGGCCAATCGTCCAAATGCCAGTTGGCTGGGACTTCGACTATGCTGCTGGCTGTTAATCCAGTCATCGGGACCATCCACTCGGCGGCGGGTTTGGAGAGCTCTGTCGGCACCATTGTTTCTGTGCAATCAGGTGCAAAGTAGAGCTGTGAATCGTGATGCATGAAGGAATGGTCGTACTCCTACTTGATGTCAGAGGGAGTTTAAATCATGTGGGGGCTGGAATTCTTACAATACCAAACTCTTCGAGCAACTTGATGCTTTGCCGTGAAGTCTTCCATGATGGCGCGGTCCATCCTTTGGGATGCTTCCCAGTAAAATTTATCAGAACGTCAATTGATTTGGCTAGAACATCGCGCTCTTGCTGTGCGCTAAGTGAGTTGACATGCTCATGCGTATAACCGTGTAGTCCTCTTAATTGGTGTTAACCCAGAAATGGTAGTCTCGCTTGGACTTGTCTCACATTTCGTGTCCCGCATCTTTGATCTTCTTCATTTGCGCGGGAAATGATTCTATTGAATGCGCAGGGATAAACCAGGAAGTTTTAATACTGTATTTTTCCCACAGGTTGAGCAAGCGATCGATTCCCACCGTGGCACCAAAGATGCCACGAGAGATATCCGTCAGATCAGGGACGCGGCCATCCTCGGTGTTGATCCTGAAGTGCTGTCAGCCCTTGTAGAGAAGTGATTGTGATATACTTGAACATACCATCCACTAACTGCGTCAACATCGATTCCATAACCGACAAGCACGCGTTTTCCCATGATGAAAACTGTGACCGAAGATCAGCTTGCGGCAAACAGAGAATTCCACCTACTCTCTGAATGGTGCCTAATTTATTTGATCGCCTTCGGCATTGAAACTGCAGGGATATCGAGGAATCCGTGGGCGCGCAGCGACCTTCCTAAATAGGCAACCGGATGAGCTTCACCTAGAACCCCCGCCACCAAACGCTGCCCACGCTTATAGGTCATCTGTTCTGCTGAATTCGAAGGACTAATCGATAGCAAACGGTAATCGCGGGGTTGACTTGGCTCAGATCAAGGGAGAGATTGGCAAATCCCCAAGTACGTGCCCCGCTCGAACCCCAGTGTCGATTAAAGGGATAGGGATGTCATAAAATCTCACAGATAATGTTCCGTCCAAAGCCACTGACTTTGACCTGAGGGACTCTCCCACCAAGAATCTGCGATTGCTATCTGACTATGTTATTTGGCAACGATAGGAGAGATGATGGACTATCACCACTGCTTTGCATTTGCATTTAGGGCCGACAGTCTCGGTCACAGGGGAACCCAAACCCTAAGCTCCGTCTGCCACAGTGGCTGTGGCACTTCCTATCTCCTCTTCCCCCGCAGAGATAAGCCCAATATAGTCCCCGAGGTCAACATTCTCCTTCTTTTCCCTCTTCCTGTTTCAATATGCCGGAAAAGTATTTTGGTCGCGCTTGTAAAACATGCCGTCGTCGTGGACGTGGCTGCGACCGCCGAATGCCCTCGTGTGGCACCTGCAACGCTAACGGATTGGAGTGCGAAGGCTATCTGTTACAATGGCCTGGATTGGCCAGTCGAGGCAAATTCGTGGGGAAAAGTGTGCCTGTGAGTGCCACTTCAGAAAAGCGACGCAGGTCTCGACGAGTTGCTGCATTGTTGGACAAAACATCCCATCCTCGGATTGCAATTGGCGATCGAGATAACACGAACAACGCGGAGGCCGAAGAAAACATGCCTTGCAATGTACCAGTACCCACAAAGCCCGAAGTCGAGTCAAATTCCACACCCGAACCAACAGCAAGTTTGTTGGAGGATGATTTTCCGCTTGACGCGACAATAACAGATCTCAATATCGACCCGGATCTCCTACTGGGCACTGTGCCGCTTGATCTGGGGTCAATAGAATCAGAGATGACACTGGGGCCAAATCTCGATGTTCTAAATATACCGGGGGAGCTCAAATTCATCCTTCAATACCGTGAGTAGCAATCCATCTACAGACAGAGAAGAGAATTGACGTATCGGACTAGATATCTGTGAAGTCATTCCAAAACTTTGCGTTGACAATTTCTGCCTCCAAAATCCCTATCGAGAATACATCTTCCCCCTGGCTATTGAGATCCCGTCTCTGCTCTATGCTTGCGCGGCGTTAGCAGCTTGTCACTATAATATACGATTGGGAACGTCCCAGTTTCAATCCGAATTCCTCCGATTCAAGGGAAAGGCGATGAAGCGTCTCCAAGAGGATCTTTATTCGCAGACTCGGGCAACACATCCGGGTACTCTGGCGACAATACTCATGCTTTGCTTATCCGACATTTGCCAAGGAGGGATTTCGGATTTCGAATCGCATTTCCTAGGAGCGAAAAAGTTAATCGAAATGCGATCCGAGACGACACCTCGGTGCTTTGTGGAGCAGTACCTAATGTGGTGAGTAGTGCTTTTCATGAAGAATGGCTTGGTCTAACACGATTTTCATCAATAGGCTTGATATTATGGCCGCTGCATCTCATTCGAGGAAGCCCGTGTTCTCCTCCCATGATATACAGACGACTCTTGGTTCTGATGACTTTGGGTGGAGTTTTGACGTGTTTCCTTGTCCGTCTGATCAATTTCAGATTATTTGCGAGATTATCAGCCTGTATAAAAACCAGCCTGAACCGGAATGCCCTTCCCTAGAGGTCCTAGACCAGGTTCAACAGATCAAGCAAAAGCTCTTACAGGGGCCAATACACTCAAATAGAGATCAAAACTGGCTCCATCTCACTGAGGCATATCGGTTTTCGATTATACTCTATTTGCTTCGGTTATTTGGCTGTGAAATCGATGAATACGAGGTGGACTGGCTGGTTAGCAGTGTTATATACCACGCTAGATCTACGCCTCCAGCGTCTGGGTATTCTGATCAGCTTCTCTGGCCGCTTTTCCATGCTGGGCTAGAGATTACAGATGCTAAGCGACAGGACTGGATGAGAGAGCGAGCCCAATGCATGCAATGGTCAGGTGGATTTGGAAATGTGAAAATCGCACTAGATATCTTGGAGCATGTATGGAGGGGAGACAGGCCATCTTCATACTTGAATCTGATGCTGGGATGGGGCAATGGCAATGTACTTCTGATTTGACCAACAAAATAATGATGCTTACAGTTTTGTTGTAGGCTGCATAGTTTCCATGTGATCTCGACTCACTTCCTGGGCGCACCGCATGCCGATCAGGTAAGCATTTATTTGAGTGTGGTTGCTGTTCCATGCAAGTCAGATATCCTTTCGTTATAAGACTAAAAGGGGGGCCTAACCAGGTTAAAATGGGGCATACACTCAAATCAGCCACTCTCAGATTTTGCATTCCAATAACTCGGAACTGGGTATCTACAACGGCTGTAGAATCATTTCTTCTGCCCATCTTGCAAGTACCCATACTGTGATATCCTTGGTCAAGGTTGCCGCGAATGAAGTCAAGCATAACCTCATCACTAATCATATCAGGATTTGTAGACATGAAGTCAAACGTGGGTCCATGCACCATTCTTTCAATTGTTCCTCTATACGCCGAGGTGCGAGATATGTGTAGAGCAGTGCGAATACTCTCAATAGCTATCCGTCGGTCAAACGGATGGTCGAGGAAATTTGGATTGACCACTGGGAGCTCACGCGGATCTTGAGAGCTAATTGTCACGGTGCCCCGGGATAGATTGTTTTGCAAGAGAAGCTCATGGGTGATATAGCTCTCATGGGGTTCGTCGTCAACGGAGGACACTGATGGACCTGATCCAAGCCAGATCTCAGCAGAAGGCCTGGTGGGCTCCAGAAGAAAGTCTCGTGTCTGGTAGTCAAGATTGGCAAATTCATCAGAATCAAAAATCTTCTGAATCCTCGGGAAAGTCACTGCTCCGTTCGATCCGTACATAGCCAGTGGACCAGTGCGGCTTTGTGCATATTGGACTTGGGCTTCTTTGAGAAGCTTCGGTTGAAGAAAAAGTTGGTTATGCGCTGGAACTTGGTTGTCCACCTTGTATTCACAAGTGATAATCGAATGGTCGAGCATATTTTTACCACATTCTAAAAAAATGTCAGTTTTTATCTCTCTTTGGATTTGAAGAATGATTCACCTGGAAGATCTATAACCACCGGGATATTGTGCTGCTCTAAAATATCGCGCGGCCCAATTCCAGACAAATTCAAGATCTTCACAGAGCCAAAAGTGCCAGCGCATACTATCACTTCATTCCGACATTTAATATGTACCGTCTCTGCGCTATGTCGATGATACAGATCAACTCCGGTTGCAACTCCATTCTTGATGTGCACTTTATCGCAGTCAGTGTCGGTCAAAATAATGAGGTTCTTCAGCCTGTTTCGAGTTGGATTATCAAGAAAGGCGTTGGCAGCATAAATTCTCTCGCCATTCCGGACATTGAACTGGGCCAATCCCACTCCTATCGGATTACCAGAATTGTTGTCTGCACATAGGGGGATACCGGTCTCAATGCAAGCTTCAAAGAAAGTCTGGACGCCAGGGACCATCTCATCACCAAAGCCTATCTTGAGGGGACTATAGCGATTTTAGAATATTGAAACAGCAGAAGCCAACGCTACTCACCCTGAGCCACCATGATTCGATGGCTGTGGATCTGCAAATCCTTTCATACCGGTTGGCAGTCGAGGGTCGAAGTCTTCCAACTATGTTAGTATCAGGTCAGTCGGGGATCATAACATCGAATCACTCCTAGGGCAAACAAACATCTTTCATCAATGGCAATATATTCTCCCATTTCCATCCATCATCCCCCGTGAGCGCTGCCCACTCATCATAGTCTGCAGCAGGACCTCTGGCAAGTGCCATGTAATTAACTGCTCTATGGCGAATGGTCAGTTTTGACAGAAAAGATCATCAACGGGGACATACGAGCTACCACCCATCTGCTTTCCACGAAGAAAAACGAGTTTTCTGTCTTTCAGTTGCCGTTGCTTGGTAGTTTCCAGCTCCCATAGCCCATCGTGATCTTCTTTGAGCTGTTTGACATAGCACCCCGGTACTAATACATCCGGTGCCAGGCCAGAGTCTCTTCCTGATTCCACTAGAAGCACAGAAACATTCGGTAAAGATGCGAGTTTGGAAGCAATCACACATCCCGAGGTACCACCTCCGCAGATGATATAATCAAACACATTGTTGGCGATCATTTTGGGGTGCAGAGGTTTATCTGGGTGCATGATGAAGGCCAGGCGAGTCGACCACAATCTCTGTGTTTGATAGAATGCTACCTGACTATTAATATAAGATACAAGCCGTATAAATTAATTCCGATGTGTTGCATTTCGATATTCTTCAGTTCACGCTCATGTTGGATGCTAATCGAATTACCGCATTGGGCATGTAGATGAGCCATTGGCTGGCATTATGGATATCATAGCTAATTCTCCTCGAGCCTGAGACTCTATCCTAATCAGGAATCTTGATAAGTTCAGCCCGTCATTTTGCTTGTGGTGATCTCTAGCATGATCCCTTGGTACTGGTAATGATCGTCTAACACCAACTTTGATTAATGCCATGCTTTGTAGCATATAAGGCTGGTAGCTTCAGTATCACAACTATCATTCAATTTCCAAGTCAACCTACTTGGCCAGTCGCTCCGTATATTCAGAAATACTTCAATCATGGGTTCTTTCACTCCCCGGCCTGTTGAGTCCCTTCCCAGCGACTCCACTCCCGATTCAATTCTCAACATCCTGTATCGCGATGGCGCGGTAGTCCTTAAAGGTCTCGTGCCTCTCCATTTGATTTCCCAAATCAACGGTGAAATTAGACCATATATGGATGCCGACTACAATAGCGGGCTGGAAGTCTTCGCGAAGCAAACAAAGACTGTTTGTGGACTTGCTGGCAAATCGCCGACTGCGGTCAAATCTATTCTACAGAACCCGAATGTCAAGGCTGTTCTTCATGATGTGCTCGATATTACAACGGAGAGCTGGTGGGGAGAGGCACGTAACAAGTGTGTGTCTCCTCCCCTGTTGAGTTCTTTCTTTACAGTTCGTGTTGGCCCTGGTAGTGCTCGACAGGGCTTGCATCGTGATGATCAGGATCATCACGCAACACATACACATGGAGACCCGAAAGAAACCACCAAGCTGGGTTGTTTTCTTGCAAGTGAGTAGTGCAGTGGAGGTGATCATCATTGAACATGCTAACGTTGGTCTCTTAGCCTCTCCAGTCACCAAGGAAAACGGTGCCACTGAGATTGTTCTTGGCTCCCACGTTTGGGATGACGAGCGCAAACCATCGGTCGAGGAAGTGAGCTACGGAAAGATGGATGTTGGAGACAGCCTTTTGATGCTTGGAAACTGCTATCACGGCGCAGGAGCTAATGTGACCGTCGACTCTTATCGAAGTGTGGTTGTCACTTTGTTCTGTAAAGGCGTTTACCGCCCCGAAGAGAATCAATTCCTGGCAGTCACGACGGAGCAGGCCAAGGAGCTTCCTCACGATGTTCAGGATCTCCTTGGATGGCGAGCCAGTGCGCCATTCTGTGGATGGCATGATCTGGCTCACCCATACCGATTGATTCGCGACGTGGATAATTTGAATTCGGATTTGTTTTAGCTGGCTGTGATGAGCGCAATCAAATGATTGGACGTTGAATTTGGAATTCATACACGCTGGGAATGCATGCTCGTGCAGTAACCGTGTGAAAGCATGTCGATCCTCCCCGCTCGATTCACTGCCGAGGCATCCCTGTTCTATATAAACCCCCGTCACGGGTTCCAACATGCCAGATCAAATACTACAAGTCTTAGCCATGGCCCCTGAAGCATTAATCAAGATCCCAAACTCCTACGAGAGCCTCGATTTGACTCATGTCAAAGTGTCTCACCATCCTGTAGGGAGTCCGGCAGCAACTCCAGTTGTGATAGTGACCTTGAATCGCCCGGAGAAAAACAATGCATTCACACCGCAAATGGCGGATAGTCTAGAGCTCGCATTTCGGACTGTTCATCTGGATCATCGAGTCAAAGTGGTTGTTTTGACAGGAGCTGGGAGGATGTTCTGTGCTGGATCGGATTTGGAGATCGGATTTTCAAATGCAGGGAGAGCTGTGGATTTTCGTGATATGTAAGCTCAAGTCTGGGGAAATTGATCACCTGTTAACATTGTCTCTCAGTGGAGGTCGAGTAGCTTTGGCAATGCACCGGTGTCATAAACCGACGATTGTTGCTTTAAATGGCTCTGCCGTGGGGGTTGGAATGACCATGACTTTGCCGGCAGCTATTCGGTAATGTCGTCGTCTTTTCCTTGGTATAGGATTCCAGGTTTGTGACTAACTCGTTCAGAGTCTGCCACGCAACAAGCAAATATGGATTCGTCTTTACGAGACGCGGTCTGACGATTGAATCTTGCGCCTCCTATTTCCTTCCTCGTCTTCTTGGGCTTTCTCGAGCCATGTCCCTGATATCAACTGGCGGGGTCTATCCCGGATACTCAACATACTTTGGGGACTTGTTCACCGAGGTTCTCCCCAATGCGGCACAGGTCCTCCCCGGGCTCTGGAATTAGCGCAGGAAATCGCAACCAATGTCAGTCCATTGGCATCGTCGATGAGTCGAGCTTTGATGTGGGAGGGCCCTTGTTCGCCCGAGGCAGCGCATCTCCTGGAGTCGCGGGTATTTCACCACATGGCTGGTCAAAGGTAAGTTCCCATCCATTGAGTATAGGAGGAATCTAACATGCAATAGCGACTACAAAGAAGGTGTCAACTCATTTCTTGAAAAGCGTCAAGCCAATTTCCAGTCTGATCCCCATGAGTGCAGTCCTCTGGGGTATCCATGGTGGTCTGAAGTGGATATTAAGGTCGAGCCGAAGAGGTCCAAGATGTGAAAGAGCCTGGTGATAAGCCTTGACCTATTTGAATGCACTTGGATATGAAACTACCCCATATGGTCATATGGCCATGAAACCCTAAGTAAAAGCCCAAGCATCCCTGGGAGATCACGGAGAGGTATGAAAGGAGTATAAAGGGGCAGAAACGATCACCCTCCTTCCCCTCCATTTTAGCCATATTTGTGATTGCATATCCCATGACCATAGAATTCAGTCTTCCCTTTAAAAGGCCAAGTTGACGCACGCTGTGAATAGTTCACTGCGACTGGCCGCCAAGCAACGCTCCTCAGCGGGCGGATACGGCACGTGCAGAGATCATCTACACTCTATACTCCTGCGCTCTCTTGCTTTGCTTGCTTCAAAAACGTAGCATTCCCCCCAAATCTCTCTAGTATGTCTCTCTTCATGTCTCATAATGGCCGAATCTACCCCCCTCCTCTCCTCTCAGGGTGAGGTGTGCAAGGTCCAACATTTTCCTACTACTCTCCGCGGCAAGAAGATCCTCCTTGCGACTGAATCATGGGGTCCTGTCAATGGAGTCAGTCGAACGACGCGCAGTCTGGTGGAGTATCTGCGCGACAACGGTGCAGACTTGATTCTTGTCGCGCCTCACTTCAAAGGCGACTCGAAGCAAAGGGCGACGTCCTGGGAGCGCCGTTTGCCTGGCTGTGCCCTGCCATACAACCCCGATCTGACGGTTGTCTATCCGTTCCAGTTGGCAGATGTCTTTGATCAGTGCTTTGAGCCGGATCTAATTTATTTGGCCAGCCCGGCCTCGCTTGGGTTCCAGATGCTCCTCCAGATCCGCCAGCTGAGATCTCCGCCGCCGGTCTTGCTCAACTTCCAGACGGATCTATCTGCATATGCGGAGATCATGCTGCCTGCACCTTTGGATCAATTCGGTGTGTGGCTCCTGGCTACTGTGCAGGGATTCTTGTTCCGCACCCGCGCCGTCCAGACCATCTTTTATCCCTGCAGCGCCATCCGCCGGTATCTGGAGCGTGCAGGTGCGCCGGTCGACAAACTCGCTCATTTAGGCCGTGGTGTGGACACTACTCTCTTCTCACCGACACAGCGGGACGAATCATATCGGCAACAGATTGCTCCAAACGGCGAGATCATCTTGATCTGTGTCTGTCGCATTGCCCCCGAGAAAGGGTTTGAGTTCCTCGCACAGGTTGTGCAGCGGCTGGCCGCTGACAAAGTGCCCTTCAAGCTGTTGATTGTCGGTGGGAACCGTAACCCAACAGTCGAGAGCAAGGTGCAGCGCCTCTTCGATGGCGTCCGTGATCACATTGTCTTTGCCGGGTTTCTCACTGGGGCTGCTTTGTCCCGCGCCTATGCCTCGGCTGATCTCTTCCTTCATTGCTCTATCACTGAGACATTTGGTCTGGTAGTTCTCGAGGCCATGGCCAGTGGTATTCCCGTCATTGCCCGCGACCAAGGTGGGCCCTCGGATATCATCCTCCATGGACAGACCGGGTACCTGGTCCCACCCCGCGATCTTGAACGTTTCATCGAGTTGGTGAAGAATGTCTCCCATGATACAGTACGACGGGCGACTCTTGCTCTAGCTGCGCGTGAGTATGCCGACAACACCACCTGGGAGAAGATCAACTGTCGGGCCGCTTGGCAAATGGCGGATGCCTTGTCCCATGCCGATCAGGAAGCCCAAGTCCCCCGGCAAGCCACTCGACGGGGAGTGGTGGGATCAATCTTCGAGCAGTTTCGATTAATTCTGGCCGTGGGGTTGGTGTATTTCATGTGGTTGATTTCTGTAGTCCCGTTGATCGTTCATGGGAATCGGTTCCTTCCTCGGGCATGGCAAGCCATCCAGGGACAATTCCAAGGGACTCGTCCCTTGCGCAGTTGAACCTTGGACCCTTTAGTTAACGTTATGACCTACTTAATACTCATGATGAATGATGTCTTGCAGCTTTCCATTAAGTCCATATCAAATCCATACGCGCTGTTTAACCCTACAATCTCACAGGCTCTGTATCCCGGCGAACCAGTACATGTCCCTCTGTGGCCAAGGAGTTCTTGCACGAACGGGCATTCACAAAGTCCGATAGATTGCCCAGGGTGACCTCGGCAATCTCCGACAGCGCCTCGCGTGTGAAGAAGCCCTGATGACCACAGAGGAGGACATTGTGGAAGGTCATCAGACGCATCAACACATCGTCTTCAATGATCTCGCCCGAATGGTCATTGTAGAAGAGCTCGCTTTCTGCCTCGTACACATCCAAGGCTAGTCCCCCCAGCTGCTTGGTTTTGAGTGCTTGAATCACAGCCGTGGTATCGATCAGTCCCCCCCGGGATGTGTTCACCAACAACGACCCCGGCTTGATCTTGGACAACGTCTCCTCATTGATGAGGTGCTTGGTCCCATCGGTGAGCGGACAGTGTAGACTGACGATATCACTCTCCCGCAACAACGTCTCCAGATCGACCACTGTCCCATACTGCTGGAATTCCTCCCCGGCGAACGGATCGTAGGCTAGCAGTCGGCATCCAAAGCCGTGGAAGATGCGCGTGGCGGCGAGCCCGATCCGCCCCACACCGACGATCCCCACGGTCTTGCCATGCAAGGTGTTCCCGAGCAAGCCTTCAATATTGAAGTTGCCCTCGCGAACCCGGTTGTAGGCCCGGTGCGTCTTGCGGTTGAGTGTCTGGATCAGCGCCACTGCAAACTCCGCCACCGCTTCCGGGGAGTACGCGGGGACATTCGCCACGAAGAGGCCTAATTCCTCTGCGGTTCCGAGATTCACATGGTTGTACCCCGCGCAGCGGAGCAGGATGGCTCGGATCCCGTAGGCATGGAGGGCTCTCAGTACGGGCTCATCGAGCGTGTCGTTGACGAAGACACAGACGGCGTCACACCCCCGCGCGAGTGGGACGGTCTCTTCCGATAGGGAGAAGGCGTGGAAGTCAATGGTGCATAGTGACGCGAAAAGCCGGTCGCGCACTTGTTCTAGATAAGTGCGGTCGTATGATTTGGCACTGAATACCGCTAACTTCATGATTGCGTTTGGGGGATTCGGGGTTGGGGAACTGGCAAGGCAGATGCGCCATGTGTGGAAGTATAAGTCATGACGACATCTGGGGTTTCTTCTGCAAGCGGCTCATTTTGGGGGTTGCAGGAGGAAGGTTTCAGAGATCGTACTTTGGGTAGTCCCGACTGCGAGTGTCAACATCACTGTTGTTCTGAAGGTCCCGATCGCCCCGATTCAGGTCAGTCAACGGTCTTGATGATCCGCCACCCCCCCCCCCAATGGGGATGAATCCAACCCGATCTTCACCTCGAAATTCCACTAGAACATTTCCACTCCTTCCTTCCCCTTTGGGCTAGCTTCGAAGGGGGCGGAAATTGGCAACCGCCGCACGCTGATTGGCCAGGGATGTGTCATCTCCGCGGGGCTCCGGAAATGGACTTGACCCGAACGGTTTACCCGGGCCGAGGGACAGTCTGCACCAATCAGGAGAGTGCGTCCGCAGGTCACCCAATCACAGGGCTCTGATAAGACGCAACGCCACCAACCGCCTGATTGGTCATTAGCTTCCCGCTAGTGAAGCGTCGGGAATGTGGCTATTTGATATGCCGGTCAGGCTGGTTCAGCATACTGTCGAATGTGCTTTTGTAGCAAGTCGGGAGAATTCAAATGAAGGGATCTGAATCTACAGTATGGCCGTACAGTTGACCTCTTTCAAATGACCAAAAATGAGCACGGTGACCCCAACATGGATGGCCCACTAAATTAAGTGGTTCAGTGGGGAGAGGAGATAGTTCCGCTTAGGGAAACCCGTCGTGCTTCATGGATAGTAACCGGTCTGCATCCTAGCATCCTAGCCCAGCATCCCAGCCCAGTAGTGTATAAGCCCTGTAGCCCGGTAGAGTAGAACCCCTAGTACGTTCGATCTCCAAACGTAAGAAGCGGTCAATGATTTCTATCCAAGTACGGGGTACCTGGAGATGGCCGGCGGCGTAGTATTCAAGCCAAGTAGAGATACATCGGCTCACCTCCTTTTGGGTTACTTATTGAGCCGCTTTTCTTCTTTTCTTCTGCACTTCTGCTGTTCTGCTCTTCTACTCTGCTACTCTGCTACTCTGCTACTCTTCTACTCTTCTACTCTCGTCGTCTCTGCACTCGGGACCATACAAGACTACTCTTGACAATAGTTCCAACGTCCCGTCCCCACTGTTCTCGGCCACTTACCGTGCATTTATTTCTCCCTCCCCCCGGCTGAACGGCCTTTTCGCCTCCAGATCGCCGATTATTCGAATTCCCGCTTTTTTGCCCCTCAAGGACTCCAAATGTGCTGGGCGTTTTGCCGCTCTTCACTCATCTTCGGCTCCATTTAACTTAACTGGACCGACGTCGCCTACTTCGTCTATTCCGCCCATTCTACTTCATCCTCTCCTCAGCACCTGCATCTCACTTCCCACTTCTCTTCCTCCTTACTTGCATCTCCACCAATCATGGCTACTCACGTCTTGACCTCGACCAACCTCCCGGCCAACCAGATCTCGGTTTATGGCCAACCATCGCCGACCAACTCGTCCACCAACTCGGTCCACAATTCGGCCTCCAATACTCCTACCAATAATTCTCCCACTTCGCCGCAACTCACCACGGCCTCTCTGCACCAGCTCCCGTTGCAGTCCCGCCAGCTGCGTCCGCCCAAGGGCCCTCTCTATGTCCCGGCTGCACTCCGCCCGACCGAGCGCCCTCAGAAGTCATCTCCCATGACTCCACCGCGTAGCGTGCATGGGTCTCTCGACAGCCTCAGTGAAGACGCCGCGGAACCCCTGAGCCGTCGCTTCACCATGGAGAGCCACACCAGCAATATCAGCAAGTCTGCTCAGCACGAGTGGATGAAGAACGAGTCCCTCGGGGAGGTGACCGGTCTGCCGACCCGTGAACACTGGAAAGTGAGTATCTCCGTCTTGCCGTCTTTCCGTCTCTCTTTATAGACAGCGGAGTCGATGGCGCACATACCCTCCCAAATGCCGTGTGCGCTCGTCATTCAATGGCGTGCCTCGTCCAGAAATGACAACACAGCTAACTTTTTTTTCTCCTGCAGGCGGACTCTGCTTCTTCCAACTGTGATTCTCCTACCTGTCGTTCGTCGTTTGGTATCTTCCTTCGTCGCCACCACTGCCGTCACTGCGGTCATGTCTTCTGCGCCTCTCACACGCCTCACCTGGTTCCGCTGGACCAGAACGCCCGCTTCCACCCCGAAGGTGAGCCTTCGCGTGCCTGCGACCTCTGCTGGAGTGCCCACCAGCGGTGGGAGGAGAACCGCTCCGAAAGTCTGAACAAGATCCAGAGCAACATGGATGCGCAGCAGACGGGTGTCGCTGTTCCCAACTCGGCCGAGGACGACACCAACCCCGAGGACCCCAAGGGTCAGACGGCCGAGGTCGCCGCCTCGGTGCCCCGTGACTGGAACTGGAGCACCTTCTGATTGCATTTCGGGTTGTAGCCAGCAGGCCTGCTGCAGCGCATCTACTTCATCTTCATTTCTCGTCATGCTTTCTACGTGACTTCTTTGTTCTTTGCTTGGCGACGGATTTCGGCGTTCAACGGACTCTTGGTCAAGGGTATTGTTTCTGCTTCTTTATGCTTTCTTACGGTCTCTGATACGCATCATGTCTAGAGGGCTTTTTACCAGCCCTTCACGACTCGGTCGCTTCTTGTTTTCTTTTTTTGCTCTCTTGTCTTTACCTTTGCCTTTGCTTGCGATGTTCCGGATACCCAGCCGACTCACTGAGCGGCGATTTCATTTGATTTGTTTCACTGGTCTTTGAACCATGTTGGGGATGGACTTTTCACCCCTTTGATCTAGTTGAATTTACTTTGAATCCAACTCTTGAATTTGACCATTGCTAGTAGATTGTAGAATTCCAATAACGTGAGAGGTCTCATTGTAAAGATAATCGATGAAACATCCCACGATGCTCGATACCCTCCTCATACCATGTCCCCAACGCCTCTTCGGTCTCAAACCCCAGTCTGGCGTACATCCGCTCCACATCGACCTGCGCATGGACAAGCACGAGACCTTTCCACAGCGGAGCACTCTCCCGCTCCGCCTTGAATGCTGCTGCAGCCTCGTCTATCTCCGCTGCATGCACAGCCGCCCACTCCAACGCCGTCTCCACTAATCGCCGCCCAAGTCCGAGGCCGCGGTACTCGGGCATGATCGCCACCCGAGTCAGTTTGATACAGGGTTCGTGTGCCCAGTCATACACCACTTCTCCTGGCTGTGCGGTCTCTGCTGTCTCTGGGTTGGTGACTTGGGAATGTGGTAGCTGCGGTGGGGGAACCAGTCGAATGACCCCCACTGGTGTGGCCCCGTCGTAGATGACCCAATGCCAGCTCCGCGTGTCGTCGCTGTCGATCTCGGCTTCTGCGGAACATTTCTGTTCGTCTACGAAGACGTGCATGCGGATTTTCATTGCATCGTTGAAGGTGGTGGGGTTGTTGTTGGAGATAGTGGGGAGGTCCAGTTTTACCGGCCCTGGTGGTGGTTGGATTAATGTGCTGAAATGAGGATTGGGTGCCATTGGAAGGGTTTGAATGGATCTGAGGAAGCTGTTCAGGGGTGAATTCCAAACGAGTGGGAAGTTGTGTATGGGGGGCAGAAGATCGGAGCGGAGCTGTCCCCGTTACAGTATATACATACACTGACGGAGTGTCGGACAAGAGTTTCGACAAGAAGCAGGACTACAATGCGCTCATGACAGCCGATGATATCCCAATACCAAGCTGTTCTCTACTAAATGGTCACCACTAGAGCATAGAGAGTAGACAGAGTAGACAGAGTCCAGAGAGCCCGTGATAAACATCCACAGTGCAAACAAAACAAACTATTTTTGATTTGTCGGAAATCCTCGACTTTTCCTCCAGTCAACACTCAACCCAATGTCCCTCTACTTTGATGCGGTCGCTATTCTGACCGCGCCCTCTTCGGGTGGCTCGTTCAAGTCGAGAATCTACAGTGCCCGTAATCTGCGCGCAACTCCGGCGCAGATCTATGCGCTGACCACCGAGGCCGCAAAATGGGACACCGTACTGGCCGAGGTTATCGATAAAGCAGGCATTCTGGCCCTCGAACGCAAAGTGAGATGGATCTTCAGAGACCACTTGAGATATCTGCTGACTGACCAAGTGATCTTTTTTTCTAGCTTTCTCCTCTTCTCGCTCTTCTCCTCGTCCATGACCACCTGCTCGCGAAAAAAGGCATTGCTGCCCCCGCGGCGCACCCGCTCCGTCAGGCTATTGAGCGTCACAAGGTTCGACTCAAGGCCGAGTTTACTAAGGCCCGTGTTCGTCGTGGATGCGCCTCGGTGCAACAATTGAAGGCGGCGGTGATCCGTGAGAAGCGCGAAGCAGATGGCACCAGCCACTTTGTTTACCCGCGCTGGGTGCGCATCAACAACATTCGGACTACCTTGGACGAGCAGCTGAGCACTACGTTCAAGTCGTATCGACGGGTAGACAGCCTGGCCGCATTGGCTTCGGAAGACGAGCTGGAAAGCCGCAAGCCGGAGCCTAGGTTGTATCTCGATCCGAATATCCCGGATTTGGTGGCTGTGCCCTTTGGTGCGGATTTTACTGCATCGGCGGCATACAAAAATGGAGAGATCATCCTGCAAGACAAAGCGTCGTGCTTTCCAGCATACCTGTTGTTGGGTGACCGTGGGCCGCAAGACCCATGGCAGGGTGATTTGGTTGATGGATGTGCTGCACCAGGCAACAAGACCACCCACATGGCTTCATTGCTAGCGAAGCAAAAGAGCAAGAAAAACAAACAAAGAATCTTTTCGATGGACGCATCGGCCATGCGTTCCAAAACCCTGCAAAAGATGGTTGGCCTGGCCGGGGCTGACTCGATGGTCAATGTACTCCCGGGTCAGGACTTCCTAGCTCTTGACCCGGAAGATCCTCAATTCGAGAAGGTGACCGGATTACTGCTTGATCCTAGTTGCTCTGGTAGCGGCATCATTGGTCGTGACGATGTTCCTCAACTCACACTGCCTGCTGCTCCACCATCCTATGCCCCCAAGTCACAGGGCCAGAAGCGCAAGCGCCAGGCAGAAGACCAGGAAGCGGATGGCGAACAGTCCAAAGCTATCCCTGGAGCCCCGCAGGTCTCACCGACGGACGAAAACGATATTCCTGATGGAACAATCGATCCGCAGCGGCTCACCAAGCTATCAAGCATTCAAGCTCGTATTGTTGAACACGCTCTGAGCTTCCCAAATGCGACACATGTCACTTACAGTACTTGTTCCATCCACCTAATTGAGAACGAAGGTGTTGTGGCCCGTATTCTGGCGTCAGAGGTTGCACAGGAGCGTGGCTGGCGTCTCCTGCGCCGAGATGAGCAGCCAGAGGGCATGCGCCGGTGGAACAAGCGAGGTGTTCGCGAGGAGAAGCCCAAGGATGGGGAAACCGGACCATCAGGTACAGTTGATCTTCCTGATGAGGCACTAGAGGCCTGTATCCGCTCTTGGCAAGGTGATGCCGAGGGATTGGGAGGTTTTTTCGTTGCTGGATTCATCCGTGACCCCGATCATGCTGTGGCAGCCCCAGCTACTCGCAAGGAAGAGTCTCGGAAGAAGAAAAAACAGAAGCAGGAGCCGAAGCAGGAACAGGAATCCGTTGACAAAGATGAAGATGAAGACGAAGACGAAGAATGGGGTGGATTCTCAGATTAGATTGAATCTTATTAATGCAGGCATCTAGTACCAAAAGTCATGAAACCTGCTTGATACCACACACATTTATATCGCAAAGTGTTTTATAGCATATCTAAAGGAACGTCCGCGACCGGTTCCGAACTTGCTGCTTGGAATAGACGTCCAATTTGACCGCAACCAAAATAGCTTCAAGCGCACCTGTAGCTCCGGTTTGTAACTCCACTCGCCATTGTCCGGTTCGAACAACCCAGGCATCAAGGGTATGCTCTGATCGCCGACGCTTAGCCGGAGGCGTGCCATCATCATTGTCCGCCTTTGGTCCTAACAAGGCGACATATTGAGAGTCTTGTTGGCCATCCACTGTCAAGTCAGTTTCTCGATCGATACGAATATTGATGGGGGTAGGTCCCAATGGTAGATGAGAATCGGGCAAATTCATCTTTTTGGCTATGGCCTGTAATAGACCGGCGAATCTTTGTTTCGCGAGACCTATGAAATTGGTGCGCATATTGGCTGCATCGACCAAGCTGGACTCGTCACCGATTTCTACTACCAGGTCGGCCGCCTTCTCATCCACAAAAGGGCGTGCATACGTGACTCTGCCACCAGTCTCGGTAGCATTATACACAAACCGTAGGCCTGACGGTCGCACATCCTCAAGTCGGATGGTAATCTCAGATCGTTGACTGAAGGGATTGGCTGTAATCTGATGCGCGATTAACCGCTGCTCCAAGCCACGTAAGTGGAAGTAACGACAATCGCGTAGGAGAGCCGCTCGATGATCTGCGTTCCGAATATGCAATGGATATCCACGCAGCATATGAAGCAGTTCATTGAAGATATCTGCAGATCGATTCGGTACACTTGGGGGTACAATGGCCGGAGGGCGCAAAAGACCTTGACGGTCCAAACCAGGGAATACCTCGGACGGTGATGCGAAGAAGGCGGCGAACCCGAGAGTGAAGAAATTAGGCGAGTCACCAGGACTGGAGAAGATATCACGGGGGATCTGGAAGTGACGATCGCCGATTTCGATAAAGCACTCGGCCTCGAAGAGCTGTGACATTAATCGCGGTACTGGCTGGTCAGCTTGTGCACTCAGAAGAGTGGTCACCAGAGCTTACATGTATAGAATTGCGCATCTGCGAAGAGTTTCACGAATTGCGCGCCATCCTGTGGCCGGACATGGTAGCCTGCCGCGTATCAGTCTCCGTCACCTCTGCCTTTGAAAGCGCATGTACCCTGGAGATGCCTCGCAATCTCACGGAACGTAGTGGGATCACGATCGATATAGAGAGTTCTGATATTGGCGACATCGTGATTCTGGTTTAACTGATCCTCGAAAAAGCGCGAAAAGTAGGATGGAGCTGTTTGGGTCAGATCGAAACAGACGTGTTGAGTTTGGGACACCCTCACCATCGGAGGCAATTGAGGCACCCGAGAGACGAAATAGCTCGGAGCCAATCTGTATAGAAAAGACCTTTTCCGAGGGGAGCGTGCAGGCCATGATGTGTGAAGGAGCGAAGTTGGAGAGCGGAACGATCCAATGCTCTTGGCATCACGTCAGGGCCATTGGTCACGTTGGAACTTTTCTTCTCTTCTCTCTGTTCTGGTTACTCTCTCTGCCCTCTCTGGTCTTGAGCTTCATGTGCAGACTGTACAGTCCATTGACTGTATATCGTACTCGCTACATAAACCCTCATTAGCTTCGGCTCTTTCAGCTCGGCATTTCACATGGCTCTGGAGCTCGGCTGCCGAGCTTACGAGCTTCACCGAAACCGTCGATCTCTTCCAACAGACAATGAAGATTGCCCTTCAAAAGCAATTCATGACCGTTGACTGGGCCCAACAGACCCGCCTTGCACTACATTGAACCATGCCTCTCCACAACCGAGGCTACCCCAGATCTCTGGAGTGTTGAGTTCGCATGGAGTTTCTGCCAATGACAGCCTGGAACAGTTTACACTTGTACATGTTGGGAAGAGGGGACTAGCAGATCTTTTTTTTTTTTACTATTTATTCTCGTCCCCACCAGTCTGAACCTCTGTATCTAAGATACAATCATGTCCCTTGAAACAACTACCCCCAAAGTGATCCCGCTACCTCCAGCGCCCTCCGATGACTACTTCTCGGAGTTGCAATGGAAGACACTATTCGCTCTGGCCGATGCTGTCATCCCCTCTATCCACAATGCTGCAACAACCAAATCATCGTCCAAAAAAGTCATCACAGATGCAGAGTGGAATTCAACCGTTTCCAACCTGTCTAACATGATCGGTGGGCCCGATGCCACAAAGATCGCAACTCAGTATCTACATGAGGATGTGTCTTCGAATCCAGTCTTCCGCGGTATCGTGGTACGCACCTTGGGCAACTATGTGCACGACGAGGGACGGAACGGGTTCGGCGCGATTATGAATGCGCTAAACACCCGCGCGGGCTCATTAATCTTGACCGGCTCAACAACTCCCATCCAGGACCAATCGATTGAATTTCGGGAGAGAATTTTCCGCGGATGGGAGACTTCGCGATTGCCTCCAATGCGTAAGGTCTACCGAGGACTCTCTGCCATTGTAAAGAAATCCTGGGCTATGAGCAGCCCGACCATCGGATCTGTTCTGGGTTTCCCACGAGTTCCTGTCCACGGAAAGCCGGCTGACGGCTTTGAATATGAATTTTTGCAATTTCCCCCAGGTAACGAGCTGGAAACAATCGAGACGGATGTTGTTATCATCGGAAGTGGCTGCGGTGGAAGTGTAACAGCTAAGAATCTGGCCGAAGCAGGTCATCGCGTGCTAGTTGTCGAAAAGTCCTATTCTTACCCGTCCAGCGTGTTCCCCATGGAACCAAGTGAGGGTTACACTAATATGTTCGAAAGTGGAGGTGCTGTCTTCAGCGACGATAGTACCATGGCAGTTCTTGCAGGTTCTACCTGGGGAGGTGGTGGCACCGTGAACTGGTCCGCCGCTTTACAAACCCAGGGATATGTCAGACAGGAATGGGCCGATACCGGTCTGCCCTTTTTCACCTCTCTCGACTTTCAGAGGAGTCTCGATCGCGTCTGTGACCGTATGGGCGTTAATACCGAAAATGTGCAGCATAACCAGCAGAACAATGTCATCTTGGAGGGTGCGCGAAAGCTGGGCTATGCAGCCAATACGGTACCTCAAAATACTGGACACGGTGAGCACTATTGCGGGTACTGCACGCTGGGATGCCACTCAACAGGCAAGAAAGGCCCAACAGAATCATTTCTCGCAGATGCAGCCCAGGCCGGTGCTACATTCATGGAAGGGTTTCAGGCCGACAAGGTGCTATTTACCAAGGTCAATAATAAGCAGGTTGCTTCCGGTGTCGAAGGAGTTTGGAAATCGCGGGATTTCTACTTGGGACTCAGCGGTCCCGGCGTTGTTCAACGCAGAATCATTATCAAGGCTAAAAAAGTCGTTGTGTCGGCTGGCACCTTGCAAAGTCCTCTACTGTTGCTGCGCAGTGGTCTGAAGAATTCTCAGATTGGTCGTAATCTCTATCTCCATCCAGGTGAGTCATTACAATCCCACCCGGTGCGTATTGTAAACACTAACATTTTCCAGTCATCGGGGGTGGTGCTATCTTTGACAAAGACACCCGCCCTTGGGAAGGCTCTGCATTGACAACGGTGGTGAACGAGTTCGAAGATCTTGATGGAAATGGACATGGCGCGAAGATTGAGTCGGCATCAATGTTGCCCTCCGTTTTCAACCCACTATTCCCCTGGCGAGGAGGACTGGAGTACAAGTTGTGGGCGGCCAATATGCGCCGCACCACCAGCTTTATTACACTGACTAAAGAGCGCGACCCTGGGCGTGTATATCCCGATCCCATCGATGGAAGAGTTCGCGTGGATTACACCATATCAGCATTTGACCGCAAGCACATTGTGGAGGCCCTAATCGCTAGCGCCAAGATTGCCTTCATTTCGGGCGCCAATGAATTCCACACAACCTACCGCGACCTCGATCCCTTCATCCGGCCTGAAGCCTCTGATCCAAATGCCCCCGAGGGCACCAATGACGCAGCCTTGCAAAATTGGATTGCAGAGCTTCGTCGGAAGTCGCCTTTGAATCCCGAGCGTGGCTTATTCGCCAGTGCACACCAGATGGGAACCTGTCGTATGGGCGAATCCCCCAAGTCAAGCGTTGTGGACCCGACCTGTCAAGTCTGGGGTGCAGACGGCTTATACGTTGTTGATGCCTCAGTGTTCCCCAGCGCAAGCGGTGTAAATCCCATGGTCACCAATATGGCTATTGCAGATTGGGCCAGTCGAAACCTCGCAGAGAAATTGGGATCAGTCCCAGGTGCCGTCATGGCTCGACTGTGAACCTCTGGGTCCAATGCATTTCGGTACCCTCGTTTTACTTCACGAAGCGCTTCACAGCTAGTATTTTCATAGCATGATTGTTCCTACTCTCTTGTTGACATCTGATTCAGCCAGGCCGAACCCGTTGGATTCTTTGGCTATGTAATGTAATCCTTGGTATCTCTTCTTCAAATGAGTTTTGAACCCCGGTGAGGCTGACGCTTTTTGAGAAAGTTCTTCTCACCAAAGGCCTGCTTGACACCTTCAGACTCGAGGTTGCGTTCGTACCCGCCAATGGTGATGGGGTACTTCTGGCGCATTTCCGCATCGATGACCATGGCGAAGCACCGGACAAGAGCAGAGGCAACGGTGATATTCGCCATACTCCGCTTCTCTTTCCCGGCAAACCAGGTGCGTCACAGGGTCCAAGATCTCACCGTGTGCATAGCAGGTCCACTGGCAGATGGTGGCGCGCTCAGCAGGGATCCCCAGCTTTTACCTTCATGACCCGAGGACTAGCTTGATAGGAGTAAATAGTGCCGAATAGTGCCATGGTGGTTGTGTATGAGCTCAAGTGGCTGAATCCAGGGAACGAGTTATACGGGGTGGAATCAGGTGGAATTTGTTTTCTAAGCGCATGATAGAACCTTGGAAGATATACCAGAGTATACGATATTATAGCTGTATCGCCTGCCCAAGAATCGCCTCAACGGTAGTGGATCTAGTTGACATTGAACTCCGACATTTTGACTAGAATGAGTTCTTTCCCGAACTACAGTATACCCTACAACCCCTCGAGGCTGTTAGTTCAAATGTTCGCCTATTGTATGTGATATCCTTTTAGCAATTAACTCTGTTTATTACGCTGGGGCTAGGTGAAGCTTCGGGGTTTGACCTGGATGGTGGACAGAAGAATTGAAACTGGTACTAGGAGTACCGTCGTCGTCGTGGACAGAAACACGACAATTACCGAGACAGGGTCGATCGAAATGAGCAACACCCCCGGCCACAGCCCATCCCACCGCGCATCCCCCAGCAGCGGGAGCCAATGTTCGTCAATAGTTCCGCTCTGGTTGCTGCGTGGGAGCAATACTTGACTCCGGGTTGGATTCTGACGAATGCAACGTAATGTAACAAAGGGATCATAAGAAAATAGAGAACATGACTCAAATAGAGCTAGATTACCATGCTAAAAAGACTATCGATTTGAACTACAATTCTCTATTTCCTACCTTGATCTCTCCATCTCACTTTTGTTTCATCATTTCCCTTCATGATCCCCAACCCATTGACCAAAAATCACCGAGGTCCACCGGATAAAGGTTCATGCGCATCAGTCAACCCTCGATCAGCTGTCACCCGCTCTTGAGCATTTGGGGGTGGCTTGTTAGTTCTACTCCCTTTAGCCTATTGACAGGTGTCAACATGGATAAATCTATCACGTAGAGAAGAGAGAGCATGCAGAGAGCAGAGGGTCGAGAAAGCGAAAGAAAAGGAGTGTAAAGACTACAGGACAGCGGCTGCTGACTTCTCCCTCTCAACCTCCCCCCAATGTCCAATGCCAACCATCTTCAATCTCCCACCGGAGCTACACAGGCTCATCGCTGATCAGTTGTTGATTCCCGATGTGCTTCAACTGAGACTGACTTGCGCTTACTTCTATACCTTGATCCAGCCGTCGCACCAAGAGCTTCTACAGGCGGAATCAAGCGACTGGGCCCGCCACCGTGACCTATACACCTGTCGCTATTGCCTGCGTCTCCGACCACAATGCAGTTTTGCCGATCGCATGTTGCATCGACGACGCAGTCGCGCGAACCATGACAGTGACAAGCGATTCTGCATCGAGTGTGGACTGAAGCCGCGGGAGGGCAGTGCGCGATATGGACCTGGAGCTCTGGTGACGGTCCAGGGAGCTCATTTCGTGCTCTGCCTCGCCTGTCGAAAATTTCAACCTGGTGCTCAAGATCGACATGGACGCAGTGTCTTATTATGCTTGTCATGCTGGAGAGAGTCTCAAATCGACAGGGTCCCCGAGGATCTAAAATAATTCCATTGCATTGGTCTACTCACTCAAATGCATTGGTCTACTCACTCAAACGCCGAAAAGTCGATTCTGAATCAAAGCCCAATACTACAATCCCAATATCATACATCAAGACTTATGTCTAACATGCCTCACCGAGACGCATGTAGTTCCAGCAAACTGCAATTGGGTTAGCTATTCCGCTTGGAACAATGTACTGAACGAGAAACATACTGGTATTGCCCATGTCCTTCCCGAACAAGCTTGCCAAAAGATCCTCGCCATGGCGGGTGCCTTCACTCGGGGTATAGCTGACGGCCTTGTGACCAATGGCTAACCCCATTACAGATGGGAAAGGCTGCAGGGTCAAGAATTCTGGCTTCTCGCCTGTGCATTCTGCGGTCATATGCCGATGAATGTTCATGGCGGCATAGTGACCCATGTGCATTGCACCACCGCAGCGTTTAATTCCTTCCCACGCTGCGAGGTCTCCAACTGCCCAATGGCTCTCGGCGTTGGGGATTTCCCCGAGAATTGAAGTCTGCGATGATCAGTCTTGTTTCTCAAACATCTGCATCTGCAGGGGTTGTCTGCAGGGGCTGTCTTACGATCGGTGCACTTTGATGTATCCTTCCTCATCCAGTGCTTCTTTTGGTAGGTATGTTGATGTTGGGATGGGTTGCGAAATGGCGTTTAATACATAGCCAGTTTTCAGTTGTCGGCCATCACCGAGCGTGAGATTCCAGGACCTGTTCTCGAGCTCTGTGTCCACGGCTGTCGTGTCAATGACACGTTGCCCTAGAATGACTTCAACACCAGCTTCCTGCAATAGCGAAAGTGCACGATCGGCAAAATCGTTTGGCAATGGCTCCGAAGAAAGCAAGCGGTTTCGGGAATGAATGAGAGTAATCTTTTGTTCAGGATGAATGATTTTTAGTTCTGCTGCCATCTCGACACCAACAGCTCCTGTTTATACCAAATATGTCAATGGATGAAAAGATGTATGGGTGAGCCCAGACGTACCTCCACCAACAACGACGACGCCGTCCCGGGCATTCTTTACATTTGCCATATGCTCTTTTGCTTCGCTTATGAACTGATCTCGTTGCAATGATTGAGGCACTGTGGGGAACGTTCGTTGCAGCCCCGAGCTCGCAACCAGGTAGTCGTAGGACTCTGCACGGTTGGTCTTTGTATCCGCATCGATGATATGGACCACTTTTTCAGCGAAGTCGACGGAACTGACGCTTCCCTGAATGAAGCTGAGATCGGGGGATTTCAGGCCGGGAATGTCGCTAAACCGAGTCCATGCTTGCGACGCAAATTTGTCACAGGCTAGGGCCTTCGGAGATCCGATGAGATGGACTATCCAAAATCAGCAGGGCCATGCGTTCCTACCAGCTTGAGAACCTACAATAGCCATCTCTCTTATCAACTACAGTGATCTGGACTGGAATGCGATGTGCCGGGGCTTTAGTTTCTGGATTGCTGTTGAAGCGAGCAATGCGACCCTGCGAAAGATCAACTAGAGCTAATGCCGCAGCCAGACCACCATAAGAGCCACCGATCACAAGCACGCGAAAGCTCCGAGATACGGTTCGAACAAAGTCGTTGGAAGGCATAGTGCATAGGTTCTTGAGTAACACAAGGATGGAAGATCAGTGAAAAATAAGAGAAAAGAGAGAGAGAGAAAGATCATAAAAAACAGCCAAGGCTCATAAAACAGCCAAGAATCACGGCGCAGAGACACCAGAACACATTCGCGTCATATTTCAAGATGCGGGTCTGATATTATCAGATTGGCAGCGACATCGGATTTACGGTAGAATGTTTTTTTTGTTCTCTTGGCTTGGCTATCTGATCCGACCACAGCCGAGAAAGGTGATCATCAGTATTGGGGACTGGTTAATATCGCAACGATTCCTGATTTGGCAGTCAAATACAGTGGCTTCCCTGGTTTCTGTAATACATCTGACGTGTGGCAGGAGTCCTGCCTGTCTTCGGGCAGCCTCAACTCGTCAACCCCACCATGTGATTTGAATTCTATGCTCATACGTAAATTTCCACGTACTGTAACTCACAGTAGCCAAGTGAATATTCCAGAAAATGTCCCGGTATCACCAGTGTATGTAATGTAATGTAATATAACGTAATGTAATACAAAGTTTAATGCAACCATGGAAAGGTAACACGCTAGCCTAGCCGGGCAGTGATCTGCGATCAGACAAGATTCTGCATCTAATCTGATTTCGGTAAATTGCACCGGTCTGAACCGACTTACAGGTACAATACAAAGGCGCCATCTGATAACTGAACTTGCGAATCCGGGCTTGGAAACTTCCCACGGGGTATTGCGGTCTAAACTTTATTAACTCTGTACACTGTTGGATTTATGGGCGCTGAGCCAGCACATCCGTCGCCAATTGCCGTAGCTCCACCTTCCGGACTTTTCCGCTTCCTGTTACAGGAACCGTGCTCGAGATTCCCTCCTCTCCAAAAACGAAAAAGTGCTGGGGGGCTTTGTGCCGACCGAGTGTTTCACGTGTCCATGCGCGCAACTCATCGTCGGTGGGTCGGTTGGTACCTGCGATCGCGATGAAGGCTCCAACAACCTCGCCGTATTTCTGATCGGGGATTCCGATGACGGATGCGAGCTCAATTTGAGGATGCGCGGTCAATCGCTCTTCGATTTCGAGAGGGTAGATGTTCTCGCCGCCTGTCAATGACCTTATTAGCCACCGTCTATCCATGAAATAGACACGGGGTTGAAATTACCGCGAATGATGATGTCCTTGAAGCGACCGGTGATCGTGCAGTAACCTTGCTCGTTGAAAGAAGCCTCATCACCGGTCTTGAGCCATTTGACGCCCTCCGAATCCGTAAGGAATGTTTCCGCAGTCTTCTCGGGGTTCTTCCAGTATCCCTTGGTCAGCTGGTAACCAGCCATGCACAATTCGCCCCGCTGGCCCACAGGAACGATATTTCCCTGCGCATCAATAATCTTGGCACGCGCGTGCGGTAGAACCTTCCCGACGGTGGTCAGTCGCGTATTGATGCTATCCGTGGTGAATGCATTGAAACATGTGGGTGACGCTTCGGTGAGACCTAGGCAGCCAGTTAGTGGGAAGGTCAATAGCGCGCTAAGAGTTCATACCGTAGCTGCTAGTATATTCGGTCATGTTCAATTCCTCAAAGAGTCGCTTCATCAGTGGCCGAGGAACTGGGGCTCCTGCAATGATGCCCGTACGAAGGTTTGCGGTATTGAAGTTTGAAGGCTTCGGGATGCTCAGAATGGCCTCAAACATCGTTGGAACACCGTGGAGCGCCGTGCACCGCTCGTCGGAGATAGCGTGCAGAACAGCTTTGGGATCGAAAGTCTCACTAGGGAAGACAATCTTGGCGCCATGAGTTACCACCGCCAACATGCCCAGGACCAGCCCGAAGCAGTGGAACAAGGGTGGCGGGCAGCAAAGAACATCGAAAGAGGTGAGGTTCATCCGATCGCCAATGAATCGCGAGTTGTTCACCAAGTTGCTACCACGAGATTAGCTATTTTTTGTTTGTGCAATTGATTGATCGCAAGTCCACCTACTGATGGGTCAACATGGCGGCTTTAGGATTTCCCGTCGAGCCACTGGTGAACTGCAAATTACAGACATCGTCAGGGCGCAATTCGGCTTCGCGGTCCTGCAGGACGTGTGGGGCTTGCGACAAGCCCCGAGCGACAACATCGTGGTAGGTCGTAAAGTTCTTGTAGGTTTCGCGCAAGATCACAATCTCTTCCAAGCAGTCCGACTTGCCAGTTTTCTTAGGGCTCTCACCGAGCTCAACAAGGACTTCCTCGAGATTATGGCGGCCAATTCGGGGGGTCATGAACAGTAAGCGGCATTCTGCGGAGAAAAGAATGAAAAGAGATTAGTGAGGGGGCCGCTAATGCGCCAAGTGGACACCTACCGCTGTGATTCAGTGCGTAATATAACTCGGAGGGGGTGTAAGTGTTGTTCAACACCACCAAGATAGCTCCCACCCGAGCGGCCGCAAAGAAGACGGAGATATATTGCTCGCAATTGCCTGCCATGATGCCAACACGATCACCCTTCTGAATTCCCGAGGCGAGCATGCCTCGCGCCAGGCGCTCGGTCTCATCTTTCAATTCGCCATATGTCCAGCGCGCATTGGTCCAGGGGAACACCAGACACTCAATGCCTCCATATTGCAGCGCTTGAAGCGTCAGCAACTCACCCAAGGTGATGTCCAACAATGCAGGCTCTGTCGAACCCGCGACAAGAGACAGCTGAGTGTTGGGAGACTGTACATGCGACAGCGTCTGCTGCAAGCGCTGAACACTTCTTGGGGCCGCCATGGTTGGAAAAAAGGAAGAAAGAATGGAGGAGGGCGAGCTTATAGTTAAAGCCGACAAATTTCGCACAACATTCCATCAGATATGAAGCGACTCCACTGGTAATCTCGCTCTTGGACTTTTCTGGTCCATACGTAACCGGGGGGTCCACTCGTTGTAAGCGAATCTTGGCTGTATTTTTCCTTTCTGCAGTCTTGTCCGCTGGTCGATAGATTACACTGCCGATCCCCTTCGAAAAAGCCGCCCGGTCCGAGACATTATTCTGAGGAATTGGAAGGATGGGAGACTTTCCCGCGCTCGGCGGTCTGGTGGACAACGGAGATGGATTCCTCCCATCAGGGATGTAGATTGCAAACGAAGATCAGCAGTCAGACCCTCCGACACCTGAACAGCCTCGGTCCTGACCAAAGATTGTCCAGTATAGTTTCTGGTTACGGTAGTAGAACCCGTAGTGGATGTCATGCCGTATTTCACCCTCTGCATTGATCCACCCACATCCAGTGCCAAAATGAAACCTCGTGGCATCATACCCCACTCAGGATCAGATAACTTCTGCAGAGATTTTCACTCCTTTATCAATCAGTGTTCGAGAGTGGAGTCACAACGTAGCCATGTCGCTTCTGATATCGACATCGTTCTCGAAGTGAGGGAGTTGGGGAACAATTGGGGCCACTGGGTCTTGGCAGATCCCGACATTCCGAGCTGACTCTCCGTTCTCGCTAGTGGATGAGAGGGACAAGGAACAGCCAGTGGGCCACGGCTTGTATCCCGGATCATCTCGACAGGGATCGTCTCTAAGACTGCAGACAAGATAGCCCAAGGGTTCTGCCGGGGATTTCTTTCTCCTGCGAGCCAAAAAAACCCCCACCTTCTCTCGTGCCCTTGCAGTGCCAACCGCTGCAACAGATCTAATCAATCGGGTAATCTAATCAATCACCACCGACATCGGCGACTTCGTATTGGCCCCATCCAAAATTACCACTTGAAATTTTTGGCCAGCTCCACAATACCAGTACGGTATCAAACGGTGTTTGCTTTCAGTCTTCCACTTCCAAGATATGGCAGCTTGAGCGATCAGGTGATGCTGGCAATGATAGACCCGATAGTTAGGGTTACCAAGTTCCCTTGTCAAGGCAGACGTTACTCTTGGGTCTTCGATCTGGATATCCCTGACAGTTTCTATTGATACCCCTTGGTTCTAGACTGCACCTGTGTATACCATGCCATGGGGATCACAAGGCCAGCTGTGTGTCCTGAAATGGCCTTGGCTTTATAATGATTCTTCCAATTTGAACAATGTTGTAAAAACGTTCAGTGATCCGTGTATTTACAATCCCGGTGACATCCGTCGAGAGGCAGTCGTTGATGTGCTTCATGTCAAATTTCTTCCCTGTAGAATATGAAAGCTGGCGGAATATGTGAAACGTTAATGGAATAGATCCAAAGGAATATAATCTATCCTACTGTTAAGAGCGAATAGATACATTGCGGTTTGTCGATAAAACAACAATGCCATCCCAAACGATTGAGTTAGAACCAAATTTAAAAGATTAGTTGCATCCATACATCCTTCAGCGCCGAGCGCCCACTGTCAAATATCGGAAAGTGTGTTTTACTTGAGCAAGAAGCATGCAAATCCACTTATTCTGTGAACTTCCCACTCTTCGGAATATCAAGATGAGCACAGCCCTTCCAATCGCAAGTGTTCTGATACGAGTTAGTTTTGTGGATAAATCTTGAATGGTGCAACATACCTTGTAAACCTCTGTTCCCCACCAGTTGAAATGATTACTGGCGCCAGTGAAGAAGATGGTCAAGAAGATCACCACGCCCGCAATTCCCACGGACGAATCCATGGCAGAGCTCAGCACAAAGTTGTATTTGCTCCACCAGCCATGGAGTCTACTGCGGATTAGCCAGCCAAATGTGAGGCCAACAACAGCCCAACTCCCGTAGTTCATCCCGGTCGCAGGTGGCAGGTAGTTCAATCCGCCTAGGAACAACGGGATATGAACCCTTTTCCATAACGAATTTGGGTAGCGGCGACTTAGAAAATGAACCGGAATCGGTAGAATAGCGCCGATGATGAAGAAATATAGCAAAGCAGAGTAGCCGATCTGGTTCGAAAAATAACGACGAGGACCGACAGCGCCCCAGATCAAGGAAGTATTGAAGTGTGTACTAGAGTAAGGGCAGCTGAAACCATTGACAGCGGCACTGGTGCAGACGCCCTTTATGTTGTCCAGTGCCCAGTTCAGAACACCGAGGGAAGAAAGCGTGCCCACGATCATGCCGACGCATTGAACTAAGAACAGCTTGCGCTGTGGAATCTCTGAAATATCAGCTTAGTCACGACGAATCTGGTTCTAGTCAGGAGAATACTTACATGGCAGTAGTATGCCAACTTCATGTCTTGCGCAAAGTAAAGTCCCTTGATGGTCGTAATGTAACCAATATCAAAGAACCAAATGTTGGCAAGAACCTTGCCCTCAAAAACGAAACCGGCCACAATGCGGCAGAAGATGTCAATATTGATCTTCAAGTTTGAAGTCGCATACACCAGGGCCAACTAAGACGGTAAGAAAAGGGCTTCCTAAGAGGAATTTCCAAACGTACCGGAGGATAGAAAACCAGCGCCACGAGACACGCTAACAAGACACCATACCACCTCAGTTCAACGTTCCACCACTCGACGGCAAAGATTGCCATGAACAAGGCTAGGATGCATCCGATCAAATACCACCATAAAGGAACATCAGGATCTCCTCGCTCATCTTCACTGTACTCTCTGGAGCGCCCAGGAAGAGACTCAATAACGAGATGTGGAACCCTTCTGGCGGCATCGGCCATGATATGACGCTTTTCAAGAATTACCCAGACAAGTAGGGCGCTGAGGGTGGCAAAAGATAGCCCGTACATGTTAAGTGCGTAGGTAATGGGCATATAGACCTAGGTGGGGCTTTGTATTAGCATTTTAAATGGATACGAGAGCATGCAGTATGATACCGGAGAATATGAGAGATATTTCTTGACATCGAGCTGATAGCCTGACGCCGCATTGACAATCTTTTTGACCTTGTAGACACCTCCCGTGTTGTCATAAACTTGTTATGTTAGCCTTCACTTTACCAGTTCTTGCATGGGCGTATTCTTTTACCTTTGGAGCTTTGGAAGGGGAGATATCCGGTCTTCCAGACATTGGTATAGTAACAAGCCACGGCTACGATCCAGATCCAGAAGACCAGAGAAACAAAGACGTTGAGGATTGCCCATGAAGGAATGAGCAATGGAGAGCCGACGTAGGATATTTGACTCCCTAGGCTTAAATTAGGGCGTTATTGGGCGTTGGGGGGGGAAGGGAAACATGATACTCACAATCAAAGGTGATAGGCAGCAACCCCATTCCAGAGCTCATTCCAAAAATCTGATTGACAACTTTATTCTCTGGTTTAATCCAACAAGGGAAGCTGAAGTAGCTCAGTGCTGGGAAAATGAAGTCTGGAAACCAATACCAACAGAACGAGACGCAGCAGGCCATGGTGAAAAATGCATAGCGCGATATTTTCCATGTGTCGTAGCTATACCTATCAGTTGGGTTCCAAAGCAATTGGACTTTCATGCATACCGTGCTTGTACCTGATCTTGCTTGACATGGTGCAGAGTTGTGGTCAGCGCAGTTACACTTAGCACTCCCGGCCATATCAGCTCTTGTGGCACGACAATGATTGCCCGGAATACCCCAGCAAGACAGAACCCGATGAGGAATGTTGCCAAGGTGATCAAGATCTGAAAACCCCATCCTGCTTTGTAACCGTAGAACATTTGCTGTTCCGTCAAAACATCGGCACCGAGACGAACGTATATACTGAGGTTGGACATGATGTAAATCAAAGTATGTTCCTACAGTCCGGTTATTCAAAGAAGGATCCACTCGAATATGGCATTGAAAGGCTAACCTTTGTGTTGAAAGGTCCCGGATTGAGTTCGAATGACCATGCTCCCAGCGGAACAGTCCAATTGGGAATGAACTTTTCCCACAGTTTACCCAGGGGGTATGCCAATAAGAGGACCACCGAGCCCGAGATGGTCAATGAAGGAGTACGCAGAGTATAGAGCGTGTTCAGCCCACTGATCACAACGCAAAATGCGATGCCTAGCACCCACATACGCAAGGTAAGCACAGGCTCCGTGGGATCATCTTCTGCGATGCCTATGCCAGCAGCTCGCAACATATCAAGCTGGGAGTCGACATCTATAAGACTGTGAGTATGGTAACGTACAAAAGGATCAATAAGAGTGTCTACCAGAGTCAGAAGAATCCTGAATCTCCTGCTCACGAACGGTCCGAAGATCTTTAGCCTCGCTAGCCTTGTTAGCCACATTGGGTACATTGGCCTCGTTGGCCTCGTTGGTCTCCTTAACATCCATGATAGATTTGGATAGATGGGAGAGTTGGAGCGATGAAAGGGGAACGGATCAGATAAAAAAAAGGCCATCAGATAAGATGAGGGAAATTTTGCAAAAGCCCGAGGTGTAATGTCTCATCAATCGGTCATACCTCTCAGCCCTACAGGGCGAAATTGCTGTGGGGGGCTAAGCTTCGATCTCCACTTGGCTTTTTTTCTTTTCGTGTCTGCCTAAAATCCTCTTTTTCTGTAGGGGTACTCCGTACAGCACGGCTGGTCTTCTGTGGGATATCTACTAGCACAGTCTCAATTCTTAGGTTCCTGTCTTATCTTTCCCTTTCCCCCGGGGACTATATGTGATGCTATATGCGAAAATGTCGGGACACCAAGGGGTTCGCAAGTAAACCTGGTTTGGCATTGGCGCATGTGGACCCATGTATTGCGAGTTCTTCCGACAGCCGAATGCCGTGTGGGCGTCACAAGGCTTTTTCTTTCCACATCCCTGCTTAGGTCTCTCTAGGTGACCTCCTTATCGTCATAGAATCTAGAGGCTAGAACCGGGCTCATAGAGAAATGTACATGTCCCATACAGGGTTTTATGTTACTTCAAATGCTCCCATGTGCATAGTGAAGATCCACTCAAGTGGAGAGTAACAAATCTTCTTCTACTACTGAGACTCGGACTTTGATGCCCCAGCCATCTCGTCCACCAATCCAATTCTTTCGCTTCCCAACCTTTTCGATTCTCTGTACATCATGCTCAAGCTCTTGTTTGAGGTGGGTCGGGTCGTACGCCACCTTTTGAATGGAGATGGTCAAGTCTAGGCCATCTTTCGTCCCCTTCTTTCCTAATCCGGTGACCCATTGTGCCGATGGGACGATCCGTGGCTTGGAAGTGTTGATAGACCCGGTTGGGTAAAGCTGGCTTAAGACGAGGCCAAGTTTGCCGAGATAGCGGGTCCACCAGACTTCTTCGGGGGTCAGAATCCCCTGGAGGTGGGACTTGAGGTCAATGTCTCGAGGGGGCAATTCTCCCCCATATCGCTCCTGAAGCATTAATGCCAAGAGGGCCCGGTGGGCATGCGGAATGCCATGGGTAGAAGCCAGAATTCCGGTACTGGTACTGTAAAGCGCGGCACTGGAGGACAATTCTTTGGACATGGTGGCGTGAACGTAGAGGGCATTGGCAAAAGCCTGGATGAGGTGGAGACTGATGGAGGAAGGGAACGAGCGAGTATCAGACGGTCGAGGCAACGCGGCCAGCAACAAAGCTGCAAGAGCCTGAGCCGAAGATGGGGCATAACGGGCAGTGGCAACCTCGAGGGGATCCTGTTGACGCACGACGGGAAGCATCTCACGGAAGAGCACCCCTTCCCGTACTCCACCCTGGCAGAAATGGGCTTCCTTGATTCCATGCGGTAATGACTCGGCCAAAGTGTTGACTAAAAAGGCAACAGACGGGACTTGTTTTCGTCTCCGATCTGAAACCCGGAAGATATCATGGGCCGTGCGAGCTACCTCCTTCAGAGCTTCGGTGTCCTCAAAGTCTTTCTTGGGTGCGGTGTATCCATTGATGATCGAAATGGGGTAGCTTCGACCCTTGGTCTGATGCAGATACAGCAAAAGATAGCCCCAACCCCGGAATCCTCCGCCCGACAAGTAAAGGGGGAACCCACCTTGTGCGCGTGCCTTTTGAACAAGGTGCTCGGGAACGTCAATGGTCTCAAAGGCAGCGCGAAAGTTGTCTGCCATTTCACGACGGAATTGCTCCCGGGCCTCGTGTGCCTCTTCTTTGCTTTTGCCTCGTTTCAGGTCGGCTAGCTTCTGGGTCAATGCGGCTGCTCCGTACGGAAAGCTGACCGATCCTTGTGGGCTCATTTGGACGTTGCCTGCATGCGATGCGATCCAGGTCATCTGCATGCTGCCACCTCCCAAATCTAGTGCGAGACCCTCCACATCGGAAAAGCTACTGGAGATTCCCCAAGCTCCAATGACTCCCTCCTCTTCCTTGCGTAGTGCCTTCACCGAAATCCCAGTCTTCTTGTGGATCGCGTCCATAAACACCGAGGAATTGATAGCGGTACGAGTCGCTTCTGTTGCAATGATTCGGATGTTTCGTGTGGGCACACCTATTTCCACACAGACAATCTGGAAGCGAACGATAGCGCTGACGATTCGGTCGATGACATGCTGAGGAATGGGGATTCTGATGCCAGTGTCGGGGTCGATTTGAGCTTCATAGAGGGAGATATTGACCCGATGAAAGTGAACAGTAGGGATAACTCGGGTACTGGGGGGTGAAAGGTCTGAAATCGAACAACGAATGCCATTGCTGCCAGAGTGAGTGAGTGAGTAGGTTGGCAATGGAGGGGCAAAGGGGTGGGCTGTAATGCCTACCTGCCCAGATCGACCACGGCATGGAAATAGACATTCTGTCCAGGATCCGATGCTTCGTTCATAGCTGGAGTTCTCTCACCTCCTCCCATGATATTGTAAAGATATTGCAAAGAGAATGAATGCGGCAACGAGAAAGGCCTGACATCATAGCTGATCGCCCTCCTTTCTGCCGATGTGATTCTCTCCGCCTTCGTGCCTATTCAGCGAGAATCATTTCTTTACTTTTACACTTTGGTTATGGCAGCTCGTATTTTTGATAAGCCCTTTGGAATCCCTGGTCATGGGGATACTCAGTTCGGTGAGGTGCCATTGATATTGAAACAAATTGGACAAAAAGACTCATCAAGGTCCATTGTCGGCTATGATGCTCTGGACACTGGTCGATATGCGACCGCTATTTGACTATGAGCTATCTGCCTGGTATCTCAATTCTCTGCAAAGACGCGGCCGTCAAGAATATCCGCTCGAGTTCCCAAATGGAACAGTGGGATATGTTCCTTTGGTGCTGGAACGATGACTGTCTGGCCACCAGCATAAGTTTCGTTGGACCACCAGTAAGTCCATGGCTTTGAAGTGTTGTCGGACGTTTGTGGCAGGTAGACAGACCATTCAGTCGCATTTGAAACCGTGACAGGGCTCACTAAAAGTCGTGGGCCAAACATGTACTGCTGCGTAGTGACGTTGGCGTTGGCCTGTGTCCATCCAGCAACACGAGTATCGGTTTTCTCGAAGTCCATGTATAAAGGACGCATGATCATCCGACCAGTCTTATTAAGTTGGGCAAAGATGGCTCGGAGGTAGGCAGACAGCTGATATCTGAGTTGAATGTATGAGACAATGATAGGAGTGTTCTCGGAGCCGTATGACCATGGTTCGTTCGCACAGGTGTACGCGTTCTGGAAGTCACATTGCCGTGAGCCGTGCGTTCTCATGAAAGGCAAGAAAGTAGTCCACTGCAGCCATCGAACGTATAGCTCCCTGTATTCTGGGCGGTCGATACTGGAAAGGTCAGCGACGGCCGAAGGTAAGAAATGAAAAATACATACTTTGCGGACCAAGGGACTGTCGGATCTTGCTGGAAACCACCCGCGTCCAGTGTCCACCAACCCCAACCGGTTGCGGCAGCAGACAGCCCGCTGGCAATCTGTGCACCCAGAGTCTCCCACACAGCCGTTGTGTCGCCAGACCAAATCATACTGCAGAATCGCTGAGATCCAATGTATCCAGATCGACTCAATGACAGATAGTCACACGGGGCCCCAATATCTGTCTTGGACGAGTTGCGCAATCCCTCCTCGATTGCCTGCTGATGGGCCCACGGGTAGAGCTTTCCCACACTCTTCTGTGTGCCGGCTGCATACAAGACCTCTGGCATCGGGAAGGGAAGAGACTGAATATAGTCACTCTGACCATTGTTTTCGTACGCCTCACCAAGCGAGCCGCCATCCGCCTGATCAATCCAGAAATTCTTAATGCCGTTGTCAAAATAGTTCGTTTTTAAGGTATTCCACAAAAACCGCCGTGCACCGGGGTTTGTAGAGTCATAGTTGCGAATGTAAGACCCATTCCAGGAATCAGTCGTACCGGGACCAGACCGAGTCGCCGACAAATACCCTTGCGCCATCATTTCTAGATAGTTGACACTATCATCCGCGACACTGGGCCAAAGAGAGGCCATCATTTCAGCATTGGTCAGCTCTTTTACCTGTCGTGCCATGTCGGCTACGTCGGGCCAGAGATTTGGGTCAAGCCCCCAGTCTCCTTGATGAGCCCAGGACTGGTAGTCAATGACAATCATAGACACCGGGATCTCATATTTGTGGAACTGCTGAGCGAGCGAGATCACTTCACTTTGATTTTCATAACGAAGCTTTGATTGGAGATAACCGAGCGACCAGTTGGGCGGAGTGGGTGCCCGTCCGGTCAGTGCAGAGAGACGTTGCTGGAGTGTGTCATAGTCACTAGGATCTGATGCGACAATCACATAGTCGACAACAGATGCTGCATCTGCAGTGAACCTATTGCGCAACGGGCCAAATTCCATACGACCGGTGGATGCCATATTCCAAATAAATCCGTATCCTTTATTACTCATAAACACTGGTGTAGGGATGTGGGTATTGTAATTTATGAGGTCAATTGTCAGACCTTTCTTGTTCACAAGATGATCCTGCTGGGTGCCTGTGCCGTATATTTGCTCTTCTGGAGTCGTGCTAAAGGAAAATTCGGCAGAAAACTCACTTCCTGGACCAGGCCATGAATAGTACCGCGGATTGAGGGATTTGAGTGGCGCATACTCGTTGGTAAGGAGAGTTTCCGAGCCATCAACCTCGACTCGATAGAAGGCCAGACGGTAGCCTGCTGGGCTACCTTGTGACCCAGAGGTGCGAACGATCATGTTACCGTTGCGCAGCTCCTCTGATCGGTTGCCGTTGAATAGCGTGTCGAAGGCCATTCCATGTGCCTCTCCATCTTCCGGTCCCTCAAGAGGAGGGTCATAGACAAAACCAACCTCTTCGCCCGTTGGCTGCCGGAACGGCCAGGCTCGCACTCGAAATCCATCATACCCAAAGGGCTGCACCAGAACGGTCTCAAAGCCATGCTGCATGCGGAAACCCTTGGAAGTTGGTTTGTGGTAACTGGATGGCTGCACTGGAGAGGCCACGGAGCTGGAAGCCCACATGACACCAAGTGCAAGCAGAGATAGCCGCATTTTCACTCTCAACATACCAAAATACTCAAGGAATTGCAAGTAGATCTTCATTCAGCATGACTTCTCCCCGGGTTTTAACTGATGCATTATGTCAAAATTAGGCTGAACATGCAAGCTGTACCTTGAAAGCTCCGTGAGGCACGTTACATTGGGTGGGGGATCGACAGCTACAGCTGCCATGTTGACGGGTAATAGGCGTTGGCAATATAGAGTCTCACAAAAGGAGTGAACCTGCACAGACAGCAGGGATCGGAGGGGAATGACCCGAGCAGAGGCCGATCAGCAAACACAGTTATTTATCCGAGTTCTTTGGTACATGTATCGGGTTGCGCGGCTGAGTGGAGTGCAAGATGGGCAGTTGGAACAACCTCGGGCCTTGAATGCGACGAGTTTGACAGGTGTTTGGCAGTTCTCTTCGTCATACTGTAGATATTGTGGGCTGATGTTTCTTGACGTGCAGAGCGGGTCAAGGGTCCCTGTGCTGGTGGAGCAAACATACTGCAGGCCAATACAGTCAAATTGGTCTTTATTGAAGAAGCACTACTAAGACACATCATCGGATTTCGTCAACAGATTCCACATTCGAGCTGAGGCCAGTGTATCATGACTTGAGTCTTGTGAGGTCAGGAGGAAGGAACGTTTCTCGGCTGAGGGACCCTTGATGCCTCAGGTATTAGTAGTCACGTGATAAGCGAATGCTCCACCCCAAAGCCATTTCCTGTGCGATGATACTTTCAACCCTCTAATAAACATCTCATATCTGCTCAAAGATATGATACAGGGCAAGTCAATAGAAGTAATTAAGGTATGTGGTGGCAGTAAGGCTCATCTTTGTTGACCAATGTATATATATAGGGAACAGTTATACTAGGAGCCTCGCACTGCACTGTGACAAATGCCGAATGGCTTCAAACTGGAACTTTGAAGCCCAGGAGATCATAGTCCTCCTATAATAGTGACCTCACTTCATCTATTACGTATATGCCCATGTGTATATCCCGAACCGAGAAGTTGACTTGTCCAAGCCAACCACCCTGCATCACGTGAAGTTATCTAATCAATCCGATCTGATAAGATGGAAACATTCGCACTCTTTCGTATTTTTCGAATAAATACCAGGCCTTCACGTGCATATACAGAATATCTCTTTTTGATTTATTTTCCGATACTGTTATGCTCTTATACATTTTCCAATCACAATATCTACCAGTCGACCACGCTCGTTCAGAGAATTTGTAGGCCCACGTGGGCCCACATGATCGGTAGCGATTATCGGATCCTTGCCGGTGCTCCGCCTTCTCTCCTCAACCGTTTCTTCTCTCTCCCCCCAGACCGGAGATCTGGGGATTCAACATGTTACTCGGATGGTTGGTCCTCATATTCGCTCAGTCCGTATGGGCGAATCATCAAGAGGAGCAGTGTGTGAGTGCTGTCTTCTCGGCCTATAACTACATCGCTTTTGCCGGATTTCCCACAAAGGGCACGTGGGATATTCGATGTCGAAACCCGCTTCAAGTCGCGTCCATCTACGCTGCCACAGAAATTTATTGTGATGAAACACAACGTGCGGCAGGCCTAACTCGGCTGGCTGCTGACTGCCAGAAATTCGGTCACAAGGAGCTGCTGCCAAGAGACGCAGTTGCCGAAAATCTGACCGATGATGCTATTCGCAATATGAGGAAAGTGGATTTTCAAGAACTATCTCGAGCTTTGCCCGTGAATGAGCCCATTATCATTTCTCAATCTTATTTTGATTTGGTGTTCAACACGATCGTGAGACGGACCATCGATACCTTATAGGTTAGAACTAACTATCTCTTAGAACTCCTGGGAATCTGTGAGTTGGTTGCATCATGCATTTAGGTGAGTCTGTTTGAACCATCGGAGATGAAGTGAAGGCTGATCAATCAGTTATGCCGGCTATGCCTATTGGGCCGGTATAATGTCCCTAGGAATGGCGTTTCGGTTATTCGATTGGAAAGTCTACCGGCGACAACGTCATACAGAACGTGTGCTTGAAAGCAACGTATATCCACTATTGAGGACTTTGGAAGACGCACCAATATTGGGAACAGTGCTTCATTGGCTCCACACACATATCGTGATTCCAGCGCCACTGGCAACGCGTGGTCGACATCTGTTGGGCTGTACATTCTCAACCAGAGCCGAGGCACTTGTGGTACTGGGATTCTGGACTTTGAGTATTGTTTTCAGCTTAGTGGGATATCACACATTCCCGGGAAATATTTAGTAGGTTTTAAGATCCATCACACAAGAAGAGAGATCGCTGACGGTTGCGAAGTTATCCAGAGGTCTCAAATCAGGTTTTGCGGTATTCTGCGGATCGCACTGGGATCATGTCCTTTGCCAACTTTCCCCTTCTATGGCTCTTCGCTGGTCGGAACAACATTTTCCTGTGGGCCAGCGGATGGAGCTATGCATCCTTCAATATCTTCCATCGCCATGTGGCTCGAGTGGCCACATTGCAGGCAGTAGTACACTCCGTCTTCTACATAATCATGTTCTTTCAAAGTGAGTTATCGAGAGACGCTGAAGTTCAATTTGGAATGCTCACAATTGTTTTCAATCCACAGCGGGGAAAGCCTGGAGAGGGATGACCAAGACTTACGTGCTATGGGGGATTTTGGTACAGAGCATTTCTGGACTTGAGTCGCAGTTCCTAGGAGCTAACATTGGAACAGGGCACCATTGCCATGGTCATTCTGCTGATCACATCGTTGGATCGGATCCGCATCGCAACCTATGAACTATTCTTGATTTCTCATATCGTGCTCTCGGTCATTACGTTAGTGGGATGCTTTTAGTAAGTTGTCACATTTCCACTCTTAACCATGAATCTCCCAATTAACAGCGGACAGTCACACTGTGATATTTGAAGGTAATGAGTACTGGAAATATCTATGGCCTTCGGTGGCTATTTGGGTGATTGATCGCTTGTTGAGAATCATGCGACTGTGCTACTGCAACATGCATGTGGGACTTTCGCATAAGGGCCTCATCAAGACCACAGTGACGAGCATGACATATGATGAAGGAGCTGACGTGGTGCGAATGGAAGTCACTCCCGGGGCATTGTCACTAAACCCTTCACCAGGACAGTACTACTTTTTGTACCAGCCCTGCCGGCTCACAGGCTGGGAAAGTCACCCTTTTACAATAGGAGCATGGTCTTACGAAACAAGAGAACAGTCGTCTCTGGCACCGAAGTCGCTGAGTTCAATGAGAAACCCATCTGATATCTCGCATCAACCGCTTCTTTCAGGTTCATCCTCTGAACAAGATTCAGCTGCCGCTCTGGGGGATGCCACTTCTGGAGAGAAAGAACACCAGAGTCTGAAGTTGATATTTTGGGTTCGTCCTTACGATGGCTGGACTCGGAATCTGCGCCAGCAATGCCTGAGCTCTCCATCCATAGCAAAAGATGCCGGTATTCTTCTTGAGGGACCATACGGTGATACATTTCCGGTCTGGAGATATGAATCAGTGTTGATCATAGTCGGCGGAACGGGCATCGCATCTGCTGTTCCTTACATTCAGGATCATCTTCGCCGCTCAGTTCGAGACTGGGAACAAGATTCTCAGAATGAGAAAACTCGAGTTCGAGACATGGAACTTGTCTGGACAGCGAGACAAACGGCATTTATTCGAGATGTTGTTGACCGGGAATTGAAACCTGCCTTTGATCGGGACGACTTTAGTGCCTCTTTCCATACAACTGGTGATTATACGCCATACACTGACTATTCGAATGGACTCGAGATCAACATCAAACAAGGGCGACCCCACCTTGAGTCTCTCATTATGAGTCGGGCCGCTGATGCATGCTCAGCTGGATCCAGCCTTGCAATCCTGGTATGTGGCCCACCAGGAATGGCAGATGAAGCTCGCGCTGCGACACATCTCGCAATGCGAAAGGGCTATCGATCCATAAAGTTTGTTGAGGAGTCTTTCACATGGTAGGCAGGGGCCGGTAAATTTTGATGAGCACTTGACGACCATGCATTCTGTTTAACTTCGGCTTGTAACTTATAACTTACTGTATATAGAACGTGAATTACCTTTTACTTCAACAAATAGCTGATAGACTATTTTATGCTCTGACTGATTAGTGATTTCAACTTTCCCACCGAAATAATCCCTCAGAAGCACTGTTCACAGGATCGATCTTCACCAGAAATTCTCGTTTGTGTGTGATGCTAGAGCTGATGCCCTGAGCCCAAATATGCGGTACTGTAGCATTCGCCGTACGTACGAACCTGCATCAATGCTCGCATCTACGGAGCATGCAGCTGACTCACAGCATGGGCAGTCCACGGGTTGATTGTCAGCGGAACATTTGTAGGCGTTCATGCCGACTTCGCCTGTTTCTACAGTACATTGGGGTCAGATGGCCCAAAGAATTCTGACCCATGACAAGAGGTTATCTATCATCTACTGTACCTTTGGGGTTATCCACTTCCATGCATTAAAGCGAAACCGGAACACCATTTTGGCTATCTGTGCGAGAGATAAGAGACAATGAGGTTTAGGGTTAAGTAAACGAGCACAAGTAACAAGCATGAGAGAGCAAGAGTGCAATCTAGGAAGTTATAAAAGGAACTTGATCTCCGGCCTTTACTCTGACGAAAAGGTCGAGAACGCTGTCAGCCAGTGGCAACATCTCCCAGATGTCCTGCTGCAACAATACCAACAAGAACGAAGACGTTGACCAGAACAACGTTGAAGCTTTGCATAATGTTCTCGGTGCCATTGACAGTGACAGCCTTGGTATAGGCCAGGGTTGCACCCGGCTTGACATCCCCGTGTCTGATAAGTGAGATCCTCCGTTTGTTGCAAAATCCTGGAAGAGTTTTACTGAATCCATCTTCTTTTCTTGATGAATAATGGAAGTTACATACTCCGACTCTTCTCTATTATTCTTTATTTTATGTAATTAACTGGAGATAACTTAAGAAAACCAGTCATGGTCATGTCAGCGTCGCTATAAACCAGTCTAATTCACCACTTTCGCGTCTGTAGCTGCCATCCTGTCCTCGACACCCCATTCAATTTGATCATAGCCGTGAGCAACCAAATAGTCCTTCCATTCTTGATCACCATGGTCCAAGATGGTATCGCTATCTGGCAGGACGAACCATGCCAAACACGCCCCAAGGACCGCAAAGCCCGAGCCAATTAAAAAGACAGCTTGAGTACCATGAGTAGTATCATCACCCCAGCTAGCCAGAATTGGCTTAAAGACCTGTGTTCCAATCGCAGCCCCAGCCTTACTCCACGCGGCGGCAAGGCCGACGCCGTGTCCTCGAACAGCGGTGGGAAAGCTTTCACTCGCCGTGAGAACAATCGTGGACCCGGGGCCAACTTCACCGAGTGTCAGAAAAACCCCATAAAGCACAATGAACAGGGGAAGCTTGGTTTGAATGGGGCCTAAAGCTCCTCCCAGGATAAACCCGAGAATGGCCTGAAGTCCAAAGCCCAATGCCATTGTACGGCGACGGCCAATTTTGTCAGACAAAAGACCTCCAATAAAGGCGCCTGGAATATAGAAACAATTGATTGCTGTTCCCCATGCCATGGTGAGGGCCAATGAAGATGTTGGGTTGACGCGTCCGACAATGGTGGATGAGAAAAGACCAAAGGGATAGGAGATGTAGTTATATCTGAGAAGATGTGAGAACGTGTCCCATATCATTGAATCAGAGGACTTACATAAACCACGAGCCGCAGACTCCCAGTAGAGACCGCCAGTACTTCTTCAACACCAGCCAGTACGGAATCCGCTGCTTCTTCATGGAGCTCTTCCGATATGCAGAGCTCATGACCATCCGATATCTAAACCAAAAAATCGACAGTGGAGGAATGGCACCCATAGCTAGAGATATACGCCACACTGTCTCGTAATGTCGCACCTGTTGGTGGAAACAAAGCAGAAGAATCAGAGGCACAAGAGCGCCGAAGGCAAACCCCAACGAAGCAGACAAGTCACCGATCATGGCAAATATAAAGCCTCTTCGCTTGCGAATTTCTGGAGCTTCGTCGGTGGCCTCTACCGCACCAGCACCAGCTACAGGATATTCCCTATATCACGTCAGTATGGATCTCTGAGTATTCGGAGAGTACACCGACCCTCCTGCACCAACCCCAGCAATCCCCCTGGCAATGATAAGCATCCAAAACATGCCATTTTCATTGACACCACTAGCACCTGCGCTGAGAGCAATGCCCAAAACCAGAATGACCGTGGTAAGCACTGCGCCCGTTTTCCGACCCAGCTTGTCCGATATGTATCCAAACGAAAGCATCCCAATTATCATGCCAACCATGAATGCGTTGGAAAGTCTCGCGGCGACTGCAGTCGTCAGAGACTCCGGGTAGATCACTCCCATGATCAGTTCCAAATTGCCGATGATCGAGGCGTTGAATCCATCCGAACCGATTGCCAAACCGCTGAAGATCACCATAAACACCATGGACACTCTGGAGTAGCCACGATCGCCGTTTCTCACATCGGAAGCCTCTGGGCCGGCAGTAACAATGGCTTCCGACTTTTCTTTATCTTCTGTCTCCGACATAGTGCTGTTTGGGTACGCTCGCTTTGGTGGTATATCCCCCAGTTATGGGCGAAAAAGGGCGACGGAAAGTGACCGGCCATTATATAAGAGATAATCCAGAGTCGACCACTGCCCAGCTCAATCGAACCAATCTGCGTGCGGGGGTTGAACACCGAAGCTAATGTATAGTTGACGCTAAAGAGCGGCAAGGAGGAAATCAGGGAAGGCCCACGCGAGAGTGAGAGAGAGGGGGCGAACGCAGATAAAGTCCAAGGATTAGGATTGGAGCATTTTTCTCTTGAACATCACCATGTCCAAGTTAGTATGGCAGCAACCAAAGCGTGGTTCTTCCACTTTCCATCTGCTTGTCGCGCTGGCATTATTGCTGACGGGCTCTATTTACTATTTTGACTATATCTCACGGTCGCAAACAAGCCCGCCAAACCTTCAACAATGCGCCGTTGAGAACTTGCTTGGCACTGGCCTTCCTTTTATGAATGCTGCTCCTATTACTGTCGCTGAGTTCGAGGAGCGCCGGGTTCGCCTGGCTAAGGCTTTGATCGCTGAAGATGTCGACGCGTTTGTGATGGAGCCGGGCTATACCTTCAAATATTATGGCAATGTGAGCCAGCCGGAATGGGAAGTTTGGGAGGTAATGGCTGGCACTGAACCCTGAGAGAGAGAGAGAGAGAGACTGATGTATATCTAGCCCGAAGAACGCCCATTCTTGATGGTCGTTCGTCCTCAGGAGGACGAGAGAGGAAACGTCAAGGCCAACACAACATTCCTCTGTCCATCCTTTGAGGCCGAGCGAGCTCGCTTGCTCGGAATGCCTTTCAATGATTCCATCCAAATCATTCCATGGGAAGAGCATTGGAACCCATATATAACCCTTCAGCAAGCTAACGTTTTCTCGGGTCTTCAACGACCTCCACGGTTGATGGTTGACGAAGAAATGCGGGACTTTATACAACGTGGGCTGGCTACTGTCGGATTCGATGTGGTTGGTCTCAAAGGAAAAGTGGAAGAAGTGAGGCAGATCAAGAGTGAAAAGGAAATCGACATTCTCCGCGCAGTCAACACCGGCACTGTGGAGGCTGTGAGGCAGATTAGGAAATGTAACATAGTGCATTCCGTGTTGAAATGCATGACTGACAGACTGCAACAGGTCTATATCCAGGTCTCACCGAGACAGACATCGCCGTCGCCCTTGACAATGCTTTGCGCGCGGCAGGGTTGGAACCGTTCTTTGATATCGTACTCTTTGGTTTGTTATGTCCGACAACGTTTGCTTTCAATATTGATGTTAATGAACACTAGACGAGAATGCTTCGAATCCCCACGGGGGAACAAACGGATCCAAAATTCTAGAACCTGAGACATTTGTCTTGATTGATGTTGGGTTTGAACTTCCTGGCCACGCTCATATCGCGACTGAATGGCTGACAACATCAATAGCGCTCATTTATATGGTTATTCTTCAGACATATGTCGCACATTCTTCCCGCCCTTTCTCGAAAAGCCATCAAAAGGAGACACGCTATCGCCTCTGATGTTAGAAAAACTCAGAGTATGTTACGACACACACAATCCACCGGCTATTACTGACTTTTCTAGGTCTGGGATATTGTGTTTGAAGCTCAGACACAATCCATTCGCCAGATGCGGGAAAACTCATCCGCATCAAGCGTTGATATCGCTGCACGTGAGGTCATCACCGACGCAGGCTATGGCGAGACTTTTACACATCGTGTGGGACATGGAATTGGAATTAAAGGTGAGTAAATAGCTAGGGATATGGAATATGAAGCTAATGTGACCATTTACACAGCCCATGAAAGCCCTTATCTTAACAAAGGAAATTTGAACAGTCTGCTCAAAACTGGCATGACCTTCACTTCCGAGCCAGGTGTCTATCTGGTTGACAAGTTTGGGGTTAGGCACGAGGATATATTCCTTGTCCAAGGAGATGGAGAGCCCGAAATCTTGACTGGATCGCGTGCTATGGGACCTTGGAACCCATAAGAGCTGTAGCACGGGACTCTATCTGGCCGGCGATATTCGGACACTTCTAAACACCAAGAAAAATACATCGACAGAGATAAGGTTTACATATTGCAGCTTGGGAAATGCAAAGTTGAAATTTATGCTGGACTAAAGAGCGTAGAATAGGCCATGTGCAATCCCAATCACTTGAGCTCGAGTCGAATTGCATCGTATTGCACATACACGGTGGCCGGAAGAACTGCGGTCTCTGTGTCAGTCGCGTTGAAGGGTAAGTGTAGTCGCAAGACATTGTCTCCGACACGCAGCCATTTTGCAGGGAATTCCAATTTGGTTCCAACCTGGTAGCAGCTCACCGCAGAGCGCACGATACAACTGCTTGACTGGTTGAACCCAATGATAAAAGTGAGTGGATCTTTCTGGTCATTGATAAAACTTTCGAGCGATAGATTGTTGTACGGCTCAGCAGGATTGTATACGTCGGTGTTGCCCGAAGCAGTCTTTGCCCCGGCTAGCTGAAGCGTCAATGTGGCTGTTTTTCCCTTTCGTAGTTGCTTTGAGGTGAGGGAAAAATGGATATTCCAGTCATGGGTTGTGTCGTACTCAATGTGAGAATCACTCGCGGTTGGCCCGAAGACTGACCAATGTACAGTGTTCAGGTCAGTGGCCGGGTCACTAGTGCCAACGGTGTAGTTGACACCATTCGGGAAGTCAACGCGCCAGTCATAAGCGCCCCAGTAAATGAGATATTCAGGTGGATGGAGTGGATGCGCTGGATCTCTGGCACTCCCGCGTCGGAACTCTCCAGATGACTTGTCCGGAGTCCCAATTCGCCAAAGCTCTGTCCCTGCTGACTCCTGCTTCCATTCCCTATGCACAGTAGTTTGCTTGTTTGCAGCTACAGTGATTCCGTCCAAAATAAAATCACCAAAGATGCCTTCTGCATAGACCGTGAGTCGATATTTTCCTTCTTTTACACGATCCACGGTGAATGTTCCGTCAGAGTTTACATCTGTCCAGTATTGATAGGAGCTCGGGACCACACTGTTGTCTTGGAAATATTGACCGTCGGCGGTGAGAATCGCAATTGTGCGAACAGCGCCCTTGGGGAGTGAGATAATTCCTTTGACACTACCTCGCTGGCTGGAAGGAGCATATCCAATGACGTGTTTAGCAATGGAGTCATAAAATGCAGCATTCCAGTGAGGATTTGCCAAGTTTTCTGCCTCTGATCGCAACTCTTCAAGCGTCGCGGACCCCTTCCCGCCGTTGAATAAATAAAATTGAGGACCAAATGTTCGATCAAAGCCATCTGTGATATTAGGTGTGCCTTCGCCATGATGATTTGACACAATGTAATTGTAAACTATTCCGTCGACTGTTAGGTCGGAGTGAAGTGGACCCTACAGCATATTAGCCTCTCTCTTTCAAGGCCTTGGTTATGACTTACACCATAGTAGGTATCCTAGACAGAAAGTGTTAGAAGAGCTGCGACAAAATATGCTATGAGATCAGCAGCACCCACCTTCGTGTTCATTACTAGCCAGGCACCATACGTTGCACCCTTGGACGTGCTTCCATCCGCATAGAGGCCATGGACGCTGTTGTTCCGCCACTCTGAGAATAGAAATTGGTTAATTAGCGATCAAAATGAACAGGAATATGCAGTCATACGATTCGAGAACGTGTATTTGGTAAAATAATCAGAGAATTGAGTGACATAAGGATCGCTGGGTGTGTTGTTGAACGTCCATGTAGCATCTTGAACAACAATTTCCTTTGAAATTGCATCTTTGCTTGGGAGCGGTGCAGTTTGAACGTCGCTCGATGTGAGATGAGTCCAGAGATCAGAATTGGGACGGAACAAGGTTCGGAACTCCTGGAGATTGCGGAGGAACGGGGTGGTTTTGTTGTTGTACGTTAGTCGACTGAACATATGCAGACCAGTTTCACCGTCGCGTAAGAACCAGTATTGCTGGAATTGCTGGCCCGTGGGGGTATATGTGTCGGTCAAAATCATTCCTCCGTACTTGATGCCTGTCGAATCTGTTCCCTGGACCACTTCCATACTTGGGGTAGTGGCCCCGGCCGTGTAAAAACCCGAAGGAATACAGTAACAATCAAGGTAAGGGCCTATCCCCGTGGACCCAGACTGGGGACCCAACAAGTCTTGGCCATCAAGAGAGAGGTCGACAATCTGCCCGACACTCTTCTTGAGGACAGCCACGAGTCGATCATTACCCAGCGTGATGTAGGTTTGATTTTCCGCAACATGCAGTGCAGCTGCAGCTGTGGCAGCCCATGCCGAGAGAACGGTCACCACTGAAGCCCGCATGTTGAACCTATGAATTCCGGCGTTTGAAGGAGTCAATTCACCACGGTGACCAGTGGATTAATAAATCAAGATGCAAGGAGCGCCGGGTATCAATGCCCCGAAGTAGCGGATTTCTTGAGGTCAAGTTCATCTTTGCATTTTCACCCGGACATCTAAATCCGCCAATAGCTGGGGAACATACAAGCTTGATGGGAAGGAAGCGAACATATTTACAAATCCGGGGTGCGGGGTTGACGGACAAATTGCTCGGTCATCGTTCGCCCGACCCCATCGTTAAAGACAAAGAACATAATTGGGAGGACCGACCCCCCGCAGGAGTTAGAGCGCGATGGCCTCGGAAATGAAGGGCAAGCAACGACCTCGGGAGTGAACCTTGCCCAGGTGGAACCTTAGGAGTGCGAAGCGGCTGACTCAGGGCTGACTAAGGGGCTGACTTTGACTTTCTTCCATGTGACTATTTTAACCTGAATTTTCAGGCCTTAAAGATCCCGTAACTAACGTAATTCACAAGCGAGCCGCCACCACAAGCGAGCCGCCATCTCCAAAGCATATAGTAAATACGATAGATAACAGCTTGATATCTCAACAACGGTGGTTTATGTAGACTATCCCTTTTAGCTAGATGGTTTTCGTATAATATCTAACCACTTTAGGAGGTTTCGAGAAATTTAATGAGTCAGTGAGTGAGATATGTATATCTTGATAACCTAGCGACGTAATTTTCGATACGGCAAGAATGTAATTGTTCAATTCCTTCAGAAATGCTATAAACTACTAAAAATGCTTATCGATATCTATATACCAACAGTGGAAATTGAATTTAGTTGTCGTGGTCGAAGCATGACGCTGTAGTCTATCGCATTTACTATGTGTTTTGGAGATGGCGGCTCGCTTGTGGTGGGCGGCTCGCATGTGAATTACGTTAAGTTAACTTAGTTAACGTTAACTAACTTAACGTTAAGTCAATTGGCAAGATATACCTAGGTATCAAACTGTAGAACCGCAATCCCGCAAGAGCCCCCAAACTATCTCAACTGATATCGATTTTGTGGAAGTACTACAATGACGAATACATCGGCAATGCTCCCGCGCCACTGAGTTCATTCATACATATGAAGTGGCTCTTCGTCGGCAGTTATTCAGCTCGAAATCGTCCAGCTTTGCATGTGGACCTAGAGAGATGTAGCTGGATTTGAAGACAGCCACGAGTCTATATTTTGCCATATATTGTCAACAAAGCTCTTTAATTTATCAGCCACTATCAAATAGCACGACAGTCAGCCATCAACTTCCATCTTCTAAGACTGTCCTTCAATCCATGTCCTTTCAACCGCAAAATAGAGTGTAGTACTCTGTGCCCCGAATTTCACTAGACGTAGCGCCATCTGTATTAAGACCTCGAGCAATTCGGGATTTCGCGACAAAAGGGTTTCTTTGCACTTTCCAGACAGTCTTTGGACTTCTGTTCAAAAATGGCAGAAGAGTTAACCTTTTGGAGGGAATCAATCCGTTTGGCCGTTGCCTGAAATGGTTGAGGCAGAGGCGGGTATGGCGCAACGAGGGAGGGAGGCGTGTACTTGATGTCCAAGGTATCCAAAATGAGAGGTGTGATATGGGCGGTAGAAAGTAGAACACGAGGCATTCCTTGAACGCTCAATGTCAGTTTGTTAAAATACAAAATTCCACAGAGACAACACGTACCGTGACCTGAAAATCCAGCCACAACGAAGTGTCCATTTCGCTTTGGAACATCACCGACAAAAGGAAATGCATCGATGCTCATAGATTCAACTGTTGTTTGTTAGTGCATGAATCTGGCCTATGGAAACTAGAGGGAAGCCTACTACCCGACCAACAGCCACCCTCATCAACATTCTTAGCTAACTCTACTGGATACTTATCAGGCCATCCCATAACGTCTGAGTTGGGCCATGATTGGAAGAAATCTGCAGCACCCTTGAATTGTTTATTCTCTTCGTCATTTGGGAAACATTCTTGAGGGGTGTGTACAAGAAGAGATCTTGCTCCACCAAGAATGATGCTGTTATAAGGCGGCGGAAGTTGAAGATGGTAATTCTGGAAGAGTCAGTTACTTGGCTTATTCACTTCCGAGACCTCAGCGTAGGACTTCACAGACATTCACTATACTGTCCCAATGTTGGGCACCTGTGTGCTTGATAAAACCCTCCGGTGCTTTGATAGATGCCAAAGTCGCTCTGTTCCCAAAGATGATATTATTGAACTCTGGAAGGAGATGAGATGCCCATCTGTTTGTTGCATGCACCACGGTCTTTGTTCGTACATACCCTCGGCCGGTCTTGACAGTTATCCAACCGGAGTGGTCTCGCTCTGAGACGCTTTCAGCTGGCGTATGCGCTTGCAGGTTCAAATTACCTCCTTTGAGAACTATGCGGAGAAGGGCATGTACGAACTTGTATGGCCATCTGTCAAAAGTCAGCAAACTTGAAACAAATGTAGAACCAAATCTAGCCGGAGCACTCACACTTGACCTGCGGGATGCACCACTGCCCCTAGGCATGCCTTCATCTGAGTGAATTCCTCTGCAGCCTTGCTGTCTTCAATTAGTCTACAAACCCTTACCACCTCGTTCTCTTCCCCATGGTCCTTCTTCATTGCATTGTAAGCGCTTATCAGTCGTACCCATGCTTCATCCGACATTGCTGCATCAAATGTCTCACCAAGCTGAAAGCAAACTTCCTCAGTTATTCCCTCTTCTGCTAAAAGATCTTGAAAAGCTGACAAGTGCGCCATTTCGTGTTTTATGAGGTCCATGGCTCCATCAGGTCCGAATCTAGTGGACCATGCTGGATAGCGTGAGTAGGCATGCGGCCTCAATTGCCCCCCTGAGTTAAAAATACGTCAGTTCCGACTAAGACCATGTTTTAGAAAAGCCTAAAGGAACCATATACCATTGCGACCTGTTGCGGAACCGCAAATATCTCGTGCCTCCAGCATGAGGATCTGAGGCTGTTGGGCATCGTTTTGGGTGTACTTAAGATTTATTTAGAACATTCCCTAAGGGGCTCGGGGATTAAGCTGTCTTGCCTTGTCAAGCCAGTATGCTGTTGTTGCACCTGAATATCCACTTCCTATTATGATGACATCTGTCTCTTGTGGTAAGTCTTTGGTTGACCGAAAGTCTCGGAGAGCCGAGTTGGCTTCTTCGATCCAGAAAGACTTCGTCGGGTTACTGATCGGGATAACCATTATGGCGGCAATTCAATGAAAGAGAGTTTGAATGTTGCGGCGTTCTACTTGCGACTGGACCGAGAATCGAGTTAAAACGTCGTTGATATCCTTATCAAAAGTACTTCGTTCTGTGCTATCCGGACCGGTTGCCAGAATAGGCTGCTCTAGCCGGTCGCAGAAGCCGGCCGTTAGAGCCGGTCCATGTAGAGCCTACGCATGTCCACTATGCAGTAATATGACTGGCCTCAATTCTTATTTCCTATCTGAGACGATCTAAGAACGCCACCTCAAAGCATGGCGATGAGACATGAATGGTGATTATAGATGAATTCAATACTCTCCGGCAGCACGAAGATACTGTTTGCGTTGCTTTGGTTGCTACTTTGTGTATTTTTATTTATGCCTAGGCGCTTTGAATTCTTCTCTCAATCTCCAAAGAGATTTGTCAAGTCTAACGACTTCACCAACGAACACCACCATGCGCAGGCTATGGCTAAACAACAAGCTAGGTTAAGACCTTCGAAATCTATTACAGACACTTTGCGTAAGCATATACAAGTTCACAGCCGGCCATCTATAGATGCGAATACCCTCTTCACCCAACAACATGCTGCTTGGTAAACTTTCATCGATCATAGAGCAAGTGAAAAACCACAACGAAACGCGGAACTTTTCTTCAATCGAGTCCAATAGGTTATGACCCCTTAAATACTTATCGCAAGTCAATGTCGAGTATTGAATGTTTGTTGCGAAGCTCACAAGGCCACAGAAGTGTTTCTTACAACGAAACTAGACCAGGTCGCACCGGAAGCCACTTCAATATCTCAAGATGGCAAGACTTGTTTCTATATGGAGCCTGCCCTCGGTGCTAGTGAACACGATACGAGTATAAAACCTACAGCAGATGAAGTTTGTCGACTGATAGGCTGTGCGACAAGCTACTTGGATTGATATGTTCAAAAAGGAAGCCATGGAGTGCAGATGTTACCCTTGTAAACTAAATTGACAATGACATTCTCAGTCAGCCCAGATGGCTTACTTCTGGTCCTTGGCTGATACGCCCTCAATAACCACGGCATTTCCTGCATCAATGTCTGTGCTATGTGGGGTCACCGGTACCATTCGGATCAGGAGTACCATACAGGGGACAGTAACAATCAAGATCGCAAAGTTGACATACAAGGGTACTATGGGGTCGGCTCCAGAGGTCGAGTTAATGGCGTATGAGACAGCCTGGCCGGCGGTTTCAAATGAGCGAAACAGTCCGCCCGTTCTGGAGGAAGACCCGATGTCAGTAGAAAAGGTGCCAAGGATCCAGTATAAACTGAGTTGGGTCCAATAGCCGGTTACAAAGATAATTAGATAAGGAATGTAGGCAACGGCCCATCTTTTGCCATCTCTTTGGAATCAAAAAAAGTTAGTATATCAAAACCAGAGAGTATGCAGATAAGAACCTACTGTTCATAATCAAGTCCTAGTGTCGCAGCCCCGAATTGACTATATTCTATGCCAATCCAGATGAAACAGGCGGCCTGGGGAATGGCCCAAAGGGCAAAAGCAATCCATGCCCGCTTTGGCTGGGACCAGCGCGAGAAGTCCAAAAGCTTCCCATATGCGATGACAATGGGGATAGTGACCGATGCTGAAAGATGAGTAAATAGCTTTTACCGATTGTGGCATCGAAGTTACTCACGAGTAATCAGAGATGACAAGGCACGAGCTCGCACTGAGAAGTGTAGTGAGAGATATGTCCCCATGGTTCCGCCATAGAAGAATGAGTAGAATGCTGGCAAGAACAGAAGCCATGTCTGAATTTCCACGTTAGTAATTGGCTAGAACAGCTGTTTGTGCTAGTATATTGACCTTTCTGCGCTGTAAATGCTTGAACAGGGCAGAGAATTCCTGCTTCCAGCTGATGCTAGGGGATATGGCAATTTTGGAACCATCACGACGTCGAACACGATGCGTTGGCGACAGAAGGAAAGCCCATATTACACCAGTGCATTCTGTATATTTCCGTGCTTGTTAGCTATGTATTATTGAAAGGTAGGTGAAAAAGACTCACCAAAGCCCACAAAAATGAGGTACGTGGACCATGCGATTCCTCCTGCCGAGGATTTCGAATAGTTCGTGGAAAAGTTAATCGCACCTCCCATGACGCTACCCGAGCTTCGCATGGCAGACCAAATACCTAGACCAACATTTGAGAATTCATGCCTCGTCCATATGGATTATGGCTTACTTACCCAAGTAGAAACCTCTGTCATCTTGTTTCGGGTATGACAGCATCGCCGTAGTCTCGGCTACATAGAGAAAGGCCGAAGTGAAACCTTCAAGCAGCTATAAAGTTGTAAGGCCTAGAAAACCTTGTATAGGAGCATGAGCTATCCTCACCTTTGACAACAATAGGTACCAATCTATACCATACTTTGCACTAACGTAGTAGGAAGACCCTGCCAGAGGCATAGTCACCGCAGCGATCATACAAGACCACTTAATACCAAACTTGTTAATCAATGGGCCTCCCGCGAGAGCTATCAAACACGAAGCAGCGTAGTTGAGCGAATTCGCCAAGTTTCCCAGGTAAGGAGTGGAGAGACCGCCGCCTCCGAGGTTGGATATTGCGTCGGACATGGCTGGGCCGACGAATGAAAGACTATGTACAGATTCAATTTATGAGCATGAATCTGAAGATATTAATATGGACTTACGCTCCGAACAGGATCATCTGGAATAGGACACCCCGGTAAACTTTTGTAGATGTCGAAACGTGTAAATACCCATCGTCAAGATCATCAGTCTGATGTCTATCATCGGTATGGCAGATTGTATTGGCGAGTTCGAGAGACGGACGAACTTGGCTCTCAACATTTACCGTTGATGTTCCCATCGTGAGCGACGGCGAAAGGGAGTTTGAGGGATTTCAATCGACAAACAATAAACTAACAGATATCGAGTATTTATATTTATAAAACCGATGGGATAGCTAGGAGCTGGCTCTGTGCAGGTATGGCTGCCGGCACACGCCAAGTAGTCCAGCTTAATGATGGCTTCTCTATCTACCAACTGAATCGGCATCATTGAAAGATAGCGGTTGCTGATTTGATAGAAGCCACCTTATCTGGACTGCTGTGCATGAAGCTCGATGTCTAGGGCGATGTATCTTCCGATCTCCGGGCGACAGCACCGTGTGCCATTGTCTTATCTGCACCGGCTGTTGAAAGACTGAAGTATTCGTAGGCACAACTGCATCCAGCTCTAGATACTGTACTTCACGTGTAAATCATCACAAGGACATACTTTCGTCCCGCTCAACGAGCACCCAATCTAGAAGATGACCGAAATAGGGAATTTTATTCCGGTCACTAACCGGAGATACACCGGCTTCTGTGGCAAAGAGGGGGTTTTGCTGATCGCCAAGCCAACTATTAGTCCATACAGTGAGTCCACTGGCTGGAGCTCCGCATGAGAGTTTGTATTATTGTAAGCTCGCAAATTCGGCAAGTCGAACTGAGCTTTGATAGTGACTGTTGAAGCATTAAATTTGATAAGGTCCACAACGAACCTGACCTACCTTGACATTTGTCATATAGAGAGTTCTCGCTAATTCATGAGACGGATCAGTGCTCAGTAATGATGAACTCGGATCACATACGCGCACTAATGCCATTATTTCGCTTATCAATATAGTTTCAAAAATAATAACCAATCTGAAAAGTAACCAATCTGAAACAATATTCACGGCCTAGAAAAATCTGGAGCCACACAGATTTGCATGTAATTGTTCATGGTCCTTCTTCTCGTCCAATGGATCACACAGTTATCTTCTGGCCAACTTCATCGCTATCAAGTTCTTGTCCCGCATTGTGCACTATATTTTCACAAAGAATGGATTCCTCCAAATACTCAAGCTTCAGCTGGCCATGTTTATCGTAGCGGTATGGCTCTTTAACAGAGAGCGAAACGGCATCGAAGACGTTTGTAGATTTCTTGAATATGCTGTCCATTTCCTCTAGAGACCTATAGCGTGTCTCGGGAAAGAAGAAATACACAAAAGGGAAGATGAATGCGTTTCTGTCGGTGTTAGTGAGGGTCTTGAGCTAGTTCATCTCCTCACAAGATAGAGGTCTTACATAACAGCGAATATGATATAGGTCTTGTACCCGATGCTATTGAATGCGACGGGAGTAATCATGACGACCATGAAATTAAAAATCCAATTGGCACTGGAGAACAATAGTTAGGCAGTGTTTTAAGAGGACTAGCGCTTAGCTTGCGGCCTACCTTGTGGCTAATGCATTGGTGGGGGCACGGATGCGCAGAGGTACAATCTCTGCTGGGTACAACCAGGTCATTCCGAGCCAACCTATAGCAAAGAATGTGTTGAATACGAATAAAAATACAGCTTGTCCAATACCTGCTTGCTGATCACCAAGCACGGTCAGGCGATAGTTGGTACCCGCAAGGACAGCCATGGAGAGTGCCATGCCAGCGGCCTGGTTATACCGTTAGCCAAGAGTCTTCAATATTAAGATGAGAGTTGAAAAAGTACCCCGAAAAGCATAAGCGGGCGTCGTCCAACTTTTTCAATAATGAAGATTGGGATGAATGCGGCCATCAGATACTCTGTGCCGTTACAAGCGGCTAACAACTTGGGAAGGTTACCTTCACCGAGACCAATATCCCTATAAAGCGATGGTGCCTAGAAAATCCGAGTTAGAGGACAACAGAAGCTCTCGGTCTGTGAAGAAGTCTCTCACATAGTAAGTAATGAGGTTGATTCCAGATATTTGTTGGAACATTTGGTTGATGTACGCGAGGGCCACTCGGTGGAACTCTCTATATTCACTCATATCAAAAAGACTTCTATACGAGCCCTTAGACATTTCTGTGACAGTTTCCTGGATGGCTAAAAGTTCGTTCTGAATGTAAGGATCATCGCGAGATCGTTCGTTAAGACATTCAAGGATCTCCAGAGCGTCGTCGTTTCGGCCTTGCATCACAAGCCACCGTGGCGACTCAGGCAAATTAAGAATCGACGTGAAGATCACGATAGCAAAGAGAATTTGAAAGGCCAGCGGAAATCGCCAGGCTACTTCACTTTCCCCGATGAATGAGAATCCTGCTCTCTGGAAATCAGATCTCACAGCCTAATATATATCCAGGGATTGCTTCAGTTACCGTAATTGATCCAATAACTCAGAGTAATGCCCGCGGTAATGAGCATTCCTTCAATCATAACCATTTTACCGCGATCGTGAGATTTTGCAGACTCTGACTGCCATGTTGGGACAGTACTTGTATTCATTCCATTCCCCACGCCCGTTATAATGCGCCCAATAATGAAATGAGGAAGATGGAAAGCGGTGGCTTGTAGAAGAGCACCTGTAGTCATGATTATACAGCCACAGAAGATTGTCTTTCTCCGGCCGAGTGGATTCCCGATGAATACCGTTAAAATAGCACCAAAGAAGCAGCCTAGATTATATGACGCGACTGATATTCCTTGATTCAGACTGCGCTGCGATTTGATAGCTGGGTATTGTTGTATTTCTGGATCCGCGGTATCAATATCGGGAAAATACTTGGTGAATGATGGAAGATCAAGCAGCCCCCCGGTCACACCTTGGTCGTATCCAAAAAGCCTTGTCATAGTCAGTCACTTTTAAAAAGGTTTAGCAGTCAGATTTGGGGAGATTATACAAGAAATCAAGGCTTCCTAATGAGCTAATTGCCAAGTTGAGGCTTCTACCCCTCCAGCCGAAAAACTTCGGAATCACAAACATCGTGTTCAGAAAGTACAGATTGCGGAGAGAATGACGAGTGAAATTCACAGTTTATAAAGAGTTCACTCCCCAGGCTCGCGCCCGGAACGACAAATGCGGTATTCCGAGAGAAATAAATAATCATGGCGCATTGACATGGCCAAGATACGGGGAAGAAAGCGGGAGTGCGTAGCAGGATTGGAAGTGCCACTGATGTATAATTTGGGGGCGGTTGCGCGGACTGATTCTTGCTGAATAAGAGGTCGGTTTCCGTCCGAGGCGAATCATGCGTCTTTGTTGCCTACATATAAGACCCTTGGCAACCAGACCGGACTTCCGCGGTGGTATAGCATCCCTTGGCGGCGGCATGGCACAACTTGGCAGTCTTCTCCGCAAGCATTTGCCAAAATAACATGATACTACCCTCATTCAGTTCCGAGTTCGGCTGGCTTCGGCCTCTTGAATGTAGGAGTACGGCCATGTAAGTGTAAGTCCACCAAGAAAGATCAATAAACCTATGACCTGATTTGAAGTCACCCACAGACTGTTTGCGATATGGGGACCTGCTGATGGGAAAAAGAAGTTTTGTTATGAATCCAAGGAGCTTTTTATACACCTTCCGAGTTGACACAAAAACCGCTAGGTCAGTTCCTTTGCGTGTGGCTCTTAGGACACTTAAGCCAAGAGCGCCACACGGCTTGGAGGTTTTGATGATGGATATTCAACCGGTCTTCCACGGTCTCCTCCGAATTTTCGAAAGCAGTGAAACCCGCGTTAGCCTCTAGCCACCAATCAAGAGGAGTAGCCATGCCCTCCAAGAAACTACCAGCAATTGATAGGCATCATCTAACCAAACGCGCGACTGGCGAGGCTTCGGAGAACAAAATATCGTATCATTCACAGCCAGCCCGATCAATAATAACAACTTACTAGAGCTTAGTTTCAGTTTGATCTATTGAATTGTGCTGATAATTCCGGCTCTCAATCACTCTAATATCTGACATGTCAAGTGTACAAAGCTTGAGTAAAGAAAATTAGTAGTAAAGTGCATATAGTAATCAAGTGAATAAACATGTCATTAGTGCCTCATTTTGTCTCAAATTCACTACATTAGTAGAACCATCGGAAGGTTTCACATGCAGGTCCATCCTGCAGGTACTCGGTCGGAATATTCTTCGCCTTAAGATGAACCCCTTGTGCTCGGTCTCTCTTCTGATTATCTGTCATCATCCAAACTCCGAGGCAAAGTGTCAGAACAATACCAGCACCACCAAATGAGGCTGTAGTGATCAAGGCAGGGAGATAAGTTGGTGCATCCTGGTTGCGGAAAATGTTGGAGCTGACCACTCCCATCAAGTTGGCTAAAGGCACAGCAATGCTCGTTAGAACGACACGTCGACCTTCATTCGCGATATTGTTGTTGTACCAAGTATCAAGAAGAACAGAAGGCGCAGAAGTTCCCCTGGAATAGTGTAAGCGAAATCTCTCGGTCAAACGGAACGGTACTGACCAAGTCATCAAAAATGAGGCGAAATATGCAAGGCTAAGATCTTGCTGGACGTCGATGGTTGCGTAGATTATGAATCCAACAAACGTGAACAAAAATCCCAACGCAATGAAAGGAAATCTCCACCGCGTCCAATCACTGCCAAATGCCAATATAAGCAGCACCGCAGCACCTGAAATGTTGGGCGCCACAGTGTACAAGTTGGTCTTCACTGTGCTATATCCGAGACGCTTGATGATAACGGGAAGAAATAGCTGTACCGATTGCAGTGGCACACCCAGGCAAACTTGGATGGCTAGAATTGCCCAGCTAGTCCAGTGTTTGAAAACGCGGAAAGCATCCCGAATATCCAGCTTTTCGTTTACCACGGAGGAACTATCGATTTGCAATCGAAGGTAAGCCAGCTCTTTCTCTGCCGGAGTCAGGAAGGCAGCCTCCGAAGCCGAACGAGGCAAATACCACAATGCAAAAAGCGCGAAGAGAATCGTTCCGCCACCTTCGATTAGGAACAGATATCGCCAAGGGGCCAGTGGGCCTGATTCGATTTGGAAAACTCCGAAAGCGAGTAATCCAGAAAATGCGGAGGCAATGGTTTGTGCTGCGTAGAAAATCGCGAGTCGGCGGGCTAGTTCACCTCGGCGATAGAAGCTGTCCATGAATTAATATGGCTTCAGTAGAACAACGGAGAGCGAATATACGTTGTTTGGTAGTAAATGACTAATGGGAAGAAGGCACTTTCTGCCATCCCCAGGAACCATCGAATGGCGAAAAGGCCACTAAAGTTGAACACAGCAACAACCAGAATGGTGAAAGTGCCAAAGGCAAGCATCATGCACGGTAGCACAATGTTGGGCCCATATCGTTTCCCAAGAAGACCCAAGAATGGAGCAGTCAAGACATATGGCACGAAGAATATGCTCAAAATTAGATTGTACTGATTCCCTTTCAAGGAAAGTGTGTCTGTGGTTTTACTTTTGATCAACATCCACACCCTCGCTCGTCTTCAGGGCTGACAAACCTTCCAGTCCAGCGGTTTTTGCGTTTCCTAGATTGGATTTGTCCAAGCTGTTAAATAGGTACATGATGGCAAGGACCGGAAGAAGACGAAGATCGAACTTCCAGACCAAGGCGCGCTCTGCCCGGGCATCGATATTGGCACTTGCAATCGTTGGTGCCTCCTTTGAGATGGAGGGAGGTCCCGAGCCAACCACTGTGCTCGGCATGGTTTCAAGTGCCGCCATGATTGTGCTTTACCCATATTCATTCCCAGAAGAATCGAGTCTATATAATAACCAAGTCAGATGCACCGAGGAAGAGAACCTAAAAGATAAGGCTAATAACGTTTAAGCAGTTGGCAGTCTTGGCAGATAAGCCCCGGCCAATCAAGCGCCGCCAATGCCAGATTCGGGGAAATTCGGTGGGGTCCCGGCTAAGCCAAACCTCGAATCTCCTATCTGAGGCCCGGGGGATCGGCAATCGGAGCAGGGGCGGAGTGAATGAGTCTCCCTAATGACACACAGCCCGTGTGCCTACGATAGGAACTGAACTCTCACCAATTACATGCAAAGTATACCGCTATTCCGAGACACTCCGTCAAGTGGGAATAGTGGCATCGTGGTTATTATCAATCCCTATTTGCACATCATAACAGTATTTACGACTTCTTCCAATAAACAACACGCCGGGGGCCTGACGTTCCGAACAGCGAGTGGAAACTGGTCTTCGCTTTGGAACTCCAATTATTCTAGTCGAGAAACCCCTGCACCTCGTTGTTTGTTACAACACTGGGGACTTTTGGGGAAAAGAGAAAAACGAAAAGGCGAAGTCCATGATCGAGTAGCAGTACTGTACATATCGGAGACAGAATCTAGATCTATGCCTTTGTCAAAAAACAAACAGGATTGTCAAAGAAATGCTTGATCGTACTTCAAGTGATCACTCCGCTGGTCTCGGTTAAATTTGACGCTATCCACAATGTATTGAGATTCCGTATGAATGATTCGGAAATCACTTCTGCGGTTGAAGGGAGAAAGAAATACATTTTGCAAATACTTGAATCACTCTGTAGACTAACTTATTTAATAGCCGAGTGTCTATGGAAAAACATGTTCATGCGGTGTTTTGCAGGACCCCGCGCGATCGCAGGGGACACTAGGGCCACCAGGTCCGGAATTCCACCGAATTAGAAGCTGGGATTATGCCCCCACGGTCCCAACCCTGCAGGTTGGGGAGAATCCCCAATGATGAAGATAATTGCTAATGATTGTCTCAATGACGCAGCCTCTGAGCTCATCCCAAATTTGGAGGAAAGGATCGACATCAATGTTCCGTCCCACTACCTGCACGACTCTTCGACCACTTGGCGCTTGCAGCCCTGTCGTTGCAAAGCATAAGAGCACGCAAATAGCGCAACTGACCGGACATTGTTGAACCTAAGGGATATAATGTTTGAATACCTCGTCCTCAGAGAGCGATATTGGATACCGAATCCCAAATTGTCAGTAAACCACATGTACATGTGTGATGTTCTAAATATGACCGAGGCTCCGAGGTTTCACACTTGGGCATACCTCAAAAAGTAACAGATTATACCCATGTTTAACTTGCAGGCGATCGTCAGTTGCAGAGCCAGGATCATCCAGCATATGGACCCAGTTCCCCAACAATCTGGGGGACCGAGGCAGCGTTAGTAGATCCTAGTGAGGGGTTTCATGTGGATTGTGAATAATCATCTAGGGAGGCGCCCAAATTTATATCACCCCGCGAACTTCGCCTGAGGATCTTAGGATCCTGCTTTCCTATAGATACGAGAGCCTCCCATGATTCACGAACCCAATTCTACACAATCACTTATCGTCTTTATCCTTTGATTCCTCAACTTTATTGCATTACCGTGATGGCCGCCGATGGACCAAAACCTGGGTTCCTTGGGAACATCAATCAGGACCAGAAGGCCAAGCTGCAGAAGCTCTGGGCAGTTTTGCTCAAAGCTAGTGAGCCTTTCATAGACGGGGAAACATCCAATGGCTGCGTCGAAGAGCACCCCAGCTCTGCCCAGCCCCAGAGACGCCAATCCCTCCTCGGCCGCACACAAAGCAATGTTTCTGATAGGTCAACCACTGGCCCTACTACACCCTATGAGCAGAATATTTTGAAATATCTCGGTGAGATTGGAGCAGGGGTGCCCGAGTGTAAATCAATTCAGAAGGCACTCTCCCAGATTACGCCAATCGAGCTCCGCACAGGAGTGCTCGATACCCTAAAGCATGACGACCCGGATGCCATGCTGTTGCGATTTCTAAGAGCTCGAAAGTGGGACGTGACAAAGGCATTTGCCATGATGATGGACGCTATTGTATGGCGGGTAAAAGAAATGCGCGTGGATGATGATGTCATGGCTAAAGGGGAATTACATGCCCTCAGGCAAGCCCAAAATACATCAAGCACAAGCGATCAGAAAGCCGGAAAAGACTTCTTGTCACAAATGCGTATGGGAAAAAGCTATGTGCATGGCGTTGACAAGGTTGGCCGCCCGATTGTGGTAGTGAGAGTTCGCCTGCACAAGCCAGGAGCTCAAACCGAAGAGTCATTAGAGCGCTATATTGTGCATGTTATCGAGTCAGTGCGGCTGACCTTGTCTCCTCCAGTCGAAACTGCTGTAAGTTTTTAGCTAATCAGGATCTCGCACGCAAATGGCTATTCTGACGCTGCACCAGGCTGTGTTGTTTGATATGACCAACTTTGGATTATCGAACATGGTAAGTCAGATAATTTGGAAAAAAAATAATTTGTGCTTCAAAAGCTTACCAAGTTTCCTGGTAGGAATATCCGCCAGTCAAGTTCATCTTGAAGTGTTTTGAGGCGAACTACCCCGAGTCATTGGGTATCATGCTCATCCACAAAGCCCCCTGGGTGTTTTCGGGTTTGTCTTTCTTCTTCTTCGTTTTTTCTCTCTCCTCCTCCTTCTCTTTTTGCTTTCCACTCCGAGATCAATACTAACCCGTTGAGTTTATTAGGCATATGGAAACTTATCCGAGGATGGATGGATCCTGAGATTGCTGCCAAGGTCCAATTCACAAATAGTGTTGCCGATCTTGAGAAATTTATTCCTCGTGATCAGATTGTGGAAGAGATGGGTGGCGACGAGAAGTGGTCTTACGAATATGTCGAGCCCGACGTCCATGAAAATGATCGGATGAACGATACCACGACCCGTGATGCCCTGAAAGCGGAGCGCGAAGCCATTGGGGAAGAATTTCTCTCCGCGACCTCGGGATGGATCGATGCCTGCAAATTAAAAGACACCAGCAAAGTTCAAGCCAGTGAAAGTGAGAGAGCTTATTTAGTGGAAAGATTGAGAGTCAATCACTGGAAGCTTGACCCTTACGTTCGAGCTCGTCTTTGCCTGGACCGAACGAGAGTTATCCAGGACGGTGGGAATATTGACTTCTATCCTAAACACGTCCCTGTCGAAATTCAGGTTGCTGAAACAACGAAGATGTCGGAAGTGCAACACCTAGAGAGGGTAAACCAGAGTGCTGCGCAAACCGCTGTTTCTTAAATGTTCAGTTAATGCGTTCCCGGTGTCGTGTCAATTACACTTTATATACTCAGTTTCATTTTATTACTGCCTATTGATGCAATCCTGTGCTTCCTAGTTCCCTATTATGCCAATTCACCTTCTGTTTTCTGTGATTTGGTCTTCGTGTTTGACGTTGAATATACGAAGCAGGAAGTCTCACGCATTGTTAGAGCCGAACCTGCTCTTGGTATAACTTTGTGAGGTTTATCTCCAGGACCTATGAAACAACATCAAGAGCTGTCCTCCCTGAAATTCACTTGTTTTTCACTAGATCCAGTTCAATCCTCAAATCATGATAGGTCAAACTTGCAGAGTCGCCAATTCAATCCGTACTTAGCCCCAAGCCTACTTTCGGGACATCGTGGAGACCATCGCTATGTATTCGTGAGTAACCTTTCATTGATTGTGGTGAAACACAGTTCTCACCATATCTGGTTTGCCTCAAATCGAGTTCCTCTAAGCCCACATTTGCCTTTCTGTCTGACTCCTCTTCTATGCTGGACTTGCGCAGGGCGATTGTTGAGTCTGAATCGCTTGTCTCAACTTCCTGTCTGCCCTATATTCCGTTTTATTTAGCATCAGCGAAAAAAGCGAAAGCCATCTGAGATTATTAACATACCTTCAGTCTCTCAAATCTTATTCGTACCTTGTCCAGGAACGTGGGTGAGTTCATCGTGCCAAATTTGGAGAGATGCATCACAAGCGTGGTGTATGTGTAAAGCTTTTCGGCTCTGCCTTTTCCCAGTAAAAACAGGCCAGGAGAAGATAGGTTGATAACTTCTCACTTTGGGAACATTGAATGTCCATTTATATCTGTTTTTGATCCGTTTCTCCCAATTCTATTCCATTCATGGCCCCGGTGCTCGGAGCTCGGAGTATCAGATTGCAATAGCCACTTCTCAATCTGTTTTACCATGCTGAGACATGAATAACTGCACGCCGAATAAGTAATCTTGGTCACCGAATGAGTATATCCCGCAATATTCTAGGACTGCAAATTGTCGCTTCATGAATGCAATTGGATTGAGGAATGGATAGTAATTATAACTGGTCTACTGCCTTCATAGCTACCAGTCTTAACATTAAATATGTAGCCTTTTATAAACCACCCATCGCCTACTGAGTAACGACTGGGCCTGCACATGTACCCAAGTGAGCACAAAGACCGGGTTAGTAAGCATGTTCCGTGCGAGCTCTGAGCTCCGAGCCCCGAGCCCCGAACCACAACGCCTCTACCTTCGCTTGTCATGAGAGTGTAAAAGGCATCTCCTGAAATGGCAACCCCTCATCGTAATGGTCAGCTATCATCTTGTGAGCCGTGCCGGACATCGAAGTTGCGATGCGACCACCCAAGTCCTGTCTGTGGACGTTGTTTACGTCGCGGTCTTCATCGCCGTTGTGTCAGACATCCCATCCAGCATCTGTGACAAATAGATCCTCCGCTACATACAGAAGACCAAAAAGAGTCTGTGTAGCCCACAGAAAATATATCCAAAATCTATCAACCTCATTTCCAAATGAAAAGATAGCTGGACTCGAAAAAGAGGCATATGTCTCTGCCCCAGGGTTTCTAGGTCGATGTAGATATTCTGATGTGTTCTCAGACACTTGACGCGGTCTTCCTAATCACGCTTTGTCACTCGTAAACTATGATAGATACGAGACGACTAAACTTCGGTGTTCAGGTGCTAGCGCTCCCAGAGGATGGAGGAAATGTGGAATGATTCGGCCGTCATGGACCGCTCTCAACCGACTCTCCGGAGGTAAAAGGCGGTGGGCTAGGCGGTAAATCTTCGCGGGCAAAATTCGGTCTTGCCAGCTGCGCTTGAGGTCACTACCGTCACCCGGACTTGGTTCCTCGGGCGTCATCCCGAGCTTGTCCGCCTCGAAGAACTTCCATATTGCTATCATGCACGGTCAGTCTTCTCTATCTCAAGACAGAGTGAAGCGTCGGAAGATCGCTGTCGCATGTGACGATTGTCGTACCAGGAAAACCCGTTGTGATGGGGTGCAACCCGGTATGTTGCTAATGCCACCCGGAATACGATCCGCGCTGATTTTATGCAGTATGTGGGCCATGCAGCAAGAGAATCGATCGCGGAATTCACTGCATCTATACCGGAGAGTTGGAAAAGAAACGAGCGAGACAAACGCAAGCTTTGACGCATTTCTATTGTGTAACCAAATATGAACTGATATTGGGTTGTTCGATGTAGTTATATCTCCAATCTAGAATCCCGCATCAAAGAACTGGAAAGCCCCCGAGGCTCGGAAAAGACCCAGGATTCAAGCTACCCACCGGTCCGCGCATTTCCAAAAAAATTTCATGTACAACTAATTGATTCATACCAGCGGGCCAATCCCCCGACACCGAGTCCTGGCGCCGGACAGTCCAATGTATCGCGGAGTCATGAAAGCAACATTCACAATGAGCGTAACATGTCGACTCCTATTGCTGACGGTGATGGTGTCAATGCCATGGTGGGTTCTGTCGAGGAAGAGCGTGCTAGCCAAGGCTTTTTTGGAAGTTCTAGCGCAGCAGGATTCATGCGCCAAATCAAAACTGCAGTTGACAAGAGAGTATTGTCTCCCAATCAGGGATCTTTACAGCGCCATACAGTCATTCCATCAAGCACCATTTCAAGAAGAACCGAGCAACCACAATGCTCAGGGGCAAACTATGTGTTACCACCAAGAAAAATGGCAGACAACCTTATGCAGGTGTACTGGGATTATGTCTTTCCATTATACCCCTTTCTGATCCCCAACGAAACGAAGGAAGAGTATCAAAAGATTTGGAGGGGTGATAGTCCCGAGGATGATGAAAACATGCTAATGTGCACTCTAAATGTTGTTTTCGCTCTGGCCAGTCAGTTGGCTGATTTCGTCCCTCCGACAGAGCGAGAAACATCGGCAGATGTTTTCTTCTCCCGGGCTAAGGGCCTATTTCAATTTAACTTGTGGGACACTGGATCCACGGGTATGATCCAATGCTTGCTGCTTATGGCTCAATATTTGCAAAGCACTGATTCTGCACACCAATGCTGGATTGTCACTGGGCTTGCGATTCGCAACGCGCAAAGCTTAGGACTGCATCTTCCTCAAACTATTAACCGCCTCAAAACCTTTCGAGAACGGCAATTGGCGCGCAAAATATGGCACGGGTGTATTTTGATGGATAGGTAAGTAATATCTCATTCACACTCGATGATTATCAGATTTTGCGCTAGTCCTAACTGTGGCTTCTTCTAGGGTCATATCTATGACATTTGGCCGTCCTGCCATGATCTCGAAGACCTCCAGTGGTGCAGTCCCTCTTCCAGCTGCCGTGGATGAAGAATACATCCCCCCTGGATCAAATGTGGAAGTATCCCAGCCATCGAACCTCCCCTCCCTCATGACATTCTTTGGAAAGACACTGGAGCTTTACGAGATCATGAATGACGTTTTATTAAGTCTTTATAAGCCTTTGACAGATGAAGGCTCAGATGATATACATGATTTCTATTTCAACAACCTTGCCAGTGAAAGTGATAGAACCATCTTCGAGCTCGATCGTTCTCTAATGCGATGGACAAGAAGCCTTCCTCCTCATTTGTGTCGAGGTTCCTCTTTACATCCCGAAAATCCCATTTTCTGCCGCCAAAGCATTGTCTTACGCGCAAGGTCGGAGAATACCTTCACTGCCTTCCCAGAACCCTCTGCTGACTGGTTGCTGTAGGTTTTTACACGTTCGTATGTTGCTTTTTCGACCGACTTTGTCCAAATATTGTGCCGTCCGAGACAGCTCATCGCCCGATCCGTTGATATCAATGGACGACTCGCTCCCCCACCGTGTCGCGCTTCAGTGCTCTATAATATGTGTCAAGGCCGCACAGGAATCAATCAAGCTGATCTACAATAACGTTCCTGTAGATGGAACCGGTGGCCCGCTTCCAGCCTGGTGGTACAACATTCTCTGTTCGTATGAGTATTTTCCACTCTTTCTCATTCTATCCTAACTTCCATAGATGTTTATACATCTGCTACAGTCTTAATTGCTGCTCGCCTGTGCTCTTCTATTGTTGCTGAAGTGACAGAAGATTCTGTTACACGGTCCTGGAACTGTGCACTTGAAATTCTACGCAAGTATGAAGAATATAGCACGTCTGCTCGACGCTGTGTTGCTGCTCTTGAGATTCTCTATGAACAAGTTGTGTCCGAGGGACTGCAACCTGCCAGCCAAACACCTCGTCCAGAATTATCGATTGACTCGGCGACTACATTGCATGAGATGTCATTTGGAGAAGGCATGAATGCAGCCTTCTTGGACAGCTTTGAGCCTCCTGACCTCCAAGATATGTCTTGGTTGAACAGCGTCCCGAGTAATCTTTTTTAGTGTCTCGGACCACAAGTTGCAAATGAACAGGAAATACTATGTACACAAGTCTCTCATTGACGTTATCTTCGCTCCTTGACGAAATATCTAGAAGCCCTCATCTACGTTGTACCATTAGCCGCCCCTCAGAAAATCGATGTAGCAGCGTACAAAGCCTGTCCAGTACGTCGCTCAGCATGTCGTTCCTCTCGTCACAGTGATATGGAGTGACTCGCCTGCCGGCCTGGCCATGATCTCCATCTCTCCCGTATGATAGCCTGCTGGAAGCTCGCAGAAGTCGAGCCGGCTTTGGCTTCCATTGAAACTTGTAGTAGGTCGATCATGGACTGCCAGATAGTGGGCCTTAAACCCGAATTGCGTCATGCGTGGGTCCACGATATTGCCGAACCCTGTCGTCTGATGTGGAAGACCTCTCGCATGCTGTTCTTGCACCACGCGTTCCGCAAGCTTGAAAAATATATCACCCTGATCGAAGGTGACTCTCACAGGCACAAAATGGACACACGGCCCTTGTTAAAAGTTACGATGCAAGTAGGGGAATGTTGACGACTGAGCGAAGGTACGATAACGTAATCGGTAAGCAAGCTGGCCATGTAAGCGAGCTGGCCACCCAGCCAAAACGCGTCAATTAATTAGACCCCTCTCAATTCAACCACCCACCATGCCACCAATTCGTACTCAATCGTCTCAAAAACGTACGGAGCAAGATGGTAGAATCTCATTCGCTATTCAAGCTATTCAGAAGCAAGAAATCACTTCAATTCGTGAAGCAGCGCGCCAATTTAACGTACCGCGTTCAACTCTTGCAACACGCCTAAATGGGGTTCAAAACCGCGCTTTTTCTCGCGCAAAGAACCTTAAATTGACGGAAATCGAAGAGGAATCACTCCAGAAATGGATTATCTCTATGAATTCACGCGGAGCAGCCCCTCGGCCCTCTACTGTTAGAGAAATGGCAAATCTACTACTTACGGCGCGTGGATCTAACCTACCTCTTTTGGTCGGCGAGAAATGGGTTTATAACTTCGTTAAACGGTATCCTCTTCTTTCCTCCCGTTTCTCGAGACGCTACGATTATCAGCGAGCTAAATGCGAAGACCCGAAGGCTATTTCTGAATGGTTTTCTCTCGTTCAAAAGACAATCTTAACGTACGGTATCGATCCTGACGATATCTATAACTTTGATGAGACCGGTTTTGCAATGGGCTTGATTGCGACTGTAAAGGTTGTTACGAGAAAGGAATTCTACGGTCGGAGATCACTTTTACAGCCTAGAGACCGTACGTGGGTGACTACTATTGAGTGTATAAACGCGTTGGGGTGGGCGCTTCCGCCCTACGTGATTTTTAAAGGTAAAGTCTTTATCGAATCTTGGTTCGACGGCCTTCCGAATGATTGGAGACTCGAACTTAGTCCGAATGGATAGACGTCTGATGAAATTGGACTTCAATGGCTTAAAAAGCTCTTTATTCCGTCTACTTCTTCGCGTACGAAAGGGAAGTATAGACTGTTGATACTTGATGGCCACGGGAGTCATTTAACTCCACAATTTGACAAAACTTGCGAGGATAACAATATTATCGCAATTTGTATACCTCCGTATTCGTCCCATCTTTTACAGCCTCTTGATATTGGCTGTTTTGCGGTGTTAAAACGCGCGTATAGTCGGCTTATTGAGTCAAAAATACGGGTCGGAAAAAATCATATTGATAAACTAGACTTCCTCGAAGCCTATCCGACTGCACGAATTAAGACGTTTAAACCGGAGACTATTAAGAATAGCTTTGCCGCCGCTGGTTTAGTGCCTTATAACCCTGATCGGGTACTCTCGAAGCTTGATACTTGCCTTCGTACGCCGACCCCCCCCTCGAGCCGAGACAGCGAGTGGGAGCCAAAAACGCCCTCGAACTATATCCAATTATAAAAACAGGCTTCCTCGATAAAAGCATTATTAAAGCAACGCTCAAAAAGCCCTCTGAGTCCGCTAAATTCTGCGATAAACCAGATTTTGAAAGCCTGTCAAATCTCAATGCAATCGGCAGCTCTCCTTCAGAAAGAAGTAAGCGATTCACGCGCTAAAAATGAGAAGAAGAAGCGGAAAAAGACTAGATCTATAAGGCAGATAGCTTCTTAGGAAGGTCTTACAGTTCTAGAGGCCTCTACCCTAATATCGCAGCCGGAGCAGGCGAATTTAGCGCAAGTATCCCGCGAAGCAAACCAGGTTCCGGCACCTTTACAGCCACGTACGAGGGCCTTACCGAAGTGTGGAGAATGTGGAAATCTAGATCATAAGAGAAACGCCTGTCCTTATAGGTCTCAAGTTTAGCTTATTGAATTGAATGGCGTTCTGGTTAAGATATATAAGTTTAAAATTGATGGGTTTAGATGGGTGGCCAGCTCGCTTACATGGCCAGCTTGCTTACCGATTACGTTAGTCAAGGGAAAATCCTAGCCTGCAGTCTGCCAGACTGCACCCCGTGGGATAGGGTCACATGAGAGTCTATTTTGAGGTAAAATAGCGAGATTTATGCTAGTGTGGATAGTAATGAGACATCCAAGGATATCTTGCGGATGCGGATGGGAAACGGCATCCGGGTTTGCGGATTTGCCGCAGTCTAATCGTGCGTATTGCTGCCTTAGTATTCCACTCGATTCCTATATAAATGCGAAAATTCGTCTATTCACCCTTGACCTTCTGCACATTATACACCCAAACATAGCAAAACGGATATATCGTCTCCGGAAGCAAAGTCAAGACCATAGTGGCAATACTCCATGGCGAGGCAACATATTCCCAATTCTGGGGCACATTCAAGTATCGCCAGAGAAACACCCCGTAGGCTAGATAGCAGCCTAAATATCGAGTTATCCTGCATCTATTGGCTATACCTTGACGCTGTGGTAAACCAAAAGTGAAACCCACCACATCTCCAACGAATGCCCCCTCGTCCCCTCCTCCGCATACAACGAATGCAAACAGACCCAGCCGATGGGAAGTTGAAGGAGAATACCCGTCCAGTACGCTGTGACTTGTTCGCGATCATCTGGGTAGAGGGTCGTTAGCCATTTCAAGCCGGCTATACCCAGGAGGAGACCGATGAGCATGTTCCGAATCAGTCGGGGTCGGTGCTCTGCGCGATGGACGTGCTTAAGGATGACTGCGACGTAGCCAAAGTCGTGGATGAACCAGGCGAGAAAGCCTACTCGCTCTACGGTTGTAGATGTGGTGGTGAAGGCGAAGAAGAATTCGTAGGCCATTGTTAGGCATCTGGTTGGGTTGTTAGTGGGTGTTATACGATGCGATTAACATATGGGGGTGGGCATTACAGATACTGGACACTGCCATAGCTCGACCCAGGGACTCGCTGGTCTTTATATGCGCGGAATGTGCAGAATAAATAGCACAGAACGTAGAGAAAGCCGCAGGAAATAATCAGCCCATCTTGAACGTAGAGATAGCTCTCTGGTGGATTCAGTCGCAGGTCTGCGGGTTGTATAATCAGATGCTGGACTTTATTCGCTAACTCGAAATCAAACATTTGAACTGTACAGAGTATATTTTATCTTGCGACTCTCACCTTGCGATACATTGTCGTTCTTAGATTTTATAAGCGCCGGCAGCACCTAAGTCTACGTCAGCTGGCAGAGCGGGTGGGGCTAGCGCTCGGACTAATGACATCATCAACGTTAATGCTTTTCGAAAGGTACCTATGAGTACATTCAGGCTGAGCGTCAGCAAGGTTGCGAATGAGATCCTCGATATGTGGAAAATCCTAAGGGAAAGTGGAAGTGGAATGAAATCCTTCAAAAAGCAGTGGGACAAACACCAACCAGAGGCACGGAAGAGTTGGCTTCAACAATTCACCGAACTCCACAGATGTCCAGGCCTGGCTATTCACATGCTGGCGCGGTATCCGAACGAGCGTTTAGACAAAGAAGCGTTTCTGACACCTCTGCTCAACGTGGAGGATCTGGCTGAAGCAAATGTTTTTTCAGATGTGTTACAAATTCGGTCATCCATACATCCGAAGATGTTCTTATTTTCAGATACCCGCCTTGTTGAGCTTGGATATTGGTGCAAATCAATTACGCAGATGCAAATTGAAGGAAGAATGTTGTTTTATTCATAAATTGGTATCGACGAGGGAGATTCCCTGTACGGGATACAATTTGAACCTGACGCCTTCAAAAAGTCACACCTTACTAATCCAGCTATCGGCTGCTTACATCAACTCATAGCGCAAAAGAAAACGTAACGTAATTCCCATACGAGCTGGGCACCTAGCCGAGCTGGACACCCAAAACACCATAGTAAATGAGATAAATTAAAACATAGCATCAGCTATTCTGAATAGGAGCGCACCATATCTCTGTATAACTTGGGGCTGCAGTTTGGGCAAACCACGTAAAAGTTCTACCAGGTCACGATCCTATGGTTCTTGTGAGTTGACTTCACATCATTGAGTAAGCCATTCAAGTAGATTAGAGCTCGAAATTGTCATATTAAAAATATAGAGAGTATTTCAAGCCGTAGATGACCAACAGGAAAGAGACGAAGCATCTCTCGCGCCCAAAATAACCCAAGCAGTATACCACGTGATTTTTTACCGTGGCGCTAGACATGGAGGCGGCAACTTCATGTGGCAAGAGATGCATGATAAGTCTACCGTACGAAGAGCGAATTGAGACCTGTTAGGTTGCTTGGCTAGCCACTCAAACGCGAAGCCAGCATCCACCACATGACAGACTAGCTCTACAGCGCGACAAAAGTCAGCAGTCATCAACAGCCAATGCTGCCATATTGGTACGCTGTCATTACTGGTACGATCGACGTAACCGCTATTCGAAAAAAGAAAAGATCGACTGCCTTTTCGTGAAAAGGCAGTCGACCTTCCCTTTCTCGCATAGCGTACATGCAGCAACATGAGCGTTGATACAATGAAGGTCGTCGAGGAGTGTCTGATAAGAGGCATACTGTACACTGGTTACAAAAGTAAAATTGGACTATTTGATTCCTAGTATGCTTAGCTATTGTAAACGTAAAGAAGATAAGTGGAAAACGTGTTACTGCCCCGAGAGCGCTAGATCATTATCGATACTCACTATAAGCCTCGGGGCTTAATATGAATAGACAGCTATTCTCATCGGGATTTCTAGAGAAAGCATTCGGAATTTTTCTTCCCACAGAGCAAGGTAAAACATCCTCGAGCTTGGTAATAAGTCTTATACTGATGAATGTCTTACTAGTTTATCCAAGCAATTACTTGCTTTTCATCTGGACATCCAAGGCGAAAGAGGTTTGCAATGCCTTATTTTTTACAATAGCCACCTGACTAACATATAGTGTGGATTGAATAGTGGCCTAAAATGTGTAAGGAGATCACCTATAAGTGGGGATGTTCCAAAAGAAAAGGATGCCCCTACAAGGAGAAGTCGATACATCGATGTCTCCCACAGCTATATCGCGATACAGGTGAAATATGTGAAGAGGGAACCAAGCCCAAAGCAATGGAACTCGAAAGTGACTGCCCAAAGTGTCGCCCAGCCGCTCAGGAGAACAATCCTGGAATGAGAAATCATGGTAGCGATAAAGGAACCTGTTGAACCAGGAGGACGTATATTGACGTGCAAAAAATTTGAGATTCAGAGGCCCAATTTAATTCTCGGATAGTCGAATTCAATATTTAGGTCGTGATTTATGGTCAGATGACTGCCGGAGGCGTTGTGTCATGAGAAAGCCAAACAAAAATCGACTGGAAGCCGTCAAAGCCTTAGCATAGAATATTAAAATAGAGGGCCTACGGGCTCAGTCACGGATTCAATCCAAATCGACTCTCGACCTAATTCGGGTTTCGCAGAAAGCTCCAAAGAGAAGTTTTCCATCGGTTCGATGTTTCAACAGTCATTGACATTTCAGCAGCTGAATTTGAACCGCTGCAGCCATTGAAAAGGCTCAGAACAGCTGATCCTTAGGGACCATAGTTCAAGACAGGTGAGCTCTCTCAATTCAACCGCCGTTGTTCTTCGAATTGCTCGTATTAAAACGCTCCCTCATACGTCAACAAAGACCCATCAGTCCAACTCTACCAAGAGTACGCCCACAAGAGGTCTAGTCTGATTCATTCTTTTCCTCCACTATTTGGTCCACAATTGTGACTTCTCCATCGCTTACACTGTCTGATTCTTCATCGTCGTACAGGAGACAAGGCGCATAAACCATATCGCCATTCACAATAGCACTTATTTCGGCCTCCGCAGGGCTTGCGAAGAAGTGATGGTCACTGCGGAGTGTGAGACCCTGGCAGATGTATCCCATTGGCGTATGGGAAATATCTTGCCCCGGGCGACGTAAGTTCAGCCACTCCTGTAGGAAGGATAAAATACTTTCCACCTCGATTGAAGTGCTTTTCGGGAGTCGGTCACTTTCACTTGTGCGGCCAGAGCTAGCATGGATTCGATGCTGAAAATCTTGGCATTCCGCAAATGCCAAATAAAACCTCCCGGCTAAAATCCCAAGTTCGAATGGGAGCCAAGACGGTGGACTCCATTTGATAGGTAGACGAGGAAGTGAGTAGTAGTCTAGGCGGTTGAAATGAAGCATCCGTTTCGTGAAGGGCGCCGCATATAGGAGCAGGTGCGTAGGCGGGTCTGCCTGTTCGCGTAATATAGGAATGACCAACTCTGCTTCTTCTGGTATAATGACCAGGGCGACATCCGAACGCATGCTTAAAAGAACCCAGTTCACAGGACGCTGAAGAGTGTAATGTTAGTAAAAAGCGACGAAGCCTCTGCTGCTATCAGATGCTTGCAGTGGGCCCAGAGCTTACAATAAAGTTATCAGACTCATGTTCAGTACCCAGTCGAACAGTCCTAGCAAATTCAGGCGATAAGAAGACGTGGGATATCAATGAAAAGGTTTCAATCATCTGTTTCTTCCAGAGCCGAGTTGATGTTATGACAGTGCAAGCTTGCGGACAGACGTCGTCGCCACTGAGGAAGCCGGTTTCAACGAAATCTTGGATCACCTGATGCAATCCTGGAAACTCTAGAGCATGAATAAAACTTGGTCGCTGAAGCTCTCGTTCCTGCTCAACCTCATTGGCAACCTCGCGTTGTTGCTCTACTTCTTCCAATGCAGAAGGTAGCACAGACTCCCTGTCTGAGGTGGATGGATGGTACTTGTCCTCAAGGATGTCCACAAACCTTCTGAGCTTACCAAAAAGTTGAAGATTGCCCTCCAATTGAGATGCGATCTCATCACCTCTCAATATACGGGGTCCATACAGCTGCTCCAAGGTTCGCTGCTCTAGCTGCTGCAAGTACTTCAAATATGCTTTCCGGTGATCTATATTCGAGAGGAAGTCGTTAAAGGTCGCAGCGGCCTGCATTCGGTAACAAAAGTCATTACCCTGCCAAAGATACAGGGAATTTAACTGTCTGTTGGTGACACAAGTCTGATCAAGAAGCCAATTTATAACGTCAGCCGGATTCAGGTCTTCTCCTACTCTCTTGTCGCAAACGTCCTGGATACTCTGGTGGACCTCTGACGGAGCAAAAAACGTGACAGACTGGGTTGTGCTCAATTGTCGCAATCTCATCGCAGCTGCACAAGGAGTCAGTCATGTGTGTTAGATGGGTAATCATTAGATGTAGATGATACCTTGGACGGTATGATCCTTTGTCTGGTTCAGACTAAGCGTCAAAGCGCCCCTCGCGTCTTGTGGTAACTTGAGATCGGTACCCCGAGTATGAGCCTCATCTAAATACACTAGACAGTTCTTTATATTATCGGCGAAGGGGGTCGCAAGAAGAGGAATTGTCTTACCGGTCTGGTATTGTACCCATGGTTTGTTGTCTGCCCCAAAATACACCGCGGCCTACGCCTGGTCGTCTTCCTACAGCCATGTACGGACCAGGGTTTGATTGTCCATTTCGAGTATGAACGCACCGGCGTCAAGAAGAACGCGGATTTTGTTGTCTTTGAGACGGCGCAAAAGTCCTACTTCCGACAAACGCTTGCCGGCCAGGTCGATTGCTTGGATATACTGCCGATTTCTCGCATGCAAGAAGTAGGTGAGAACCTCGGCATTGGTATGCAATAGTGCAGGGAGATCATGCTGTTGCATTGTGAGGGGAAGTAGCCGGCGGTTATCATTTATACCGCTAAACCCAGTGGTGAGACCGGGACATTTGAACTCTCCCAGTTTTGACGAGATGGAGCGGGTCTAGAAGAGTGGAACATCCCATCCGGATGCTTAAAGCTTGACTTAGAATTGCTGCGCATGTGCTGGGAAAACGAAACGCCTGAGGTAGTGGTTTATGACCGTGGTAATCCAGCGTAAATGGCGCCAGATTTCACTTAATTGCTCTTTATCATCCATGTTGATAAGATTCCAATGGCGCAGACGATCAGGTAGAGTGACCGAGGACTGTATCCACCGATCATACTCCATAGCAGGATCATCGGAGCTCAACACAGCCTGCAGGCTCTGTCGAAGTTGGCCCTCGCTTAGACCCTGGTGGTAGAAAGCGAGGCAAGTCAATAGTATTGAAACATCTGGGTGACCCCATTCAGCTTGGTCTGAAGGCACCCCTTTGGCATGAAACAGAACCGCTATTGGATAGCGGTCCGGGTGAAGTCCATATTGAACATTCCATCTTTTCTTCAGGGCGAGAAGAAGAATGCCGTGGGCAAATAGCCCTCGTAGCAGATACACAATCTTTCGAACCTTGGGATTGTCCGGTATATCTTCGAAAAAGGATTTGACTGTCCGTGCTTCAACATCTTAGCAGGATATGATAGAGCGCAGGTTCTCGCGAGTTTGGCGCGGACAGACATGAGATAGGAGTATCCACGTCTGCCCGCTACAAGTTATTTCGACTAGCTTCCGAACCAGCTCAAGTTCAACATCAAGTTTGAGGAAATGGGCAATTAGGAACCCTTCATTCTTTCGCTCCACGATATCAACGCTTCTGGGAAAATTTCGAGCCAAACCTGGGAGTTCCCGCGCTACCAGGTTCAGGACTGTCATAATTACTTCCCAACGATCTGGATTTCCATCCAATGCGAGTTGTGAGCCACCTGGGTAAACCAACTAGGTTTTAACTGCTAAGGTGACGTCGCATTCATCAAGGACATCACGACAAACCCGATCCTTCCAGCGCTGAGCCTCAATCATGTAGGCAGCCTCAGTGAACTTGAAGTCTGAAAGTCGCTGGAGCCCACTAAGGCGGAAGGACAATATATTTTCAGGAATCTCCAGAATTACGCCTGCCCCATGAAGTATATCCTCATATAGCTTACGACATGCCTCGACGTGGCTTGGTGAAGTTGGTGTCCTCCGGGAAAAGGGAACGTGCGTGATCTCTTTGCTCAGCATCCCTCCTAGCCGGGCCTGGAGGACCTACGCTGTTTGTGATAACAGGGCCCGGGGAACAATGACCCTAGTCAGCATTTGGGTATCTGCCAATAAGCAGGCAACCATCGGTATAATCATTGAAGTTTTACCTTGGCCCATATTCATCTAAAGGACCGAGTTGGAGCCAGAACGGGGCGCAATTATCTCTTGAGCCACTATGACTTATTCAGGACGGATTTTCATGTTAGAGTCGATCTCTAATAGAAGCCAATCTGGGTATATAGAGGGACTCCAATTTCCACCTCTCCAGTTGGTGTACTCTTCACAAAGCTTTCCATTGTCCCGTTTCCCTAAGGCTTCCTTCATTCGAATCAATTGCTGCAACTTCACAACCTCCATCCCGTAGTCGAGTAGCGCGCCCTTCATGCCCGAGCCAAAGACACACTGAGATGTTGACCGAAGTTGCTCTAAAATAGACGTTGGCGTCAGCACAGGCCAAAGGTTGCCGGCCTCCAACCATGAATAGCCCAGTTCACCGCGCGCCAGTGATTCTGTAATTTGACAGAAGTGGCGGTCCACAGTCATACGAGCCCTCTTGATTTCGCCATTATACCACTTGACTTCTTCCACAAAATCAAGATCAAGCATTTTCACGGCCGCAACAGTCTTTGATTGCGCTCTCTTCAGAGCGGAGATGCTTTCTCTAAGATCGCCGCCGTACCTAGATCTGACTAGACAACTTGAAGGAACAAAACTCGATATGATGTGCTCCAACTCTGCAACCTCGGGTGTTGTATAAGTCTCCTGCTCTAGTGGAATCTGTGCCGGAACGGCCAACTTACCATCCATCCAACGTTCGAGAGAGCTGAGATCATAACGTAGCATCAGTCTAGAGCCGGGCTTCTGCAATAGCTGACTCGCATTGGGTATTGCGAAGTCCAGCATCGGTTGATCATCCTGTTCTTGATACGCTAAGAGGACGTGTTCAGGTGCCACGTCATTCACGTGTGCCCAATGGTCGTTAAGCACTGCCTGAACTTCTTTGATGTGATCCGACAACTGCAAGTTTTTGTACATCCGAATCCATTCCAATGAAATTGCCTCCATCGCCTTTTCGAGTTCTATATAGGTCAAATGAAAGCCATCAAGCGAGGGTGCAGAGCTCGGCCATTGCTTTACAAGGTGATTAGCAAACTCCTGGCACTCATGAGTACACGTAAGATCATATTGCTCTTTTGCATCTTTTTGCGCTTTCTTGGAAATGATCCTTGATCTCTTCCCTCGCAAACCTTGATAGGGCCTACAGAACGGTATGATATGAATCAAAATATTATCCGCGGACGGCTTTTCGCCCGCTCGAATGTTGGTAAAGGAGGAGAATGGAGGATAGGCAAGAACTTGGAGATCGTCTAAGAGAGCGAATGACACGATAGCTCTTAGTACTGTCATGTTGACTCCTTTCCCGAATGCCCTTAGACCTAGCTGGAACAAAATCTTTGCAATGTTGTCCGTTCGGCATTCCCGGCACAGCTAGACCAAGCTGCCCCATTCAAGAGCCAAATCAATGCTCAGGCACTCTTGTAGCGATCCTGATAGCGAGCTAGTATATCCGCCGATGATAGGCGAATTTCGTAATATTTTGATCAGATTTTCTATTGTTCGGAGCTTCGATGGTCGCCGGTGCAGCAAAAATACAATTTCGCGCACGTTGGAAGTACGTTTAGAGATACGCCAGCGATCCCGAGCAATGTACAGAGCATCCTGTGGGGGATCAAGGGATATATTGGGAGTCCCATTTCGCTCGAAAAGGGATCGTCGCCAACGGGACCGTTCCTGAAGATGAGACTCTGCAGATCGAGGGGCCACATTTGGATTGGCAGCATCAAAGTGGAATAGCGCAAGCTGTTCGGACTTAAATATAAGGCCACTTACCTCCGGCTCGTAGGAATCATTTTGAATAGATATGGTGAGGTCGGGATCCCAGTGTGCAGATTGCTGAAGCTTTTGGGTCTTTAGATAATACTCTCTCTGGGGAGTCAGACTCGAGATCTTGAGAAGTATATCGATAGTTCCAGCACTCAAAGGAGCCCAAGGTTTATAGAGCCCTGATTGTAGAGAACTGAGAGCCTCCTCGGTTCCTGTACGACCTGTAAGGGGATCTTGAATGAAACAGGAAGTGAAAGCATGTAATTGCGCTTTGTGGTAGAGAAGACGAGGCTGCGGTGGACTTATCAGCCGTCGAAGCACGTCATCGATTGAATATCTTGCATAGGATCCGGTGTTCTCGATAAATACGAGCACATGCATGTCATGGCGTTGGTACTGTATGTTACCCATGGTGGTGATTACACTTCTTTGCAATCGGTTGAATACGTTTCGAAGCACAATCATGCTCCGGAGCCTGTAGACAGTCCCTGGGTCCTGGTCTGGATCTACCTCTGCGAATAATTGTTGACACTGCAAGAGCCGTTTCCGGTTGACATGGAATGTGAGGTCCATGCGCTTTAACTCCACGCATAAGCTTCCATGGAAAGGTTGTATGACCGTTAACATATGGGGTTCTTCAAAGTGATGGAAAATTTGGGCCACAGTTTGGAATAGTCTGCTATGTGGGTCAACCAGAAAGGCTTGTCGATGTTGCGCTCTTCGACTGGTGAAGTCTAAGGTCGAACTACTCTTTTTCCAGATCCGTGGATGGCGGCGAATCTCCAGGATTTTGGAATCAATGTCAATCCAGTGAACACACCTCTCGGTCCAAGAACTAGGCAGATCCATCTGAAGGTCACTGCCAAATATCTGACGAGGAACAAGCTCTAGTACCCGGTCCAGCTTTAAGGCCCGGATCACCAGCTTACGCTGTCGGTACCCGAGGTGCACATGATGTCCTTCTTTCTTATTTGCAAGCATGTAGGTCATTCCGGGTAAGTTTGAGGGAAAGGCTACTAGCCTTTGGTTACCGAAAAGTTCGTTGAGTAGCTCGGAATCCCGTATTTCAGCCGGGAGCTTACCAAAAGCCTGCCCGTTAACAAGCAGATGGCCCTATCCCACGGGGGGTGGTGCAGTCAGCCTGACTGCAGGTGAGGGTTTTTCCTTAACTATGGGAGAAAAAGCTTGGCACGAGGCTGACTGCAAGTAAACTTTCTCGACCTGACTGCAGCTGCTTTTCTCGCTCCGATCGGGCTGAAAATTTAGGAAGTTATAAAAGACGTAGTTAAATACCCCCCATTTCACTTTTAGATCACGTAGTCAAATAGTTCTTAAGTAATTCGCGATTGAAAATCGGAGATAGTTTTGATGGGGTGCCGCCAACTAGGCTACTTAGGGTTGCGACCGGAGCCTAAGGCGTCACTTAGGGTTTTCGACGAATTGTATGACCTATCCCACGGGGGGTGGTGCAGTCTGGCAGACTACAGGTTAGGGTTTTTCCTTAACTATGGGAGCAAAAGCTTGGCGTTACCCAGACTGCAGGTTCTTTTTCGACGCCAGACTGCAGGTTTAATTTGACGTCCGATCAATCTGAAAACTTGGGAAGTTATAATGGACGTAGTAAAATATCCCCCATTTCAATTTTAGATTACGCAGTCATATAGTTAGTGAGTAATTCGTGGTTGAAAATCGGAGATCGTTTTGATGGGGTGCGGCCAACAAGGCTAGTTGGGGTTGCGACCGGAGCCTGAGGCGTCATATTAGGGTTTTAGACGAATTGCATAACCTCGATTATCTAGTCTACAAGGATTAGGAGGGGTAGGGAATAATTTAGGGGGTTTATACGATTCCTATTCATTCTTAAAACCACTTATAACCTTATTCACCCCGTGTTCAATATTAAGCATTCACTTCAATCCACTTCATTCTTCCACTTACGAGATATATATCTCCTATCAGCAAGAGAATATCAACTTTTTTACCTAGCATCTATTAAAAGGCTACGATGCAAGTAGGAATGATGACTGGTACGACCTATAACTATTCTACGTTGAACTACAGTGTAATTCTGAACCCCTCCATAGTTAAGAGAGCGGGAGCTAGGCTGAAAACCGACTAGCGTACACTGTTATTCAGGAAAACGGACACTGTTATTCAGAACTCTCCTCCTATCACTCACATACTATTTTTACTTTCTGAAGGCTGCATGGAAATCACAACAATCTTAATTCTAACTCTGCAAGTTTTGCAATCGCCGTATTCAAATTTGAGTGGTTTTATTCAAGACTGCTATTTCCGACTGTAGAATGTCTAGCCTTCCGACTATACTTACAACCACCCAACTCAAATATATTTCTGACCACAATCCAAGTAGAATACTAAGGAATTATATTAGTACCAAGTTAATATAGATTCAGGTCCTATCCTTTCTGAGTATATGATACCCTGTATTAAGCAGTTGTATACTATCACTACAGTGCCTTAATGTCTTACAATATCGGATTGCTCACATTTCTAACCAGTGTTATCACATTAATCCATAAACAGACTAGCGTACGGTGACATTCAGGGGAACCCATAATCATACTAATATCCACCATTCTACTTCTAATTAAATTTTATATATCCATACCATCTACTATTTTTACTAGATTCTACAATGTCACAATCTAATCACGATCATATAAATTCTGCCACGGAGCCTGAAATTAAGACTGATAACCCCTTGCCGTCGTATCTGCAAGTGCTACCGGAACTTAGGGTAGTCCTATGTATAACCCATGGTTCCTGCTATATTCGAACCAGTCTCTCTCGCCATCTTCGTGACAAACATCATATTGAGAGTCAACAGCGGCAAACCATCGAGTCCGTACGAGAATTAGCTTGCGTGGCACAATACAGTACTGGAGTCATCTAGCCTCAAGATAGGATTTGTGAGATTCGCGGGTTGCCGACCGTGCTCGGGTTCATCTACCACTTCCCCGATTGCGACGTTCGCTCTACTAGCAAGGACCGGATCCGCCAACATTATAATAAGCATCATCAGTGGTAGGTCGCGCAGCAGGGGGCGATTCCATGGCATAAGGCCTTTATGCAGACGCTCTTTCTCTAGAAACAAAGCCAACAGTACTTTGCTGTGGTTCTTACCGACCAGATTCCGACCTCCAACCCTCAATATATATATCGGCATACCAACGCTCCTACTTATGTACCACCATCTAGTTCCGAGACACCCCCTTCGTCAGCTCTCACCGGCGATACATGGAAACAGATCATAGGCCGATACCAGAAGAGTCTCTCTCAATCATCGCGGAAGTCCATCGCCGCAGCGCGCCATATATCCGAGGTCACTCCCTTTATGAAGCGGGCCGGTATCCATATCCACCTTGAAGGGCTCGAGGTCAAAGATCTTGGTCCTAGCTATCGAACACCACGACAGGACCAGGAGGCTTTACTTTTTGTTATTTGCGAAAGCGTCCAACGTGTTCTCGAGGGAGCAATGGCGGTCTTGGTATATGACCAAGATATAGAGGTACGCCAGCTTAGTCGCCGTAACGCACGGCTTCTCAACACTTTTGCCTGGGGAGAAACATCCTAGGACCCCCTCTCCGATCTCTAGAATGAACGTACGCGACAGAGATATATCACTACCTGGTAGCAGCTGGTATGCTACTGGGAGCGCGTCGTAGAGCAGCAGCAACTCCGGGACAATCTCTTTCAAGCTAGTACGCGGTAGCTTGAGGTATGGGTCGAAGTAACCGAGATCGTAAGTCAGATTGTGGATCTTAGTGGGTCTGAGGTCGATAGTCCGTATAGGGAGGATCTGCGCGCCCGGCTAGATCATGCCGTACTTCAATTCAGCCTTGCTATCATCTAGTACCCGGTTTCTCGTCGAAAGTTTGATTTAGTCCTTGTTTCCTATGCCGTGGTTCGCTTCTAGAGCCCTACGCAAGGAGCATGGCTCGCGATTGGGAACTATATATCTATACTATCGCAGTTGATCTACGACTGTCAGATAGTCATCCTTGCGTCTGTGTTGGTAGAGACGGTAGAGGGTAAGGATGCGGAGATAAGTACTATGATTATTGCGATCCGGGACGAATGGTTGTTGAACGATACCGACGGTCCTCTATCGGAGCTGCTCGAGAACCGACTGCTCGGGTTCCGTATCAGTTAGACCGAGGTCCCCCCGGCCTAGATCCGCTAGTATGCCGATGGTTAGACTCTGGTCTGGTCAGATATAGTCTTTCACCTCTCCGATATCCGCGAGATCATCTTTCAGCGGATTGCAGAGGCCCGGCGGATTCTCGAGGTTGAGCTTTGTCTCAGTGGGCGCTCTAGCCTAGCATCGGAGATCCCGACTATCGCGTATGATAAGCTAGTCGATAATTGGGACGCCACTGCGCTAGGCCAGTCATTTATCACCGATTCGCGCAATACGTGCCATCTGGACCCGGTTAAGGACTAGCTAATCACTCGGGTTGGTAGGACGCCTACCCTATTCCACACATTCTAGTCGTAGAATGCCGAGGGTCATTAGGTTGTGTCCGCCGATGCGACTTAGCAGTACGAGAACGCTGTCTAGCAGTTTCTCCGGGTGGTTATAGTCCCGTTCTTTCTCGGTTCAGGGCAGCAAGGACGTCGTACTGAGTTTATTGGCCTTCGGTGGCGGAACACCACGTTGACCACGCGCGATCTCTTCCTCCACGATGGATAGATGCTTTTCATCCTTAGCTACTATAAGTCACGGAATCAGACCAACGCCTCCCGCTAGCCTGTCCGATTCCTACTACCCGAGGTTAGGCAGCTTATCACGCAATATCTTGCCATCGTGAATCCCTTCCGAGAGTTCCTCCAGCAGGAGACCGGGGGACCCAAGCCGTCCGACTATCTCTAGTCTCAGGGCACTGACCCGTGGCCTACTAATACCATGACCCAGGTCATTATCGAGGCCGGTAAGCTAGTCCTAGGGAAGCATATCCATATCAAAGCTTGGCGGCAGATCACAGTCGGTATTGCACGGCGGAAATTCGCGGATATAGATACAAATCTGCTAATCGAAGAAGCGGCCGGAGAGGATGGTGATAAGACGGATACGGTCTAGGGGAGCATATCCGATACGCTTCACTGGCAGGCCAGCCATACGCCGCGTACGGGAAATCGGGCCTATAGAGGAACAGTGAACTTCCGTGGTAGGCTTACCGATGCTGGGCTGCAAGAGTTTCGGCACATTAGTCAAGTCTAGCATCGGTTCGTTCGTAACCCTATCAATTTTCAGCCGGCTTCCGCCACCCCGCAACGCTTCCAGGCCACGACCGCGTAGGAATAGGAGGTAGCTAAAGGGCCACGAAGCGAGCGCTGTCAGCCCAGCAATACCCCTAGTGGGAGTCGTCGGACTACTGGCAGTGGATTTAGTACACCGTCTAAGAGACCCTAGGAGGTGGATACCGAGTCCCCGATCATCCAGCGTATTGCACGGCGGAAGGCTCCCACCCGGAATCGACGAGTATAGCGAATGGACGAGGCCCAAGAGATTCTTCAGCGGATGTACGGTGCGGATGCTGAGTACCGCTCCCCTAAACAACGACAGGCGATAGAACACATCTTGGCAGGTTCTAGCCAGGTACTAACGGTTCTACGAACCAGCGAGGGAAAGAGCTTACTCTACCTACTTCCTTGCTAGTTACCTACGGCCGGTACCACGATCCTTATTTTACCGCTTGTGGTGTTGAAGACGGAGATCCAACGGCGGTGCGCGGAGGCCGGGATCGAGGCTCATATCTGGGGTCCGGGATCTGTCCCTAGTCGATTACACTCCTATCCCTTGATCGTGGCCTCGGTTGAACAGGCGGTTCGACCACGATTTCGAGAGTTTCTCCACCGATTGTATATTGCGAATGAACTGGACCGCGTCGTTTTCGATAAGTGCCATATGATCCTGACTACCGTGGAATACCGACCTACGATAGCCTTGCTCCCCAGGATCCGGGAGCTTACGTGCCAGATAGTATTTCTTACCGGAACGATGCCACCTAGTAGGGTACCGGAGTTTGAAGAAGCCATATTACTTCGCGGAGCACGTATGGTCCGGGGCCCGACGACGCGGCAAGACATATACTACCAAGTTAGCATATGTCCCCCAAAGTAGGACTTGGTACGAGAGTTTGCGGTGCCGGGGATTCAGCAGGGTATTGGGCTTCTCGGAAGTAGCGAGCGTATGATTATCTACTGCTACGCTAAGGATATGGCCGAAGAGGTTGCCCAGCTTATCCGGGCGCCCGTCTATTATTCTGCTTCTGGTAGCACCGAGGACAAGGCGGCAGTCCTCTAGCAGTGGCGGGATAGCAAGCCGCCGTATATCGTGGCTACCTCTGCATTTGGGATAGGAATCGATTACCCCCGAGTGCGGTAGGTGGTTCACGTTGGGGTCCTATAGACGCTGATCGACTTTACGCAAGAGGTCGGCCGGGCTGGGCGCGATGGTCAAGGGGGGCGATCCGTCGTGCTCGTCCCGACTAGATGGAAACCTCGAAAGGACATACGGCCTATGAAGGCTGGGGATAGAGATCGCGCGCTCGACGGGTATATCGGCACTACGAGATGCCGGGCTTACGAACTGTCGCAGTATCTGGACGACGGGGGAATGGTATGTCGGCCTAGGGCAGCCATGTGCGATAATTGCAACCGGGCCGGGGAGCAACCTACCTCCCAAGTAATAGACGGGCGACACGATTAGGGTCGAGAGGAAGATAATCTCCAGGATCTCGAGTGTGGACGAGATTTACTCCGGGGCCAGATCCGGCAGCAGGCATAGGGGCTTGCTGACTACTAAAAGGGAATTGAGTTATGGCGGGGGGTATATATGATTTGTTACCATCTCCCGCGGGTGGCATCCGGACAGGAGGGCCACACACGATACTCGATGGAGCAGTGTGGGAATAAGTAGCGGTATCGTTACTTTGATTCGAAGAAAAAGGCCAACAGGCACGGGAAGAGCCGCGGGGGGTGGTTCAGCGGATATAGTAGTTGCTATCAGTGCTTCTAGCCCCAAAGGATCTACGACCAGCGGTGGCGAGGGGGATGCGAATTCCCTGATTTAGTATTACCGCTATATTGGGCAGTGTTTCAGAAGAATAGATAGGCTGCAGAATTCCTAGATAGACTTGGGGGGAGTGAAGTGAAGGGAGATAAGGTGGAATATATGCTATGGCTCGGGGGTGAGCGGCGGATGTTTGGGGAACGGAGTTCGAATGCAATTGCGGTGGTAGAGTGTATGCTACAGCAGATGAGCGGCGAAATGCCAAGGTAAAGGGGACTTATACTCCTCCATAAGTGAGTTTCGGTTATACTATTATCGGGGATGATATTAGCGAATATAGTAGAGGAGTAATTCAATCTACCGTAGAGGCTTATATAACCCTTGTATAAGGGTGGGGTTCGAGGAAATGCAAGATAGGTAGTATATCTAGCACTGTATTCACAAACGCTATGTCAGTTCGAGGGTTCCTATAACTATTCTACGTTGAACTATAGTGTAATTCTAAACCCCTCCATAGTTAAGAGAGCGGGAGCTAGGCTGAAAACCGACTAGCGTACACTGTTATTCAGGAAAACGGACACTGTTATTCAGAACTCTCCTCCTATCACTCACATACTATTTTTACTTTCTGAAGGCTGCATAGAAATCACAACAATCTTAATTCTAACTCTGCAAGTTTTGCAATCGCCGTATTCAAATTTGAGTGGTTTTATTTAAGACTGCTATTTCCGACTGTAGAATGTCTAGCCTTCCGACTATACTTAGAACCACCTAACTCAAATATATTTCTAACCACAATCCAAGTAGAATACTAAGGAATTATATTAGTACCAAGTTAATACAGATTTAGGTCCTATCCTTTCTAAGTATATAATACCCTATATTAAGCAGTTGTATACTATCACTACAGTACCTTAATATCTTACAATATCGGATTGCTCACATTTCTAACCAGTGTTATCATATTAATCCATAAACAGACTAGCGTACGGTGACATTTAGGGGAACCTATAATTATACTAATATCCACTATTCTACTTCTAATTAAATTTATATATCTATACCATCTACTATTTTTACTAGATTCTATAATGTCACAATCTAATCACGATCATATAAATTCTGCCACGGAGCCTAAAATTAAGACTAATAACCCCTTGCCGTCGTATCTATAAGTGCTACCGGAACTTAGGGTAGTCCTATATATAACCTATAGTTCCTACTATATTCGAACCAGTCTCTCTCGCTATCTTCGTAACAAATATTATATTAAGAGTCAATAGCGGCAAACCATCGAGTCCGTACGAGAATTAGCTTACGTAGCACAATATAGCACTAGAGTTATCTAGCCTCAAGATAGGATTTATAAGATTCGCGGGTTGCCGACCGTACTCGGGTTTATCTACCACTTCCCCGATTGCGACGTTCGCTCTACTAGTAAGGACCGGATCCGCCAATATTATAATAAGTATTATTAGTGGTAGGTCGCGTAGTAGGGGGCGATTCTATGGTATAAGGCCTTTATATAGACGCTCTTTCTCTAGAAACAAAGCTAATAGTACTTTGCTATAGTTCTTACCGACTAGATTCCGACCTCCAACCCTTAATATATATATCGGCATACTAACGCTCCTACTTATATACCACCATCTAGTTCCGAGATACCCCCTTCGTCAGCTCTTACCGGCGATATATAGAAATAGATCATAGGCCGATACTAGAAGAGTCTCTCTCAATTATCGCGGAAGTCTATCGCCGCAGCGCGCTATATATCCGAGGTCACTCCCTTTATAAAGCGGGCCGGTATCTATATCTACCTTAAAGGGCTCGAGGTCAAAGATCTTAGTCCTAGCTATCGAATACCACGATAGGACTAGGAGGCTTTACTTTTTATTATTTGCGAAAGCGTCTAACGTATTCTCGAGGGAGCAATAGCGGTCTTAGTATATGACTAAGATATAGAGGTACGCTAGCTTAGTCGCTGTAACGCACGGCTTCTCAACACTTTTGCCTAGGGAGAAATATCCTAGGACCCCCTCTCCGATCTCTAGAATAAACGTACTGTTACGCACTTGCTTCTAGGTCGTCGCTATGTTAGAAGATTCCCTAGGTTATACTTGCCTTGTTGTTACGCACTTGCTTCCGGGTCGTCGCTATGTTAGAAGATTCTCTGGGTTATACTTGCCTTGTCTTGCTGACTTCCAACCTCAACGATCTGTCTCTCAACTGTACCGTTGCCTAATAGGCCTTATACGGGCTAAGTCCTTTCGAGGGTATCGAGGAGCGATGCCAAGTAGAGCGCCGAGTTAGTCTATACCGAGATATAGGCCTTCCCGTGGTGTTGTCAAGTTATAATCAAGTTATACGAGTCACAAAGGTTTCTGAATAGTAGACACAAGTAACAATGTTGGATTGAACACGAAGAACTAAACTAGATATATGAGGTCCTATATATATCCCGAGTTCTTCCTGTAGATGAGTAGAAAGTAGAACAGTAGAACTGTTCTACTCGACGACTGTCGACTGTTCTACTACTTGTATGATCACGTGATGATCATGTCATTGGTTATTGCGGTAATCACGGAGACGGTGAGTCGGGGGCCGAAAGTGGCCTTTCTCTTACCGTCACTCAGCGTTGTGGTATAATCTGGGTGATGGTAAATCAAGGGCCGAAAAAGGCGCCTACCTTGTTCGTCCAATCGTATCTCCCTGCTCGCTTGTCACGTGATCCGGTGGGTCGGTCGATCGACTGGTTCATGACCGCCCATCAACAAGTTGCGGCCCTATATTGATTAGTGCCTGGTATGTCCGTAACATCACCTCCCCCTCCCTAGGAGTTTCGTCCTCGAGACTCATAAATCTGCGGTCCCCCCGGTCGAGTGGTGAGTTTCTCTTTTCTTTCTCAAATAATACGTCCTCGCCATGCCCAAACGCAAAGCTAACTTTTTTCCTAAGTGTCCTACAAAATCCCCTTGTTCCTCGACCGTTATCCATAACCGTTAAGCCGATTACATCGAGCTCAATAGTCTGGTCACTTCCACCCCGTGCAACCACTGTCGCGACGCTGGTATTGACTATATGATGGATCGCACCGATAAGTACTCCAAATGTGCGTCGTGCACTCGTGCTAGTCGGGTGTGTAAACGAGAGTTCCACACCAATAACGAATGGGATCTGTTGAAGTCTGCAGAACAGAAAATTGCGGATAGTCTTTCCGCCGCTGATGACGAGTTGGAGCTCTTGGAACCTGAACTAAAACTGGTTCAAGATCGTTTGGCTGAAATTCAAAACAAGATCAATAAAACACTTGCGCGCCATACGCGTTTGCGAAAACAACAAAAGTTCTTAAAGGAACGTGGTTTCAAAATGTCAAAACATGATACTGAGCTGCTCAAAATTCTCGATGAACAACAATCGTCCCTAGAGTAGGCTACTCCTTCTGCTCTTAATCTCGAGCAGCTTACCGCTACTGCCGAGAATCCGAACTTTGATTAGATACTAGCGGAGATAGCTAGTCTCCCTGCATCTTTCTAGGACGGTATATCCGTTGATGCGACCGGTTTCTCTGGAAGTACTGTTGGCGGGTTGCCTTCACCTGATCCTCGTATTGTTGAACCATCTGGGGGCAGTCCCTCAGGTTCTCGATAGGTTCCCATATATTTTCCGAGGTATCGTATCCCTTCCACTTCACCAGGTAGTGGGGTTTCCCACTGATCTTTTGTCCGTCTAGGATTTCCTCGACCTCATATTCATCTTCGCTTTCTATTTCGATTTGCACGTTTGTAGCGGTTTTGGCGTTTTGTGGTGCTAGTTCGAGTAGCGAAATATGAAACACTGGATAGAGTCTTTTCATGCTTTCTAGCAACTTTAAGCGGTAGTTGACTGGTCCCAATTTTTCTTCGATCGCAAATAGTCCTAGCCGTAGGTGATCCAATTTGTTGCTAGGTCGCTTGGTTTTGATATTGCGGCGTAAAAGATAAACCTTTTCCCCCTTCTTTAGGTCAGGTCCCTCCTTGTGTTGTCGGTCGTAGTACATTTTCATTCGCAATCCTAGGAATTCGATATCTCTGGCTAACTATAGGTGCAGTTGTTTGAGTCCTCCGGCCAGAATCCTTGATGATTCTGCCGTTGGTCGTTTGCTAATAGGATCTCCCATGATCCTTGGGTAGTAACCGTAATTCGCAAAAAACGGTGTCTCACCGGTCGTTGAGTGAACTGCGTTGTTGTACGCTAGTTGAGCCATTGGTAACAGTGATGCCTAGTCGTCCTATTGATAATTCACATAGCACCTCAAGTACTGTTTGATGGTCTGATTCACTCTTTCTATTTGTCCGTTGGTTTGTGGATAGTAGGCCGTTGAGAGTCTAAGCTCTATTCCCATTTGATCCGCAAATGACTACCACATATTTGATGTGAACAGTTTATCCCGGTCGGACGTAATCTTGCTAGGTATTCCGTGGTTCGAGAACACATACTAAATAAGCAGGCTTGCTATCTGCTCAGCGGTGATGGTTTCAGACGTTGGGATCATATATAAGTATTTAGTGACCCTCTCAACGACAACCATAATCATATCGCAATTATCTGACTCCGGCAGTTTTGTGATAAAGTCAATGGTGATCTAATCCCACGGCTGGGATGGTGTCTCCGATAGTTGCATCTCTCCATAGGGTAAGTGTCGACTCGGTTTGTTTCGTTGACACGTATCACACTGTTGAATGTAGAATCGTACTTTTCTCAATATATTGGGAAAATAGTAGTTTCTGGTGATCTATTCCATGGTTTTTTCAATACCCATATGCCCATATGTTGGCATATCGTGATGTCTTCGAATGATTTCCGTCCTCAGTGTTGCTGTCGGAATATATAGCAGTCCATACGTATACACGAGTCCGTTTTCTTCATTGATGACCCTATTGTCGTCCGGGTTCTTTCGGACTTCTTGAATCAACTGATCTTCTTCAATCGCTTTTTTCAGTTGTTCAATGAATTCATCGTCTTAAAGTTCACTGGTGGCTGCCAGAATCTATTTGTTATATGAGATAGTTCCGTCTTCGTTTTGTTTCAATACAGTAGGTTCAGCTGTCTTGGTACCGATCTCGTAATCTAGTCTTCTACTTAACGCGTCCGCTTGGCTGTTTTCTATTCCCTTGCAGTGTTCGATTCTAAAATCGTACTGTGCAAGAGTTTCAGCCTATCGCGCTTGTCGTCGTGTGAGAACCTTCGTTGTCGTGAAAAACGTAAGGTTCTTATGGTCACTCTTGACCGTCACGGTATATTTCGCTCCTTCTAGATATACTCTCCAAGTTTGGAATGCTGACACTATAGCCAATAGTTCCTTATCGTGTACATCGTAGTTGAGCTCGGCGGGGATCATTTTTCTAGACCAAAATCCTACTGGTCTATATTTCCCGTCCGATCCTAGTTGCGTCAGTCTAGCTCTAAGAGCGTAGTCTAAGGCATCGGTTTCTATGATGATTGGTTTGTCGTAATCGAAGGTTGCGACAATCGTTCCTTGGCTGAAAAGGTTCTTCAAATCCTTGAATGACTTCTCTGCCGCGTCATCCCACTGGAACTTCTGATCCCTCTTAGTAAGCCTGTAGAGTCCTGATACGACTCCTACGTAGCCATCGATGATTTTTCGATAGTAATTCGCCAATCTAAGAAACTGCTGAACTTCCTTGACACTCCTGGGTGTCGGCCATTCTTGGATGCTCTTAACTTTGTCTTCTTCTATCCTAAGTCCGTCGGGACTGATGCGATATCCTAGGAAACTCGTTTCCTGGACGTGAAACTCGCACTTCTTGAGTTTTAGGGTGACTGCTGCTTCTCGTAGCTTCTGCAGTACCAATTTGTTATGTTTCATATGGTCTTCGAGCGTTTTGGAGAATACTAAGATGTCGTCCAAATACGTAACAACGAAGATGTCAAGATACTCCTCTAGTACCTTGAATATGAAGCGTTGAAACGTGGCTGGTGCGTTGGTAAGGCCGAAAGGCATAACCTTGTATTCGTAGTGTCCGAACTTGGTTCTGAATGCCGTTTTCTATTCATGGCCTGGTTTGATCCTGATTCGATGATACGCATTAGTGATATCGTATTTCGAGAAGAACTTGGCACCGCCAATCCGATCCTGCATCTCGTGGATCAAAGGTAGTGGGTATCGATCTTTGTTGGTGATCGAATTTAAATGTCGGTAGTCCACACAAAGTCGAAGGCTCCCATCCTTCTTTGGTACGAAGATGATCGGGTATCCGGCTGACGATTTTGAAGCCCGGATATAACCTTTCTTTAGGTTCTCGTCGATGTATTCCTTGAGCGTCTACGACTCCTTCTCCGATAACTGATAGATGGGTTTGAAAGTAGGTTCAGTACCTTCCATCGTGTTGATCTCGTGGTCAAAGGGTCCATGCTCTAGTAGTACTCCATCTGTGGGTGCGGTGAACATATCCTAGAACTCGCGGTATTCGTCTAGAATCCGTGGTTCGTCGCTGGTTACATACAGCTTTTCATATTTAACAATCACATACTGAGATAATTCGTCATCAGTCATATCCGGAGATTGTTCTGTAATATCTAGGGCGATCGTCTTGATCGGCTTATTGACCACACCTTGGGGTCTCTGTGGGCCTTTCTCAGTCTTACTATCCTTCTGCTAAGCGCTCGGGGTACTGGCTGCCTTTCCGCCTAGTCCCTTACGACGTTGTTCGAACAACTCGTATTCTCGTTTGCACGCGCATCTGCTGAAGGTCATTCGTTCAGTCTGCTAGTTGATGCTTGGGTTGTGCTTTTGTAGCCATAGAATGCCTAGAACCATATCGTAGTTCCCTAATTCGACAATGCCGAATCGAATTAACTTAGGGTGTCCGTAAATGGACATAGGCATAGTGCAAGTGCTATATGTAATCCCTTGGCCTAGCGTGTTGCCGTCTAGACCGGATACTGGTATAGGGTGGGTCAATGGAATGGTGCTTATCCCATTGGCCTGTACAAACCGTGGATTCATGAAGTTATTGGTGGCTCCGGAATCAATGAGTGTCTAGGCCTTCCCCATAGGAAGTACAACTTCAACTTTGAGATGGAATCTAGTGGTTGCGGCCAGTTGCTCGATCTCCCGATTCTGGTAATCGTAGATTTGTCTACCGTTGTACCAAATCCCTTGGTACTCGGTTCTCCATTTTGGCTTCTTTATCCACCGTAGTGGTCTGGGTTCGATGCCATAGTCTAACTTGCCGGACCCGTGGGTAGCGCATGTTTCGTCGTAACATGCCATTATGGCCATTTTGCCATATTTCGGGTATCGTGCATATCCGCTACACGCGCAAGTGGAACTCTCGCATGGGCATCCTTCTAGGTCTTCGCCTTCCTCAATAGCGCTAATGAGGTGCTGGTCCAGGTTCTCGGCCCGAATCTCGCGTAGGAGATTAGCCATAAGCTTGTTTGCTTCTTCGTCATTTTCTAGTTGACGGCTCGCGCTCCGAGGGCTTTCGGTAGGTGTCTCTGGAATCGTGTGTTCCTTTAGGGTTTTAGGGCTTAGGGTTTAGGGCTTAGGGTTTAGG